GACCTGTCCAGTGTGTTCCCGGCTCAGCTTCGTGTGCAGAAGGCTGACCCTTGTTTCCTACCATCCCCGAAGCCATGGGTTGGTGGGCCTCCTGCAGGAGGAAGGGTGAAGTGGGGAGCATCTCTTCCTCCCTCCTCCCATGCTGGCTCTGGCCCATCCACCACACAGTTCCCTGCGATGAGCGTGCATGAGTGCCTGCGTAGCCCCAGCCTTTGGGCCCTGCCGCCTCTGCTTGTCCTTTGTCTTGGGGGCCTGGAGGGATCTGCTCCTGAAGCCCTGGGTGGCCTTGCTATCCCCTTGGCTTCTCACTCAATCTTATGTTCATCAAATATTCGTTGTGGAAATGAGAATTTACCTGACTTCAGGAGTACTTTGTACGGATTTCCAAGTTAAGCCACGGAGCAGCTTTGCTGGAGTCAGTCTAAATATTCTGACATTTATCACTTTAAAATTATCAGCCTTCTGCCACCCTCTGAGATGTCATGTTCCCCCATTGAGAGGACGCATATTTCAAAGTATTTCTTCAGTCGATGTAAGATGCATATTTCTTCAGTCGATGTAAAAATTCAGGCACATCCCTGGAAAAACCCAGCTGCAGAAAGTACTCCAAAGGCAAGAAAGGAAGTCAGAGCCCTCAGCTGGGCCCTGGCCTGTGCATCAGAAGCGTTTCCGGGCGCTAGGCGGGAGCCCTAGCTAGCACGTTGGAAAACGTAGTGTTCTTTTTAGCTATGAAAGGAGGAAAATAAGTTATGGCGATAGAAAGAAATGGACTGAAGTTTTAACCTTTTTTTCTTTTGGTACCAGGGATTCAACTCATGACTTTCGGCTTGCTAGACAGGCATTTATATCACCGAGTTAAATCCTCGCCAAGATAGGAGTTTTAAGAGCAAAGAGTTCTAGCCTGGCGTGGTGGGACATACCTGTAATCCCAGCATTCAGGAGGCTGAGGCAGGAGGAGCACAGTGAGTTTGAGACCAGCCTGGGCTGCAAAGTGAGCTCAAGGCCAGCCCAAACTGCACAGTGAAACCTTGCCTCAATAAGACAAAAACAAAAAACCCCAAAGTATTCTTTCAGCAAACACTTGGTCCACCTTGGCATAGCGAAATCACGGGCCAGGAAGTATGTCAGAGTGCTGTTTTCTTGGGTACAGGGGGACCAGCCCTTGGCCTGTGCATGCAGAGCACACCCTGTACCTCAGCCTGAAAACTGTGCCCCTACCCGGGACGGAGGCTACCCATTAGAACGGGTCTTGAGAGACTACAATGTGCATGAGGTGGCTGTGGAAGCGCCCTTACCCCGAGCTGTGATAACTTGACCAAAGCAGAGCCTGCCTTGGAGAGGCCGAGTCAAGCTGGGTGGTTCTGTGAGCCTCTTGTCAGCGGCACTGTGGGCTCCGCCTCATCACCGGACTCTGGGAAGCCAGTGTGGCAGCGGGGACCCTCCCTCCCCCATGGTCACGGGGCCCACAGGAGCACGTCTGTGTTGCTGACTTGTGCTAAGAACCTGAACTATTAAGGAGCTTTAAGATGTTGCCAACTGTGTGTTCACAGACAGCTTGGGTAACATGTGAACTAAGAATATCTCTTCATGTTAATTCCATCTAGAAACAAAAATAGGAGCGGATAATCTATTACGTAAATCCAGCCGAGTTTTTTAGTGACAGCGCCTGTACTGACTTTGTTTAAAAATGTGGACGGCCCCTAGTGGAAATGTTGACTCGGTGCTGGCTGGCAGAGGCACCAAGCTGGGTGACATCTCCACCCCCGCTCACAGCTCGGCCACAGCAGGTGCGCACTCCCCCAGGAGGCAGACCTCAGGCGCTGTCTGGGGAAGTATTGCAGAACTTTCTAGTAATCCAAAGCTGGATGTGAGGTTGTTTTGTTTTATTGCTCTTGAAAATGAAAAAGAGCTGCAGAGCTTGATGAGAACCCAGGAGAACATTTCAGGAGAAAGCTGCAGCCTAAGCAGTATCTGTTCTGTTAGGATTCTTGCCTGCCAGGCGCTGAAACTCGGCTCAGATCAGCTCCAGAGAAACGGGGGTTTTGTTAGCTTTTACCAGTGGGGGAAATGTAGCAGGCAGGCTACACTGGGCCCGGGTCCCTGAAGCTTTTCAGGGCCTGTCTCTCTCCAGCTCCTGTTTAGCTCCTCAGACATCTCCATGGGGTCATGCAGAGCCACATGGGGCCCTGGAGGCCCCTGACCAAGGAGAGAGTCCCCTCTCTTCCCCAGCAGCGGCCTGGCTCCAGACAAGCCTGGAGAAAGGCTGGGCACTGCCTCCCTCTGCACCCGGGGACCAGTTGGTAAGCTTGGCCAGCCCAGGGTTCCTGTCTAGCATGTGAACAGATGCCCTGTGCTGAGGGACGGCCCCAGGTCCAGCCAGCCCTTGCAAGCACTGCGGGGCTGCTTTTGGTCCAGTCTTCTGGTGCCAGCTGCTCATTATTTGGGAGAGAAAGCTGCTTGCCCATCACTGCAAAGAGGGCCAGGTGGCTGGCTGGTGGCTTGAGCCTTGAAGTCTGCTTGGCTTGGGTGAGAAGCACCTGCCAGTGCCTAGCTGCAGCCCTCAGGGGAGCTGCATTCCAAGCGCCCCCTCAGGGCTGCAGGAGATGGCTACTGTAGGTTCAAGGACTCTTCTGGCCCCTTGTCATGCAGCCACCACATAGGGTGTGGCCGGAGAGACTGGGGCTGAGATCTTGGCCCGGGACCTGGGGATGTGAGATGCCAGACCAAAAAGGTGGGTGACAGCAGCTGCCACCACAGCAGACACTGTTATTTACTGGGCCTTGGGGCTGGGGATTTAACTTGGCGGCATAAGCACCTGCCTTGCAAGCAGGCGGTTGTGAGTTCAATCCCTGGTACCGGTAAAAAAAAAAAAAAAAAAAAAAATTTTACTTTAATTTACTGGGCCTTGCACCGTGCTGGTACTGTACTGGGTACTCCACAGAGATCACAGTGTATCACGCTCAGCAGTTCCAGGTGGCTACTGTCAGGCCAGATTCTTTGTCCAGACCCAGTGAAGGGCAGGTTGAAGTTGAGGACCTTTGCCCTTTGTGAGGCACACAAAGGACACAAGCTCCGGAGGAGGAGCCTTTGTTTGCGCTTCCTATTCACCAACAAGGGACTTGGAAGGTCCTGGTTTAGATAAATGATCTCCACTATTTGGGTGGATTTGCACCCTAGACTGCTACACCCAGCAAAATAACAGTGTGCATTCGAGAAAGTCTGACTGGACAGCATGTGGGTCCAGCTGCTGGAAGGATCTCGCCTCTCTGTTACCTGCTTGGAGAGCACAGATCTGCAGCTGGGCCTGCAAGATGAGTCTAGTCTGGGCCACTGAACTGCAGGTGCTGGGACCTGACACCAAGAAGGCAAGGTGATGTGGGCCTTGGGCTGGACCTGGTGTTCCGTGCGTGGACAGTGCGGTGGGCCATGGCTGCTCTGTGGATGCCTCCTGGGTTCTACCCTCAGAATTCTTAAGACTCTGTACTCTTTTACCCTGTAATTCCACTTGCAGAAATTTTTTTCATAGTTCCTTAAACTATTAAATAAGGAAGCTGCCCAAGTATACCCTGAACCCTAGAGCTCCACTCTCCTCCCCTGCTCCTGGGACCAAAAAGGTGGTCCCGGGTGGAGGATGGATCTGGAAAGCGTTGCACTTGGAAATCTTGAGATTCCATGTCCTTTGGAAAGTGGGAAGAGACCGGAAAGCAGGCGTCTCTAGTGATGGCTCTGAGGGCCGGCTCTCTGAACAGCACTTCGCAGCCTGGCAAGCACTGCACTCAGCTCTTTTCTTCCCTGAACTCCTTTCATCCTCCCAGTGATCTGACGAGCGGTCTCTGTCACGTGTCACAGCTGAGGAAGCTGCACATGAAGGTTTCTTTTTTTTCTTTTTTGCTGTTTTGTGGTCCCAGGGATCGAACTCACAACCTCAAGATTGCCAGGCAGGCGCTTATGCTGCTGAGCTAAATCCCCAGCCCCCACATGAAGGTTTCTTAACGCCGAAGCATAGCTCATGGTTTGCAACCGATCTAAAATGTATACAGGTGATTTAAAAGTCACTAACTCCAAGCAGAGTTTGGTCTCAGGTTTCCTCACATGCATCTCGGAAGCTGTTCTGCTCCATTCTTGGGTGTGTACCTGGCTCATTTCCACATCCCTGGCAGTTTGCATAAGGCTGGGAGGAAATGAGGAGCTTCTGGGAAGAATGGGCAGCGGGCCTTTCAGGGGTGTTGATTTGGTTCCAGGAGCAGGGGAGGAGAGTGGAGCTCTAGGGTTCAGGATATACTTGGGCAGGGTGGTCCTGGGCACCAGGTGGGCATGTGTGTCAGATTCAGGTAAGTTTCTGAGAAAGAGAGTGGCCTGGGCTGCTGAGGAGATGCTGAGGGGGACCTTCTCAGGTGAACACAGAGCAGGGGCTGCTAAGAGCCACCCATGTGGCTCTGGGTCACAACACGCATCAGTGGCCTTCTTGTGGCCATGGCAGTGGTCTGTATCTGCGCTGTCTGGCTCAGGAGCCACCAGCCGTATGTGGCTGTTGCACTTTTGGAAAGTGACGAGTGAGACTGAGGATCTGAATTTTTAGTTTTGTTTAATTCCCATCGAGCTGAACTGTCTGTAGCCATGGGCAACTGCCGGCTGCTATCTTGGACAGCCTAGCTCCTTGATTGGAGACTTTGGACACAGGAGGAGCATTGTGAAAGCATATAACTTCATATACATAGACTTTTTTCAATTGAAAAGAGCATTTTGTAATGGTAGGAAGGCAGTTTGGGTTTATGCTAAACCATACAGGCAGGGAAGAGAAAATAAAGTGTACCCAGGAAAAGCCCGCCTCAGAGATAACAGCTGTCTGCACTTTGTTGTGAACCTTCTAGATTTCCTTCTGTGCTGACTTTTCAGGCCGATCTCTACCCAGATCTCTCAGGGAGGGATGCGGTGTGTCCACAGGGGAACGCACGTGGTCAGTGATTTTCTGTGGCCCACGTTTCTCCTCTTCGTGCCAGGTCATCCACCCCATGGGCTGGGACGCATTCGGGTTGCCTGCCGAAAATGCCGCCATAGAGAGGAACCTACACCCACAAAGTTGGACACAAAGGTACGTGATTATGGGCACATTTAAACGCGTGTATAAAAGACTTTGAAGTTCCTTTTTAGCCTACACATGAGAGCTAGAGAGCAGAGCTGAACTCTGCAGCCTAGCAGGAGACAAGCGGGATGGCTTCCGCAGGTGTCTGTCTTTCTGAACACTTGTCTATAAAGGCCCAAGAGGGCTGGCGTTTATCCGTCACATGTTCATTCATTTGTTGTTTACCAAGTGCTTCCTTCATGCATTTCCATTTGGGAGGAAAAGAAGAGGCAAGAATCACATTCTGTTTCCACGATGCTTTGTGTCCTCTTGACTTTAGTTTGGTCTGTAGTCAAATGCTGTGTTAACATTTCTTCTGATTTTTCCCTTTTCCCTGTTAGTCCCTGCTTTCTACTTTTCCACTTGTAGTTCATTCTAGATTAATGGAGAGAGGAGCAAAAGGAAGCCATCGTGCCCCGCAGTTGATCAACATTGCATGAGTTTGGTGTGAGCCTGACGAGAGGGTAGCAAACAGTGGCCCGTGGGCCAGTCTGGCCTGCTTATTGTTGTCAGTAAAGTTTTACTGGGGGACTGTCACATGCATTTGTACCTTCCCATAGCTTTGGTGACACAGTGGCAGAGTTGAGTGGTTGGGGCAAGGAACGTAATGCGGAGCCCTCGATGTACGTCCCCAGCCTTTACAGACACAGGCTGCGCCCCCTCCCCAGAGCGCCTGCACCAGGCTGCCTGGGAGCAGATTCCACCTTTCTTTCTTGTAGCTGGTCACCTTGAGCAAATTACTTAATCTCTCTGTGCCTTGATTTCCTTATCTCAGATGTTGTCAACGCTGCTACCTCACGTGATTAAATAAAGAATAAGCACCTTTCTGCAAAGTGTTTTTGCAGGACCTGGAATTAGATCAGTTGTTATTAGCTAATCAGAAATCACATGGAGGGCTTTGCATATTTTCATTGTGTTAGAATGGAAAGAAGATGCTATACAAACGAATTGGTTATTTTTCTTTTAAAAAATGATTTATTTCCTTATTCCCTATTAATATGATAAGTTGATTAGCTTGCTAATCTCCCTGTTTTCCAGTTGTTGGACGGTTTTGCATTTTCGATTTTGATCCGCAGTGCACTATGTTGTTTTTGTGTTGTTTGTTTCCATCTTTGTGGTGTCAGGATCCAGCCCAGGGCCTGTTATCAGCTAAGCAAGCAGCAAACCCTGCCCAGCAGTTTAGAATTTCCATAGTTTATTCCTGGAGGTTTGTGTTTTAAGTCACTTTTAAAACTGTAATTGTGTGGCATAAACTTGAACAGGATGCAGACCTGGGCCAGGAGTACCTGTACCCAAGGATCTGTCTCTGCATAGCCCAGGAAAGGGCCCATTCCCCAGGGCCAAGACCACTTTGGTGTTTAGTAGATTGTGTATGTGTTCAGATCATAGGTGTCCTCTAATGTATTGGTTTTTTTGCTGATTCTTAGTGATAAAAATTTTTCTGCTGGGGTAAAACAACACCCTAAGCCCCTCCAAATGATCTAGACTTTCCCAGTTTTTCTCCGAGTTCTCAAAGTGCCGTGTGTTGGTGACTTTAACTCACATCCACACCCAGCTTCTCTTCCTTTGCTCCACAGTAATATCAAGCACATGAAGAGCCAGCTTGACCAACTGGGCCTGTGCTTCAGCTGGGACAGGGTGAGTCGGCCTGCCTCCTGGAGGGCTCGGTGGGGAGAAAGGGGCCCCTCGAGTGGGGCTCTGTCCCTGGGCTCCGGGTGGGAGAAGGGAACTGAGGGAAGAATCCTGAGTGCAGAATCTGCTGCAATCGAGTAATTTTCTGTGTGATTAAACTATGAGAGTTAACTTCTCAGTGGACTTCGTGGGTAGACATGTGTCTGTGTGGCCAAAGCTTGGCTCAGGATTTCGTTTGCTGTGAGCCACGGTTTGAAAGACGAGTGTGTCAGAGGGTGCAACTATCCACTGCAGGCCTCCAAGTGGCTTGTGTGTAAGGCACCTGGCCGTTTGTGTATGTTTTCTTCCAAGTTTGGAATGAAGGCTCGTAACAGTCCAGTGATGCCATCCCATGTGGTCTTTCGGTGCCTGCAGTTTGTAAATCTTTAGGCACCAAAACCAGTGAGAATGTCAGACCCAGGAGGACTCAGAAGGCCCAGAGTTACACTGACCATGATGGGGCCCTGCAGGGCTTAGCCGCTGGGCAGTGGCTGGCCACTGGGGACTGCTGCTTGTCCCTCTCAAAGGCCCCTTCTGTGTCACCAGCCCTCCCAGCATGCGCTTCCTATGCAGAATCACTGGGATGTCCTTGCTTGTTCTGTGCACTTATGTCCCTTGAGTGCGGAGAAGCACCGTGGTAAAGGCAGTGAGCTCTCCACACCTAATTCCTTACATGACTAAAATCTGAGGAGCGCAGTGGGAAGAGCCAAAGGCAAGCTTGTGGACAGGCCTTGGGCCATTTTCTGTTTCTTTCTGAAACTTCTTAAGGTAAAGGTACCAGCCAAGGTAAATTCTAACGGGGCATCGCTGGTGCCTGGGTACCACCAATGGGCAGGGGTGCTGTGTTTGATTTGGCAGAGGCAGAAGAGTCCTGGTGCCCGTGTCACATGGTCCTGAGGGATCAGCAGAGCGTGGGTGATGGGAGAGGAAGCACTGGGTGGTACCTGAGCAGGCTGAGGATGAGATGGGTTCCCACAGGCAAGCAGGGACTCCCTGGTTGTCCAGAATGGTGGCCGGCCAAATCCTGCACAGCAGAGGCAGCCCTAAGTGGCTCAGAAATTGTCAAATTGTTTTCCTGATTGTTGTAGCAGATTAGAAAGTACAGAAAAGTATAAAAATCCTAAGCAGCTAATTTAATCTCCTGGTATGGTTCCTTGCAGTCTTTCATTCCAGAATTAAGAACTTCTATATGATTTGCTTTTATACACATTAATTAATTTATTCATTTAGATGCTGGAGATTGAACCCAGAGCTTTCAACAAAGCAAGCTAGTTAAGGTCTCTACTACTGACCTATACTATACATACACAATTTTTCATCTTACTGATTTTTTAGTATTGAATATTTTTACGTCTTATTAAATGTTCTTTGAAAAGGTGACTTCAGAGTTGTTCGGTTTTGCTTTTTATGAATCATTTATGGCTTTTCATCCCTGTCTCAGGATTATACCCTGAGGCAGAGACTGATGTTCCTATGTTACAAGTACAGATGATCTGTGGCTCTTGTGCAAGTCTGAAGTCCAGAAAGCTCTAGAAAATGCAAGTTTTTTTCTCATAATGTGACTATACCATCTGACCCGAAGTGATGATTATCTCACTTTAAATGAATATTCGTGGATCTCCCCAGATGAATACTAAAATCACCGAGCACTGACCCACCCATTAGGCCAAGGCCTTCATTCGGAAGCGTGCTAGCTGGCTGCCTTTCATGCGAGGGGTTCGGGCACCTCTCAGTCCATCAAGTGGGTGTCATCTGCAGAGTTGCACTGGGCCAGTACCACACAGGTGCTACCTGTGTAAGTTACCTCTCTGGGTTGCTCCATCAATGGTCACCCCGTGGGCAGGGCTGGGCTGCTCCACTCTGCCAGTCCCCCCACACCTGGGAGGACTCTTAACAGACGGGGTCCATTTCCTGAAGGTGGGTCCTGGAAGGAGCCAAGAACGAGGTGGAGGGTGGTGATGGGTGTTGCTGAGCTACCCTCCATGATGTTACCAGAGTCCCGCTCCCGAGACTTCTACTGCTGTTCCATGCCGTCTTATTATTAGTGATTTCACATCAGTGATGGCAGGTTTTTTCCAGGTGTTTCCTGAACATTTGAATCTAGGGTGCTTGAGTCAAGGATCTAATCAAATCTTTTGTCAATATACATAGGGATGCTTGTGTTTTTAAATGAGCTTTATTTTCTTTCGAATACTGTTTTTTCTGATTACTTGTTGTCTGTTTTTTGCATTATAAAAAGTCATTTTTCACCTAATAAGCATCTTCTTTATTGTAGAAATTCTTTTACACTGTTACTAGATCCTGTGTGTCAGTTCTTTTGGTGCCCTTGTTATTATATCAGTACTAAGCTTAAAACTTACAGTGTTTTATAATTCATTTTAATACTTGATTTCAAATCTTTTCATTGTCTGATATTCATGCTGTGCCTGTTTTCCTATGTTTTTGTTTCCTGAAATGTTTTATCCATTTAAAAAAAAGTTTAGCCTGTATTAGTTGATTTCTTTTATCAATTTATAGATAGAATTAATTTAAACTTAGAATATGGGCAGAAGAGGTGGGGAAACCTTCTCTTGGCCAACCTGGAGTCTTTGTCTTTAGCAGAAAAGGGAATGTGCTGTTTATATTTATTTCACAACTTCTGCTTATTTTCCTTGGTGTTGGAGTGGAAGCCAGGGCCACAGCCAGGCACAGCCAGTACTGTACCACCATGCCACACCCCCGGCTCCTATTTTCCAATCAGAACTCCAAAACAGAGTTTTAAATTTTATTTGTTGTTTGGTTGGTTTTCGTGAGACAGTCTCACTGTGTAACCCAGGCTGACCTCAAACTCACAGCCATCCTCCTGCCTCAGCCTCCTGATTGCTGGGATTATAGGCGTGAGCTACCAGACCCAGCCAGAGTTTTAAATTTTAAGAGTTCTTTCTTTTCAAGGTGTCTTGCATTTTAGATTTTGCTTTCTTTTTTCTCCAGAGTTTTAATTCTGTTCTGAATTCTGTTAAGAGATTGCTTCAAGGGCTTGGGATTCTTTAAACAGCCTATGTTTGGTATCAACATAAAAAATAAAATTATATTTTTCTTGGTCTCCTTCTAAGGAAAGTAATAGTAGTTATACTTTCCATTTTATTAATCTGTTCTCAAGGTTATTTATTTGTCTGTTTTATATTGAGATTCTAGACCTAGTTTATAGTAATAGTGTAATTTTTATAATCACATTCACTCAAACATATGTAATATTTGCTTCCAGTTTTATAATCGTATATAACAGTTATTTAAAGCTAATGCTCTTTAACTTTAGTGCTTGTCAGTAGACTTTTAGAATCAACTGTTGTCTTAGTTTTCTCATTGCTAAGAGAAAGTACCTGACACACAGGTTAAAGCAGGAAAGGGTTACTTGGCTCACAATTCACAGAAGTTCACCCCATGTTTGGTTGGCTCCACAGCAGGGTGGCGCGGCAGAGGGGCACCGTAGAGCAGGCAGGCAGAAGGCCGCAGGTGACACACAGCAACCTTCTTCGGGTCCCTTTCACTTTTACCCAGGCTCTGAACCTTTAGGGTAGCACCACCTTATTCCCAGCATCCCGCCCTGATCCCAGCAGCATACAACCTCAATCCAGCCACCTCCGGAAAGCCCCACATGACCACGCAAGGCTTTGGGGGACATCTAGATGCCACGGTCCATAACAACTGTCCTTCTGTGTTTTTAATTTTTAAATTTTGTTTTGTCTCTTGCTTTGGAATCTGTAAAGTCTCTCACTCTTTCCTAATCAGCGTGACTCCATCCGCACCTTTGCAAGACTGGGCTCCTCATTATCGTTCTTTCTGTAGCAGACCTTGGTCCATTGTTCTCAGTATTATTATTTTGCAGAGCACTTATGGATCACAGGAAGTTGTCAGGACAGTAGCATGATGGTTTTGCATAATATAGTAATACCAAAAAGCAGGACCAGCACAATGCTACTAACAAGTCTTACTCAGCTTTCTCCAGTTTGTACATGAAGTCATTTGTGTGTGTGTGCACTTGTATGTATAATAGTACTAGCAATTTTATGCAGTTTAATCAGATGTATAGATTTATTGGTTTGGTATGATGTGGTTTGGTAGGCTATGGTGTGATTGGGCATAGTATGGGATGGTTTGGCATGGTGTGGTGTGGTGTGGTGTGGCGTGGTTTGGTGTGTTACAGAGTGGTGTGTGGTGTGGTACAGTGTGCTTTGGTTTGGCATGGTATGGAGTGGTGTGTGGCAATGGTATGCTATAACTGTGGTGTAGAATGGTATGGTGCAGTGCGGTATATGCTATGTTGTGACAAGGTCTCGTCGAGTTGCCCAGGTTGGCTCGGGTCCTACGATCCTCCTGCCTCAGCCTCTGAGAGCTGGGTTGCCCGGGTGCCACTGTGCCCAGCTCCAGTGTCTGTTGCTGGAGAGTCTGAGGGCAGCCAGAGCCATCCCTCTGTCTATGGACTGTACCTCCTGCTCGTGTGGATGCTGCTGGGCTGTGTCTTTCTCTGTCCTTGCATGACTACGTCATTGCACATTTCTCTGTGTCTGTCCCTGGGTCTTGGTTTTGCCTGGCGCTTCCCGCCTAGGACCACGGCAGGGGTCTGTTCACTGTGGGTCCTCTGGGTCTTTGTGAGGACCTGGACTATCTGTGGGCCCTCTGTTGTGGACGTTTTGTCACCTTGTCTTGCTCTCCCTCACCCCGTTTCTGTAGTCGGTGTAACACCAAATCAATTTTGCGATCGTATGTTTAGATTTATTTTTTTCTCCTCCAGCTCCCATTTTCTTTCCCAAGAAAAGAACTGACGTTTTCATCTTCCTGTGCCATAGATGTTCAGAAGCTGTTGAATGCAACTCCTTGCTTTGGGGATTATTTTTGCTTTCTGGGGGAAGCGAAGTCTTTGTCACAAGTTTCGAATGCTGCACTTTTCCCGTCTGTTTCCAAATCACCCTGTGACGCTGCATGGATATCTGCTCTTGAGTGAGGGTCGTCAGGGTCAGAGGGGCCCTGTGCACTTCAGGGTGGGTGGGGCCCTTGGGTGGGGCCCTGTCGCAATCTGCATCCTCTGTTACTTCACTCTTGCTTTGGCGGCCCTATGCCAGTGCTCCCCGCTCTGACCTTTACACAGGTGTGGGTGCTGGTATCATCCATGCGCCCCAATGCTGACTGTCCCATGCACTGCTGAGCCTCCGTGCCAGAAGGATCAGACTGTGGCCTTTCTTCTGTCCACAGACCCATGTCCCCTCCACCTCGCCCTGTCATACAGGACTGCCTGAACCCCGCTTCTCGGGGACACAACCTATTCCTAAGATGGAGAGAGACAGGGTGGCAGGTGGGGCTTTTGTGGAGTCCGAGCCCATCTGCTGGAAGTCCTGGCCACCCCGGCCTGTCCCTGGCCCCTTGCACTCTCTCCAAGACCCATGCCACTCTGGAGCCCCTCCCCATCTTTCTGTCTAGGTCCTTTGAATGGAGGAGTAGGAGCAGGTTTAGAGACCTGTGTTCAGGAGGCCCCTGTGTCCCAAGTCCAGGGGCATTTTTCTAATGGGACACAGGAGGAAGAGGAAAGGGTTCATTTGATCAATGAGGAAAGCTCTGCCTTTTGCAAGCGCCATTCCTGAAGTCTCAGGAAAGCCGGATAACTCAGCAGATGGCTGGCTGACATGAAGAGAGTATTTAGAAAAATAAGGCGGCTCAGAAATGGCATCGTCCTCCTCCAGACAGCACGCCAACGTGGAGCCTGGTCCTAGCGCTTCCTCCTGCCCTGCCGGGGTGGGAGCCGTGTAGGGGAGCCCCAGCTCCCAGCTGCCTCTCAAGGGCCCCATCGCCTGGATTGAACCCCAAGTGCATACTTGTGGAATAAACGCACCTCTCATGAGCCAGCAGGACAGTCTCAGGGCGTCTCAGCTCAGCACTGCTTTCACTTTTTCTTTCCTTCTTCTCTCTTCCTTTGCCTGCTTTCTTTCTTTCTTTGCTCAGGTGGGGGTTTAAGACGGGGTCTCAGGCTGGCCTTGAATTTGTGGCGATCCACCTGCCTGCCTCAGCCTCCCAAGTGCTGGAATTATGGGTGTACACCACCACGCCCAGCTCTGGCTTCAGTTTTTCATAAAAAACTGTAACGCAGCCTGTGGAGCCATTGAGGAGAAGGAAAGGAGCAAACTGAAAGTTGACCGTGACTAGCTGAGAGCATTTGCTGAGGGAAGAGCAGAGAGGGAATAAATGCCTCCCTGCAGTGGAGGAAGGGCTCCTTTCTAAAACAGTCGCAGCCTTCTCAGAAGGTGTGGACTGCATGTGTGTGAGTCAGCTTTCCAGCACTGTAGCAAACATCCATGACAGTCAGCACAGGGAGAGGAAGGCTTCCCTGGGCTCACGGTTTCACTGGTTCTCACCCAGTGTCACTGATTCTCACCCGTGACTCACTGGCCCTGGTGCTTTCTACCCTTGGGGAGGCAGTGGATGGGACAGGGTCTGCCTCATGGCCAGGAGCAAAGGAGAGAAAGGAAGAAGGGGAGCTCCCTCCGTCCTTCTGAGCATGCAACTCCAATACTGGGACACACAGCCCCCCCAGCCTCACCTCCTGAAGTGCCGAAGAGCTGGGGTGCAGAGCCTTTGGGGATATTCAGTTCCCGCACTGAACTCCAAGTCCAGGCGTAAGTTGGTACTTAGGAACTAGCCCGAGGGCTGGCCCTTCCAGCTCCTCACGACAGGACACAGAGTGGACGGGGAGCAAGCGTGGCTTCTGTTCCTAAAGCCTTCTGCCCGGGACTCTGGAGCCTGAGTAGGCGCTGGACCAGGCGTAGGCTGCGGGTCCTGATTGCATTAGACCTGGGCCTGGAACTGTGTGAGGGCAGTGCCTAGGCATTGCTTTCCTAGTGAGACAAGTGTAAAAGAAAAAACCCTCTCAAGGAGACGGGGCTCAAATTGGAGCCTGAGCGCCCCTGGAGCAGGCAAAGCAGGCGAAGCAGGAGCAGCCCTGGCCTGTGTAAACGGCGGAGCAGGGACACAGCTCTCCTCGGTTCCGCTTGGTGACATCATCACCAGTTGGCTGTTTTCTGAGTCTTCTGTGTAGAGAGCTCGTGTTTTTATTTGCCCTCCTTTTCATAGGATTTTAAACACCCCTGTCTGATTTCTGGCATCCTCTGAACACGTGCGGAGCTGACCACCATTGCCCCACTGAGCTGAGGTGACCACAAAAGTCTTTGTCTCCTGAGACAGTAGTCCCCAGACATGCTTTTGAGATGTGGCCTCACGTTCTTCCTGTACTCGGCGCTCGCTGGGGAAAAGGTGGCAGGTGGATGGTGGTGGGGCTACGTCACTGCCGCACCCTGCCTGCTCTGTGTCAGACAGACCTCTGGTGACCAGGATCCTTCCAAGCGTGTCCACCCCTACCTCCCAGCCCACCTGTGTCACCTGCTACGCCCTTACTTTATGCCCCTAAAATATAAAGACTGTCCTGCTTGCTTGCATTCTTGCCATTGTGATTCCGGGGTCACACATCGCACAGTGAACGGTGCCTGGAGAGCAGGTTCCATACTTCCATACTGGAGTTTTAAGTATTTTTCTCCTTCCGTGGGTGCCTCTGCCCACAGTTCCTCAGGACTGTTTCAGCCGTTTCTCCCCCACCCACGCATGAATGCTGCGACATAGGAGCTTCACCCTCTATCCACCCAATCCCACAGTCTCCCCACATAGTCCCCACCTGGGTTCATTTCCAAAGACAACAAGATTTGCGTGGTTGTGAAGGGTGGACTGTTATTGCTTCCAGGCCCTCTCGAGCTTGGTGCTTTTCTTATGCAGAGGCCTGGATGTCTGATAGAAAGAATTGAACTACAGGAAATAATGAGGCCTCCGAATAATAACAGATACATGCATTATTAGATGCTCTTTATTTTAAAAGAATATAAAGAATAGCTTAAGACGTAGAACTTGGGTTCTCAAGCCTGTGTCGGAGAACCTGGTTGGCAGGCTTCCCCTTGCTGAGCGGAGCTGGTTGCCTTGGTAACATGGAACAGGCTCAGATGCTCCGCTCTCCTGGTCCCTTTCAAGTCCTCCCGGAGCCACAGCCGCAGCAGTCCATCTGGCAGGTCTCTGCTCTGGATTCCCGCTTCTGCCTCTAGTCTGAAAATTAACCTTTTCACGCAGGATTTCCTCGCATCAGGCCTGGACCTTGGCAGGGGAAAGGGGGACCGTTTTTAGCTGTGATCCTTGACACTCAGCATGAATCTGTGCCCCAGAAGGCTGCAGCTGGTCACCATGGGGTCAGGACCCTGTCCCCTCCTTCAGAGATGGGGTGCATGCTGCAACCTCCCAGGGAGCTGGGCCAGCCCAGAGCAGGGTATGAGGCCGCTGCTCCGCCCTGTGAGCGCCTGCTGGATGTGAGCGCAGGCAGGTTGTTCCTAGCAGGGCGCACATGGGGCTAGGGACTAGTGCTTCTGGCTTCAGACTGGATAAGCGCTTTCAGGATTCACCTAGGGGGCGTGGGTACAGGTGACAGACGGCAGTGACACCTGGTGGGCATCATGTCTTGCCTTCTTCAAACCACAGTTTCTTTCCAAGGGAAGGCAGCTTGTTACTCAGAGAGGTGAGCTCTCTCTTGAGGGGCCCTGGAAAGCAAACACACAAGCTCTGCAGCTGGGTCAGTCTCAGGTTTGCTAGGACATGTGAGTGTGGACACGCGGGCTCGGGAGCCGTCTGCGTACCGGAAGGATGGCCCAAAAGGCTGGAAGGTGGGTTTGTTACTCTGTGAGAATACCAGCAATTGTTTGTGTGTGTCCTCAGACTCCGTGGACCTCCCGGTTCCCAAGGGGGCTTGCAAAGCATGGGTTTCCTGGCCTCACCCTGAGAGTTTCTGATGGAATGGGGCTGTCATCTTGTTTTTCTGTTTAGAAAAAAAGAATCTGGGGAATGTTCATGCTCCCCGACCTTATTAGGTAGGACTCAGGATACAGGCTCATCATCAGTCATTTCTGGCGTAAGCTACAGAGCATAACTGAGTGGTAAAAGCACACGGTTCAAAACAGTGAGCCAGCCATGGTGTGTAATTACAGTCCCGGCTACGGGGTAGGTTGAGGCAGGAGAATCATTCAGGCCCAGGAGTTCAAAGGCAACTTGGGCCACTTAGCAAGAATCATCTCCAGAAAAGCACAATAGGCAATGTTTTTGCAAATAGAAGTTTTATTTTTCTCACTTCCTTTCACCGTGAAGTAACAGACATGTATAGCCTGGAACATAAAACATGTAGGTATAAACCAGATGCAGTGCCGCACCCAGGAGGCTGCAGCCTCGGTCTTGCCGCAGTTTCCAGGGCAGCCTGGGCCACGTGGTGACTGTAAAGCCAGCCGGAACCACACCACAAGACCCTGTCAAAAAGCCCAAAGCAAATTAAAAATAAGTAAATAAAATAGGTAGAGCTGATTATTTTAAAGTGCTGCTTACAACAGGATTGAGAAGGAAAACCCAGAGCTCCTTGTGCCCCTCTTTTTTGCTCAGCCTCGGCCCTGCCCTGTAGGTGACCACCGTTCAGATCCCCGATCGGTACCGGTAGTCGGTCAGTACAGTTCACCACCTCGTGGGTGCTTTGCCTATGACTGTTTTCTAGGGAACTTTTGTTATAGTAGCAGAAACAACAGAAACAACTTCCAGATTCATCATTTCTAAGGGTCCAGTCTGAGGGCACGAAGTGTGTTCCTGTTGTGCAGCCATCACCACCTCTGTCTCCAGACCTCTTCCTCCACATCTGGGTTTTGTGTGTTCATTTCTGTGCTTGCTTCCTTGCTTGGTGGTACCAGGGATTGAGCCCAGGGCTTTTGCACTAAGCTACATCCTCAGCTCATCAAAAAAAACTTTAAGTTTGGAGTTAGGGTCCTGCTAAATTGCTACATTGCCAGGCTGGGGTTGAATTCATGATCTTCCTGTCTCAGCCTCCCAAGGTGCTGGGATTATGGGTGTGTGCTACCAAACTAGCTGTGTTTTTAAGGAGTGTTTTTTTGGTGCCGAGGATTGAACTCAGGACTTCACACTTGCAAGGCGATGCTTATGCTGGTGAGCTAAACCCTCAGCCCTCAGCTGCTTTTATATACATATATATGTGTGTGTATATTATTGTGTGTGCGTGTGTGCGTGCATACGTGTGTGTGTGTGTGTGTGTTTTCTCTCTGTCTCTCTGGATTATTTAAGTGTGACTTGCAGGCATTATGGCATGTTGTCTCTAAGTACTTCAGTATTTCTGTCTGAAGAATTAGGACATTTCTCCTACCTACCCACAATGCTATTTAATAGCTAAAGATACTGGCACAAATTATATAATATCCAGTCTGCATGCAAATTCCTCACTTGCCCCAGGGATGTCTTTTACAGCTCCCTGTGTGGTCACTCCCGAGGTGCCTCCTCTGGAGCCTTAGATCTGCGAAGGGCCAGAGAAGGACCCCTGCCTGGATGCACCCCGCCATGCGAGCCATGCGATTGCGCCTGGGGCATGCGGTGTCCTCTGCCTCTTAGCCTTCCGTCCACAAAGCCCTTTATGCCCCTGGGCAAAGCCGTGAAACTGGCAGATCCAAACCGCACTGGGCACTGCCTCTCCTTAGTGTGCTGAGACGAAGTTACTGTCTTAATGCGTTGTGGTGAGGAGGTGTTTGCAGTAACAAGGGTTCCATCCCTTTGGGGAGTTGGCGCACAGGCACGTTACACCTGAGTCCTTTCATCCCTTTCCCCTCCCCTCTCTCCCTGCTCCTCCCATCACCAGGTCCTTTTCCTGTCTCCCTAGTTCCTGCTGTCTGTCTTTCATTTTGCTCATTTTAATTTGAGTTTTTCAAGTAAGAGAAACTATGTGAATTTTCAGCTTGTGTCTTACTGGCCCCTTAACATTATGGTCTCGCATTGGGCTTGGCAGAGCACACCTGTAATCCCAGCATTCAAGAGGCTGAGGCAGGTGGATCACAGTGAGTTTGAGACAAGCCTGGGCTTCAAAGTCAGTTCAATGCTAGCTCAAACAGCATAGCAAGACCCTGCTCCCCCCAAAAAATCCTATCGTGGTCTCGAGGTACATCTATTTTCCTACAAGTGACTCAAGCTTACCCTTCTTTATGAGACAGTAGTACTTCACTGTGTGTTAATACCACACTGTGTGGTCACTGGGCATGGTGGCCTGTGCCTGTAATCTTACCCCTCAAGAGGCTGAGGCAGGAGCTTTCTTTTTTTGGCTTACAGTGGAGAAGGGTTCCATCCATGGTCAGTTGCAATGCTGGGTTGGGGTCAGTGGTGAGGCTGCACATAATGGTGAAATTGAGAAAGAGAGGAAGAGGAAAGGGCCAGGGTTCTGCAATTCCAGTGTCCCAGTGACCCAGAAGAGCCCCCTCAAGGCCCTGCCTTTTACAGATCCTGTGACCGCCCACTGGAGCCACCCTGGCCAAGGAGTCTTTAATACAAGGGCCTCGGGGGACATTCCTTACCCCAGCTGTGGCCATCCATGGCGCTGTGGGCCGAGTGTTTTGGCTTTTGTTTTTGGTTCTGCAGTTTTCATTCCCTTCTTTTTCTTTCCTGACTTCCCGTTTTCTCCCTTGATTCCAGTGTGTTTGTAAGTGCTCACAGAAGCATCAATGGTGTCTGCTCTGAAATCCTTGTCAGATAATTTTGACATTTGGGTCATCACCATGATGGTGCTGATTATTTTTATTCATTCACTCAGATCCTCCCGGTTCTCCATATAATTAATGATTTTTGACTGAAGCAGGGTATTGCGAGTATTCTTTTAAGAGCATGCTTAAGACACATTTGTGGGCCTCATCTGAAGCTCCAGTAGTGAAACAGCCGCTGCCTTGGTCCTTCCAGGTGACCCAGAAGGCCAGGAGCTCTGCGTGTCAGTCCCTGACACTGGAGTGGAGCGGAGTCCTGTCACTGCTGCTCAGGGGCAGACACACAGCTCCCCACTAGGATCTTGCCCATGCCACCCTGCCTGGAAGTGGGAGGGCCACCTCACTACTGTCCTCACTGACACTGTCTGGACCTCACTGACACTATGACAGGGTGGCCCTGTTACCGCTGAGCAGGGGCAGAATTTCTGAATCTCCTCTGACACTGTCCCTCTAGAGAAAGGGGGACCATGTCATCCTGCCTGACCAGAGATGGATGTCCTGGCCCCTGTGGTCTCCCCTAATCACACAAAGAGGGGACAGGGCTTGCTCATTCGTGCTTAGGGGACAGAGGTCCCAGCTCTCCACTTGGTCTCTGGGGACACACTCCTGGAGCCACAGATTTTTCTGTGTGATGGGGAATATGGTGGTTGTCTAAAAATTTTCTGCCTTGCCAGGCCATATCTCTCCTAGTGCTTTACCTACAGAGAGTGGGTTAGTTGGCTGTTTCTATCTTTCTTTTTCTTCTTTGGTATTTCTGGGCCAATAGCTTCGTTAGCTGTAATTCTGGGACTCGAGGGGCATGAAAAGAATCCGCAGAACTCATCATTGTGATTGCTCAGAGGCTGAGATCCCTACCCACCGCCTTCTCTTCTCCGTGTTTCAATTCTTATGTTTCTCGTGTATGTGTGTCTGTATACATGTATATGCATCTGTATTCCGCATACATACACATGTGCGTTATGATCAAACCTACAACGAATATGCAAGTTATAAAAACGTGTTTCAGTAAGAGATACATTGCCATGAGCTCCCCTCAAAATACCAGCACCCCCCACCTCCAACGTGTTTATCCTGTCGTTCTTGCCACTTTCTTCAGCAGCTCAGGAGTCTTCTTTCTTAAGGGTTTTTTGTTATGCTGTCCTGGCTCCCTTGATGTTGAATTGGTTCAAAATGTTGACCTTTCCTGGTCACTTTGACTTTGGGGAAGAGCCGGAAGTCACATGGTGCCAGATTGGTGAGTGAGGTGGCTGAGGTCCCCACATCTTGTTTTTACGAGCTGCCTTTCCATTGGATGGTGCTCAGCAGCGGCAGCCACTGTATTTCTGATGAAACCTCTCTGAGACCCTCATGAAGGAGGCCTCGCAGAGCTGCTTCAGGAAGTGGCAGGAGAAGGTGTTCAAAGCGAGGGAGAGGATTTCGAAGGAAAATCACAGAATGCATCTTTTACCATAATGTGACCATTCTCTATGTGTTTTAATCACTCGGTGTGTGTGTGTGTGTGTGTGTGTGTGTGTATGTGTGTGTGTGTGTGTGTGTGTGTGTACACTAAGTACAGCTAAATGCCTCGGGCTGTAATCTTCTCCACTTTCTCAGTGGCAGAAGATGGTGCCTGCAGCTTTACCGAATCTTTCGGAGTGATCCCGGGAACTCCGCTAAGGCCGTGGTTTTATTGGTTTTATTTCCTGGCCGGTGCACACGATGCGGCTCAGAGTCTATGGCCACTGCTTGATGAATGGTGTTGATGGCAGCCAAGCATTTCACCCAGGGTGCTGCTGTCAGTGCTGCTTGCCCTTGGGGACCGGGTGGAGAGCCCATCTTTCCTCCTCTGCTGGCTTCTTCCGGTGCCTGACAAATAGCCCTGATGTGACTCAGGAAACCTGCAGAGCGGCATCATGAAGACGTCTTATACAGGAGTCTGCCCTGATGGCCCTGGGATTTTTAAGGAGGCGCAAATCGCATTCTTGTTCTTTTCCTTCTAGGAAATGGACCATTGGGTGGTGCTGGCGGCTGGAATACTCGCATCTGCCCAACTAGACTGATTATAAATTGCAACTCACACCAATTAATCTCATTTGTAGTTACCAGGGTTCTTTGTTCCTAGGTGCCTGGTTAGAAAAGCTTTCTGCATTGTTAGACCACCTCCATGAAACAATTACCAAGAAATCAAGCAAACTGTTGCTCCTGTCTGATTATGGATAATGTATAGAACCTCATGTAGTGTTTAGTAGGGATAACATTCAGGTTACCACGGAAATGACAAACTCAAAAACAGTGGTCAAGAAGGTAGCAGAGGGCCGGGGATTTAGCTCAGGGATGTAAGCACCTGCCTGGCAAGTGCAAGGCTATGAGTTCGATCCCTGGTACTACAAAAACAAAACAATAAAAAGCAAGTAGCAGAGACCAGGTGTGGTGGTGCACGCCTGTATTCCCAGCACTTGGAAGGCTGAGGCAGGAAAACTGCTGTTAGTTCAAGAGACCAGCCTGGGCTACATAGTGAGTTCAAGATCAGTCCGAATACTACATGACAAGACCCCGGCTCCAAAAATAAATAAATAGAGCAGAAAGAGGGGCTTGCTGATCCAGCTGTTTTCAGTAAGAAAGTAGATAGTGTCTCTTTCTGTTTGCTTTTTGAGACAGAGTTTCTCTATATTCTAGGCTGGCCTCCAATTCACTGTGTGTCCTAGGCTGTCCTTGAATTCTAGATCCTCGTGCCTCGGCCTCGCAGGTACTGTGATCATGGGTATGTAACCCACTGCAGGCACACGCCAGCAGGAGCAGTCTGTAAAACCACACAGGCTGTGATCCCCCTGCCCATATCACTTGTTCTCTGAGTTAGTTTCAAGAACACGTAGAACATGAACTTTTTAAATTACCTAGATTCTGTCTTATAACCATAGATTTGAAAAGCAAAACCTTTAAGAATAAAACATGTGCTCTATAAAAGTGCAGTGTATAATGTTTGTCATTGTTGGTTTTCTTTAAATGTTCATTTTCATGCTGGGCATGGTAGCACACCGAGGATGGCCTATAACCCCACCACTTAGGAGGCTGAGGCAGGAGGATTGCTGTGAGTGCGAGGCCAGCCCGGATTACATAATGAGACCCTGTCTCAAACAAAACAGAACAAAGAAAGCTCATTTTCAGTGTAAACTTAGTCCTGAGTTAAAGTAACATAATTGCAGAAAAATGAATTCTTAGACAAATACTAGATTCAAGATGAATTAATCACCCCAGCCTTAACAGCTGTCCCCTCCAATGGGAGAGGCTAAATGTGGCAGTCACCCAGTGAGGGGCCCTAGGCAGGGGAGAGCAGGGCAGCTCAGGAAAGACCAAGAGGTGGAAAGGAGGGCTGGCCTGCTTTCGGGGGGCTGTGCTGAGATGGGCTCCCGAAATCACTGTTCTGGGGTGGAACGGGCTTCCTCTTAGTGCCTGTGGGCTTGGAGGCAGTGCCCTCAGCTGTCCCAGCCCTGCAAGGCATGGGACACTTTGTAGGGGTCTCCATCACCTTCCCGAGGCTGCCTCAAGGCCAAGATCTGTGTAAAGCCCTGACGTGCATGAGGTCTGCTTCTGGGCTTGTGCATGCAGTATGCAGCTGCTGGATGGAGGGCTGGCTCCTTGCTGGTCCGCGGCTGGCCGCGTGATCCTCTCCATAGAGCAGCTTCAGAGACAGAGAGAGAGGGAGACTGAGAACTCACAGACAGGAAGGGCTGGTGCATGCCTACAGCCAGGGCTGTGCAGAGCTCCCTGCCTGCACTGCGCTCCTGGCTGCCTGAGGTCCCATAGGAGCATCCACAGGAGGAATGGGCAGCTTCCCACTCCCTCCTCCGGGTGCCCACAACAGGGCGAGGGCAGCCTGGGTGAATTTTCTGCACTTTGGCCTCCCAGAAGGAGGCAAATGTGGTCTGAAGGACTGGCCTTCTCAACAGCGGGTCACCAAGCACGCGGAGCTGCCTAAGAAAGCTTATGTGTGGCGGCTGCAAAGTTATTCTTTACTGTTTTCTTACATTTCTTTTCTGAAAGTAGAGAGGGCACTGAAGCAGGAAGTAAAAGAACCTGTGCCCAGGAGGCAGAGACCTGCTGGGAGAATCTGAGGTCTGTGGGAGGGCAGTGTCCCGGGTCCCAGGTCCAGTGTCTCTTTGGTCACACTTTCCTGTGCTTGCTGAGCCCCCCCTGGAGAGATGAAAAGCAAGGGTGTTGCATGCATTCCCTTGTGATCTGTGGCAATAAATAACGAAGACAAAAATACACAAGACAGGAGATGGTGAAGTGAGGGCTCCTGATTGTGATTGTTGTTTTAGGGGCGGAGGCTGGGGGGATGGAGACATAGCTCTGACTGGAAACCCCTGCACACCGGCAGTGGCTGCTCAGCCTTTTCACTGTGCTTGCTTTCCAGCACACGGGCCAGCACTTGGGTGCTTCAGGGCTGTGTTTGTTTTGTTAAATCTCTGATATCGCTAAACATGGGGAGGTTGCAACCTTGAGGTAACATGTGAGGACTTTGCATGAGCTTTAGCTGTTCTGAGTCAGGACGTGACTGATACAGGTGGATTTGCACCGAGAAGCAAAGACCTAGCTGAGCCCCACAAAGCAGGAGGAGCGTGGTGGGGGGGGCGACCTCAGATTGCCCCAGGGCTACCCGGAGCAGCCTGCCGAGTTTGCCCAGCTGGGCCTGTGTTCTGGTCTTTGTCTCCTGAATGCTTGCTCTCCTTAGTGAGAGGCTGACTTTGGGAAAGTGACTGTAACTGTTTGTACCCAGCGCTCTGCTGTCCCCACCCTCACCCCAGGTGCCCGCCCTTTGAGAGGCATGGTGGTGAGGCAACCTTGCCCTGGCTGTCACTCTGATCATGACAAGAGGAGACAAAGCATCCGGTGCATGCCCTCCTGTGCGCCCAGCCTGTGCTTCACACACATGACTGCTTCCATCCTCACCGCACCTCTCTGAGACAGTCATGGGTACCCTGTTTCTAAGTAGGGAATTGCAGCATGGCTCTGAAGCGCATTCTTCAAAGTCCTCAGGGGATGCCTGAACAGGGCTGGCCCAGTGAGCCTTCCTCACTGAGCAAATGTCATTCCACATCAGCGCTGAGGTGGCTCTGACCAGCCTCTTGCACTTTGTCACTGGCAAATTGCTGTGCCACAGGAGCTACCAACTGGCTGGGCAGCTTGGCTTTTAAAATGTGTAGGGCACTGAGAGGTGGTGGTACAAGGGTCCAGAGGGTGCCTTGAGCCGCCCTGTGCTCTGAGAGAGCTCACTTCCTGCACTGGGCTCTGTGTTTGCCTCTGGCTGTGCAAAATATGTTTATGCCAGAGCCAAGTATCCTAGGATATAAAATTGTAGCACAGAGGAATCATTCTAGTTGAGATTCCAGGCCCATAAATTACTATCTCGGCAGCTGGATTGTGCATTCCAGAGCTCAGGAGGATATAAAATTTGACACCTTGATGTAGACCTCGTGGAGCGTAGCTGAAGTACAGTTGCTTCTAGAGCTGTAAGTTTGAATTACCTGACTTTTTGTATTAAAAACTATGGGCTCATTGGAAAGCAAAGAAAATGTCCATGAATGGGAAGATTCTGAAACACAGGCCTCTGTCTTTTCTGGAGGTCTCATCAAGAAGTCTTACTGGGTTAGTGCTATCCCATGCTGTGTGGGCACATGTGGGTGCCAGGGAGTCCCAGCCCATACACAGGGCTCACCCTGGTAGGTGCAGGCAACACTGGTCTGGATGTGTGGGTGCCGTGGACCGGAATCCAGTGGGTGGTCTCTAAACAGTTACTTGTTCAACAGCTGTTCCATGGGAGGAATAAACTGGTGTCATGTGAAGAAAAACTGTATGCTTCTCTAGCTTCAAAGTAGAAAGTTTGTTCCACAAATCCATGTGAGATTTTCCAAGCTAGACCTCTCTTGGCAGTATATATTAATGACTCTTCATTTAGATGGTAAAATAAATCACTCATTCCCAGTAAGCAGCATTGTGCATGAGAGACTGGGCTTTCAGTGGTACTAAACCTGTCACTCCTTTGTCTGGCCTCTGAGGTTCTGGAAGGGGTGGTGGTTCCTTCAGTTCCTTTCCTGCTGCCCAACACCCAAAAATCAAAGGAAGAAAAGTTTGTTCTGGCTTACGGGTTTTAGAGGGTTCAGTCTATGGTCAGCCACTCCAAGGCAGGAAGGGTCTCATGGAGGAGAGCAGCTCACACAATGGTGGCCAGGAAGCAGAGGGTGATGCGCAGAGTTGAGGAGGGAGAGAAACCCTTCCGGGTCGTGCCCCCAGTAACCACCATTCCAGACAGGACAGTCTTGAGTTTTCAGACTCAAGCTGCAACCATTTAAAACCTTAGGTCAAGCTCTCCCACCTTGGCGCTAGTAATATTTGAGGCTGAGGAACTTCTTGTTTTGAGTGCCGTCTTGTGCATTACAGGTTTTCTTTTTCAGCATCTGGGTCCTTTATTAGGTGCCAGTAACATGCAGACAAACTGGAAAGCAGCTATGACAGACACAGATTTCCCAGTCACTGACACATGTTCCCCAGGGAGTGGAATCTTCCAGATTGAGGACCCCTGCTTTACAAAGTGAGAGGAAGGACCACAAACATTTCTGTGTGCATCTAGGTGCAGAGTGAGCAGGTCCCAGGGGAAACATGAAAAGAAGACCTTGATTTCCAGCCAGTTGTTTAAAAGCTTCTAAGCAGCTTAATTCAGAAAGACGGCTTTGATGATTTTGACCAAGACAAAGCATTGGAGGACTACAAAGAGCCAGTTTTGTTTGTCTGGGTTGTACTTACAGGAACAAGTCAGAGAAGGTTCTAGAAGGTTACGGTGATGCTGGGCTCTTTATGAGCTTTGCTGGCATCTACTCTAGTGGCTCTGTGTGGCTGGGCATTCCTGGGCCCCTGGACCAGGCAGTGAGTCCGGCCCATCCCCAAGATGGGATCGGTCTGAGGTCCCTGCCTCCCGCTGTCCTGACAGCTGACCCCAAGACACAGCACTATCCATCCCAGGCAGGCCGAGATTGGCTGATGCAGTCACTGAAGGCTTTTCCCCCAGTCCTCTGTATAGAAGGTATAGAAAGTTGGTTGCTATAAAAAACCAACTTTTAAAACTGCAAACCTAGCTGGGCACAGTGGCACATACGAGGCAAGAGGATTGCTGTGAGTTCCATGGTGAGCTCGAGGCCAGCCTGGATTACAGAGTGAGAATGTCTCAAAAATAAAAACAAAACAGAAGCATGAACTTAGGTGACGATAATGCTGCTTCATTGCTGTATAACTTGTACTCTCAGTCCATGGAAGCAGATTCAGGGGCTTAGAACACACATGTGTATTCATTATGAGCTCCCTGTATATATTCATGAAAAATATGTGTGATTTCTTTTGATGATATGGGGATTAAACCCAAGCCCTTACCCTGACCTGTATCCCCAGCCCTTTGCAAGAAAATTTTGGGACAGAGTCTCCGAGTTACCCTAGCTGGGGTCAAATTTGAGACAGTGCTGAGTGTAAGCTTGTGCCACCATTCCTGGCTTACTCCACTGTTCTGTTACAAACAAAGATACAGAAAAATAAGTAGGCTGCTGACCTCCTAAATGTAACGGTTGTCAGTTTTCATATTTGCTCTGTATGTTTCTTTAAAAATGTCTAATGAAGTTTGAAAAAAGATACAGCCACAGTAAGAGGCTGGGGATACTTCCCCACACCCACCCGCCCCTCACTCTTGAGCCCTGTCACCATCCTGGCTTTTATTAAAATAAAGATTTTTGAATCACTTACCTAGGTAGTTGACAGTGACCAGTGGGGACCGTGGCAGCAGAGTGAGCTTGGGGGTTGGGGCTGGGGCTGGAGAAGCGCATGTGCCGTTGCCAGATGCCCCGGGAGTCACATGGGAGCTGGAGCTGGGAGCTGGGCGGGGGGCGCACGTGTGTGGCTCAGGCCCTAGTGCTGGCCTGCTAGGCCTGGCCCCAGACCGATGCTTGTTCTCTGCCCTCAGTGGGAGGGGAGCCAGACCAAGCTGAGTTATTTACACGTAAAAATTTGTTTTCCAGTAGTTATTCCTCTGCTCTTTTTACTAAACAGTTTAAAAAAGGCCAAGGACCCTTAAATAAGAAACGTAGCCCCTTAGGGCCACCAAGAGCTGACTTGCCCCCTTGCTTGGTTTCTATAAACTTGTCCTACATCCTGGATTTGAAACTGTCATCTTCTTTCTTTTTCCTTTCCTTTTCTTCTTTTTATTTATTTATTTATTTTTCTTTTTTCTTGAGACAGGGCCCAAACTGGCCTTGAACTCCCTTATGTAACCCAGGCTGGCCACAAACTCATGGCCATCCTCCCACATATACCACCATGCCTGGCTCTCATTTTCCATTTTAAGAAAAATGAGTTAAGTGCACTTTGATAGATGTGTGCCTTTTAGCAAAAGCCTGTTACCAGTGGAGCCAGTGGGAACATCACTCCCTTTACCCATGTCTTTCCTGTTTTTTATTGTTGTCACATGCGTACATGCGTGTGTGCGTGCATGTGTGTGTGTGCGTGCATGTGTGTGTGTGCGTGTGTGTGTGTGTGTGTGTGTGTGTGTGTTTGGTGTAGTTTTGCAACGCTGGGCTTCAAATCCAAGGCCTGTGTTGTGCAGGGCAAGCTCTGTACCCCTCAGCCACACCCCAGCCCTTCCTCCACCTCCTGACGTTAAGGGGCACTAAGGAATTACGTGAACCATCAAGGTTCTTGTGCTAATTAAATTCTGATTGCAAACTGTCGGTTGGTTCATGGGGACAGGGCCGTGGGGTCCAGGGTGTAGCACGTGGGCCCCATGCTTCCTTAGTCTGCCCGAGGTCCTGGGCTTGGTCCCCTGCCCGGGTTCACCGAAACACAGAGTGCACTGCAGTGGGGATCCTGTCCAAGCAAATGTCCCTCTTGCAGTCTCTGACTGTTTTCTAAGTGAGCTACCCCTCTGGGCCCATGCATGTGTTTCGGGCACAGAACTTGGAGTTGGGGTTCTTATCACTAGATGTGCCCTGGGATGCGAGGGAGCATCTGGGGAGCGGTTCGCCCCCCAAACGAAGGGCTGCTCCCCTCATTTTGTGAATTGTGGAGCATGCTGTAGACTGGGGAGGTGCCCGAAGCCTGGCTGCCTTCTAGAACTACATGGTGAGGCTGACACAGCCACCGTGGATCAGAGTGTGCTCAGTGACCTGTGCATGATGCTGTCCCCTCTCCGTAGGAAATCACCACGTGTTTGCCGGATTACTACAGATGGACTCAGTACCTCTTCATTAAACTCTATGAAGCCGGACTGGCCTATCAAAAGGAAGTAAGTTAACCTCAGCTCACTTTTAAAGCACTGTGTACTTCTCCATCTGCTTAGAGTATGTCCTTCCTAACATAAGGAAGAAAGAGCCTGGTTTGCACGGCAGCTGTCAAAGCCTGCTCCCCTTCGAGTCCATGAGATTTGCCAGAGCAGACGAAGAACGTACCTGCAGCTGCCTCAGTCTACGGCCTCTAGGGTCTGGGCTTCTGTCACCCTTGCATTCCCAGCACATGACAGTGCCTATAATGAGCTCAAGGACAGAGCACAGGTGACACGGGGGCTTCTGGGACCTTTGTCCTTCCCCTCTTGCAGCGGGACCAGCTGATAACAGAACCTCCAGGAAACCTGGCTTCTTTCCTGCAGCTCAAGGCAGGAATAGCTACCTCGTGGGGCTCTTGGGACAACCAGGAGCAGTTATCAGGCTGAGGGTGCAGCTCAGGGCAGATGCCCAGCACTGAGCAAAGCAAAACAAATACCCCCTGCCAGTACCGAGCCTGTGTGGAGTGGCCTCCTGGGAACCGGACATGCTGGGATTAAGGGTGTGTGATTACTTAGTCACTCCCCTGATTGGTTTGGCATAGTTCTGGGTGTGGCTAGTGGGGAGGCCCACTCTGGGTGTGGGTGTTACTGCCCTAAGGGTAGGTACCCCAGTGTTATACTGTAGATCCAACCACCTCCAAAAAGCCCCCACCTATGACCGAATTAAGCTTTGAGGGACATGTAGATGCAAGGCATAATAGTAACTATTAAATTAAAGACAAGGTAGCAAAAGCTACAGCAAGGGTGGGAAGTGGCAGAAATGCTGTGCAGCCATGCTGAGTGGCCCTTATTTCATAGCAGGTCACAGGTAGTGTCAAGGTAACACACCAGAATGGAAGTGTGCCTGGATTACTTAGTTATACTAGTGAACACCAGAAGAACACAGCACTTGCTAAAAGCAGAGGAGTATTTTAGTAACTATTGTAGATAACCTTAGATATTTTTTTTACTGCTACGCCCCGGAAGACAGGGTTCCAAGCCAGTGCTGCTCCCTGGATGTTCAGGGCCAGTGTGGAAGGGACTGGCACTTGTCCTCACCAAGCCAAACATGTTCAACTGTAAATAAGCACATAAAGACTTCTGCTCGGAGTCTCTGAAGAAACTGAGGAAGGGGCTGTGGGTGCGGAGGTCAGTGAAACTCAGAAGGGCTGGGAGCCCTTGGTGCTGGCTGCAGGGGCCAGGGGTTTAGGGGTGACATGGGGCGCAGGCCTGGACCCAGAACTGGGCAGAGCCGGAGCTGTGGCAACCGAGGGCATTGATCAGACACAGCCTGCAGGCAGGGCCCGGTAACAGGTGGAAAGCTAGGTGGCTCCTGAGGACAGCAGTGAGCACCGTGGCTTCCTGGAGCCGTGGCGGGGGGGGGGGGGGGGCCCTGTGCTGGGAACTGAACCCAGGGCCTCACACATGCCAGGCCATCCGGTTTTAGAAACATGTCAAGTTGGAACATTTTAGCACCCAGCACATCTGCACTCGGCGCCTTCTCTGTACCCGGCGGTGCCTGCGTGCCCTGAAGGGGTGAGTACAGTGGTAGCAGATTCACTGGAAACAGAGATAGGAGCCACCCAGGGCTCTGCAGTGGGGGTGTTTCTCACGGTGGGGCCGGAGTCCTATCAGAGATGTGAAGGTGAATCCGTGGAGACTTGAATGCAGAGTTCTTCCGGGGGAAGTGGCTGTGCTGCTGGACAGGATGTGGACCCATTTTCTGGGGTGCTGGGAATCTTTGGTGGGAGCACTGCCACACTTAAGATTTGCCCACTTTGTGTTACTCCCAAATTTAAATGGAAGTTTGTTTGTTTGGGTTTTGTTTGTTTTGTTGTCTGTTTGAGGCAGGATCTCACTAAGCAGGTCAGGCTGGCCTTGAGCTTACTTTGTAGTTTAGGCCAGTCTTAAATTTGCAGCAATTCTCCTTCCCTAGCCTCCTGAGTGCTGGGATTATAGGTGTGACCAGCATGCCCGGCATTAAATGAAAGTATTTGAAAATAACCTAGTTTCTAGATTCTGACTTCCTGCCTGGGCTGGCCCGGCCCTCGGGTTGGGGGCTTCAAGCATTCTCTCGTTTCTCTCCCTCACGCCCTCCCCACATGTGGAGGCAGGCAAGCACTATGAGAGCCTGGCCCACAGTAACTTCTCAGCCGGTCAGCCATTGTGTGGGATTGTCGTGTCCCTTTGTGCTGGATGCTAAGTGGGTGTCATTTTTTTCTTCTTTTTCCCTTTTTATTGAACTTTGAATCCTACAAGTTCGTATTGCTCAAGAAGACGCCAGCGCTGTGCGGGACGCCTGCCTGGCTGCAGGTGCCCTGGCCGTATCATCTCCAGGCTGGGGTCCTGCAGCCCAGGGAGCCTCCAAGGACTCTGCATAGGCCGCATTATTGGTCTCTCGTGTCCCCACAGGCCCTGGTCAACTGGGACCCGGTGGACGAGACGGTGCTCGCCAATGAGCAGGTGGATGAGCTGGGTCGCTCCTGGCGCTCAGGCGCGAAGGTGGAACAGAAGTTCCTTAGGCAGTGGTTCATCAGGACTACTGCGTACGCAAAGGTGTGTGTCTGCCTGGGGCACCCTCCGTGATGCCCTCCGAGGTTCTGGGTGCTGGGGAGCCTCTCCGGGTGATTGTGGGAAGGGCCTGCAGAGCTGTGGGTAGGGAGAAGGGGAGCAGGGAGCTGTGGCCTCCCTTACCTCAGGGCGGTGAACATGGGTCACCCAAGGTCACTGAGCCCGGTGTGCACTGACCTTTCAGCTCATACCACAGAGGTCAAAGCTCATCCCCATCACCTCAAGAGTCCTGCACCAAAGTCCCAGCAAGCTGAGAAAAGCAGGCAGTCCCTTACCTTTGTGGTTCTGCAAGCTCTCCAGTGGAGAGTAGGAAATTCCAGGGGCACAGAGAGGTCACCCGCAAGGAACGAGGGGATGTCCAGTCCCCATGAGGAGGCCAAGGGACACAGGCGAAGGCAAGGAGCCAACCATTGGGTGGTGACCCTTCCCGCCACTTCGATCACAGTATGACTGGCCCTGGCCTTCGCTTTCCCACCCATGATACCCAGGGTTTGGACCAGGTGGACCTCAGCTGCCTGCTGGCTTCTCTATATTCAGGGCTTGAAGGTAGAGCCCAGGCAAGAGCAGGGACTTGCTCGCTAAATCCCCAGGGTGCAGTCACCCCTGACCAACTCAGAGTACCAGGTCCTTTGGACTGGCCAGTTTCCAAATTAGCCACAGAGTAGCCCAGAGATAAGGACTGCAGTGAAAGGGACTTCTGGTCTGGTGTGATCCAGGACCACAGTTCTGATGCACAAAACAACTTCTGATCGCTGCAGACTTTGCCGACTACAGTTCACCAGCTCATAAGCCCCCACCACAGGCTGTGTATCCTCAGAGTCCCGAGACCTGTCCTTGGGGATCTCTTCCCCATGGAAGCGGCAGAGCTGACCAGGAGCCAGGGAGGGGCCTCTGGGGACTGTGGGCCCAGTGCTGGCTGCTTAGCACAGTGACATAGGCACCTGCAGGAGCAGAACAAAGGGGCTCCTGTATTCACCAGGGATACCAGCAAGACTGCAGTGGGCCATACTGGAAAAGCCACTGAAACAGTGCCTTTGTTTCGACCTCCCACCTGTGGCTGGCGCTGTAATAACCTGAGCGTAACATTGTTCTCTAAGTCATTGTTCTCTAAATCATCAAGGATTCCAGCTGTTTGGCAGGCTGGGCTGGTTACCATGGCAACTCGCCCCGCTGCCTGCTGCTACCCAGTGCAGACTTACTGAGAAAGCTTCCTTGGGAGTTGGGCTGAAAGCAGAAGAGGGAGGCCTGGCTGGGAAAGCACTGGGGCCACGGGTGCAGGGGACACAGAGGGATCCTGCTGAGGGGTGCTACGTTTTAGAGTGGGGGTGACCCTCCGTGACTGGGAAGATCAGAGTGAGTCACCTTAATTAACAGACCAAGCATGTTAAGACCAGACAGACCAAACACACAAAACTCAGATCTCTGGGGGGTAGTCATAATCCAGGCCCCCTGCAGTATTTTGGCAGTGTTTACAACAATAAAAATCACCAGACTTGTTATGAAGCAGGAAACTGGGACTCCCCATCAAGGGAGCAGACAAACAAAAACAGCCCAAGAATAAGAGCAATGACACAGATGTGGGGGTTAGCAGATGGAGCCACAGGTGTCCATTGTGTCCCCGGGGCTTGATGGGAAAGGCGGTCACGATGAGTGGACAGAGGGGAGTCTTGGGAGAGGGTGGGAATTGTGCCTAAAAATGAATGAACTGAGCCCAGTGTGGTGTCATGTGCCTAAAATCCCAGCACTCAGAGGCTGAGGCAGAAAGATTGCTGAGAGCTCATGGCCAGCCTGGGATATGTAGGAGGAAGACCCTGTCTCGGGGAAAACAGTGAACCAGATGGAAATCTAGAACAGGGAAGTACAGTAACTGAAATGAAAAACTTAGTGGACTAAGCAAGAACGCAGTACACCATGAAGCAGGAGGGAGCCCCACCGCCCTGGGCAGGAAACAGCACAGGCAGCTTTGTTACCGGATCCCACAGCCCTGAGGAGGGCAGGCAACCATCACCAGAGTCTCTGCCATGGTAAGTGACTCAGATTTAGAGGCACAAGAAATTTGAAGCAGCGTTCAGGTCAGGGTCTTCCTCTTTAAATCCCTTTCCTGTGCGGAAAACGAACAACAAACACAAACAGCATCCTCCGTGCTTGCCTTTAATGCTGCTTGAAATGGCAAAACCAACATATCCAAAAGCAGATTAAAGTGGAAGGACTGGGGCTGAGGTAGAGAAATAAAGGGATGCAGGGCTTCTTTCCTTTAAGCACCCCACATCCTGGCCTCCTTGGGGGCTGAGCGGGTCCCATCCCGGAAGATTCCTGCCCACTGACACAGCGTTGGCACGCAGGGGAGTGTCCACACAGCCAGGCCCGGGGCCAGAGCCAGCACCTAGCCCAGGTCCCTCTGGCCCCGTCTGCATCCTCACCATCAGCTCTTGAGGACTTTCCAGAGGTGGTGCGCAGACAGTGGCAGGGTGTGTGTCACAGGAAGGCAGGGCAATGGCAAGTTTGGGAATGAGGGGGCATGGGGGAGGGCACAGACATGGAAATGGGAGGGCCTGAGCAGAGACTTCCAGTTTGTTGCTGTGAGCCCATTTGGAGTCACTGTCCTCTGCCCGAGGCCGGGTCCTCGCCCCAGGCCTTCTGAGCCCTGTAGCTTAGAGAAAGCACAGCGAGATGCACCCAGGCAGCCGCTGCCTCGTGGGAAGCAAAGCCACTAGCAGAGCTCAACACATGATGTATTTTGTTCAGAATAAGCGTTCTCATAGGAAGGGGCAGGTGTCTTCTTTTTCTCTGAGATTGTGCTTCCTATTCCAGGATGGCTAACTTTGAGCGTCAGAATTGCTCCAAATAACATAACTAATCCTCCCTGTGGCTGTCATAAGTGGGGCGCTTGGGGAATCTGGGCTCCAGCAGTTTTCAGAGAGTAATTTAGCAGCGTGATGTTAACAGTGTGAAAACACATGCACAGTGCACACACGTCCTAGGCGTCCACCCAGCGCACGGCTGGTTCTCATGTGTGGTGCCCCAGTGTGGAGACACCATGGGCTGTGAATGTCCCCTGCCAGAGGTTGCAGGAAAATGTGCGACTTTAAAACCAACAGAGGGTGAGACAGGACAGGGAGGAACTGAGCATTCGTGGCCAGCTCCTCAGACTCTGAACTCAACTGTGGTTGTGAACTCAACTGGTCATTTCCTTCATCCCTCTCTCCTTTCCAGATTTTTCACAAAATGATTGTTTCTGTTACCGTGCACATAGAACAAAGCAGCGTGATGTCAGGGTGCTGTCTTGTTGAGATCCCCCCTCTGCTGGGACAAGATCCCACCTACATGCAAGCACAGTGCCATGGGGCCCAGCGCTTTCTTCCCTCCTGCCCTCTGGGGTCAAAGCACAGCCCTGGTGTTTGTCCATCAGACCAGTGAATGGTGTAGAGGTCTCTGGAGGTGAGGGACCACGTGGGCTGGGATGTGACCCAGTGGTAGAGGCCCTGGGTTCTGTCCTCAGTGCTGCACAAAGGAAAAAGCAAAGAAAAGTATCCAATGGCTCTGTGACAGCCATTCCAGCATGCCGGTGACATTTCTGTACCTGTGGTCACTGTGTCTTGGAAGTGAAGGGAAGGAGAAGGTTCTGTTGCCAGAGGGGCAGGTCCTGGGGGCATCTGTCCTCAGTGTCCAGAACAAAGAACTGGTCAAGATGCACAGTAGAGGCAGGAGGGGGAAGTTTATTGAAGGCGGAAATGATGTACCCTCTATGGGGAGAGCCTGGCAGCAGAAAAGGCTGCCAGGGGCCTGGGGATAAAGGATCTTTGTACCCAAAACACTGCCTTGGCTTTCACTACTTGCAAATAGGGCACTGGGACAGTGGTCCTATCAAAAACTCCCTTTGGCCTCTTGCTAGATGTAAATGATCAGAAACTGTGTTTGGATTGGTCCCGAGTGCTCATATGTAAATGAAGGACAGAATGGCCTCTTCTGATTGGTCCGAGAACAGGGCCACATTCAAATGAAAGGCTTTGAATACATTTTCTGATTGGTGCCAAGTAGTGCTCAGGAGCCTGGAGTCCTTTGGAGTCCAGCATTCTTAGCTTGGCTTTGCCCTTGTGGAAACATCTTACTCCACCCCTGGGCATGGGATTTTGTGACCTCTGACACATTCCGCCTGGCTGCTTGTCAGGTTTGCCCAAACCGTAATCACCCTCTGTTCTGCTGCTTTGACCCCTCCCAGGGTCAAAGGAGAAAAGCAGACCGAAGTATGGCCTGAGTTAATCCCAGAGAGAGCTGGGGTGGGTCCCCGCTATGAGATCCTCTTAGTCCAGGGATCGAAGTGATTTTGTTTTTGTTTGCATTCTGGGGACCGAACCCAGGCCAGCACCCTGAAGCTGTTCTCTAGCAGTGTGTGTCCCTCTGTCCCTGTGTGAATGAGCTGGGTGGGAGCCCTCTCTCTGCATCTGTGAATCTGCTTAACTCCCTGTGGGGCTAACACTACCTCTGCTGGACTCAGAGAGACTCAAAAGTAGCCCAGTTCCATTTGCAAAAAAGTGTTTCGTGTTGCAGTGCTACAGCAGGTAGATATTGCCCAAAATACATGCTGTATGTTAAAGAGGTTAGAGAAGAGCTGTCGGAGGACGGTTTTTAAAAATACTTATTTCTGTGTCTTCTCTAAATTCAAACAAGGCAGACATCAGGTCAAGTGAGATTTTTATAACAAAACATTTCCAGATAGAATTTCATAGGAAATCAAAGTGGGAGAAGGAGACCAAGGTTCATTCCCCCAGTGGCACGCATGCCGCCATCCTAGGACCCAAGCCAAGTCCCCTCGGCAGCTGAGCATGAGGCAACAGTTGCTTTTTTAAACTGAACCCTCAGTGCTCAGGTTTTGGTGCCAGCACTTCGAGATAAGTAAGTGGACTGGGGCTGCAGACTGGGCACTCAGCCTCTAGAAGGTTTGCTCCCCCTGCTCTGGACAGTTCTAGATAGGAACTCTCGACCTCTAAACATCTCCCACCCTGGGGGTCACTCTTCCTTTCCTGGACAGCCAGCATGCACTGTGTCTTTGGAGTGACTGCATGGAAATGGCTCCAGGAAGCATCTTCCAATAAAGACCTCTTGGCACCAAGAGTATGTTTTAGCAACACAGATTATCACTTAAAAAGAATTGCCATGGGGCTGGAGATTTAGCTCAGCGGCATAAGCGCCTGCCTTGCAAGCAGGCAGTCATGAGTTCGATACCCGGTACCGATAAAAAGGAAAAAGACAAAAAAAAAAAAAAAAAAAGAAGAAGTGCTCATCAGACCACACTGATCAGAATCATGCCAAGTTTCAGCTTTTTAAATGCTCCCATTATAATTAGATGTCACTGAATCTGTGACATCTAATTCCCTATCTGTCTCAAGTGTGTGCCTAGTTCTTGCTCTTCGGCTCACCTCTTAGTATCTCATAAATCTACTTGCTTTAAAAATCTGTGGGGCCGGGGATATAGCTGCCCAGTCTATGGACTGCCTAGCAAGTACAAAGTTGTGAGTTCAATTCCTGATACCCCCAAATATATACATAAATAAAATACAAATAAAAACCTGTATTTCTTTGTTTGCCTCACATGCAGCTTGTTGAAGAGCTGCCACAGTGGTTCCTACAGCTTGAGCTCACATATGCTCCTCTCCTGGGTCCTGTGGATTTGTTCCCTGCATTAGTTTCCCCTTTGGATGAGAGAGCCTGTTTGGTTGTGTTACCTTTAATCCTCTTTATCTCCGGCTTTTTAGTTTGAATCTTCCTCTGCCTTGTTCCTCATTATGTGTTATATTTCTAGAGCCTTTCTTTCCAGCTGGGGGTTGCTCAGCTGCTGTCTCTATGTGGCCTCTGCTCTTAAATGCTGCAGCTATTAACGTGCAGTTCCGGTTCCATTTCTTACAGCATCTTTATTTAAGTTGGGTCCCCAGGGAGTGACAGTAGCTGTCCTTAAGACCTATCCTAGACACAAGACTATTAGGCCCCTTTGGGAGCTGTAGCATAGCTGTGTATGCTAAATCAGAGCCACAGGAAAATATAGTGTTGCTTCAGATGAGATCTCAGTGTAGTTCTTCCTTGTGCAAATCCAGTGGTATTTACTTCCAGTTTTTGCATCTGGGAGAAGGCTGGCTTCTATTTAATTTATGTGGAGATACCCGAAAGCAGTGCCGAGGTCCCAGCAGGATCGGAGGATGTGGGGAGAGTGTCCTCTGGGACCTGCTGCTCAGTGGTCAGGTGAGGTTAGGGCAGCCCCGTGACCTCAGAACCCTGTGCCTTTTCACTGATTGCTCGAGAGAATCTGGATTCATTATTGGATTCCAAATGGTGTGGATCCTTGGGAATCTGGGAATCAGGGAGAAGGGAGGGAGAGCTTCTGCCTTCAGCTCTGAAAGCACTGAGTTCCTCAGATCATGTTTGAGAAAGGATTTCATAGCACTTAAAGGAAAACATGTCCCAAACACCTGCTGCTCACCTAGGTTTCTGGATTCTGTGAGCCAGCAGGAGTTGGATAAATTTGCAGGGCAAGGGGACAGCACTGGCTTGCCAAGAATCGAGACCCCTACAGCTGCTGTCATTGGAATTGCTGCACCCCAAAAAGGAGGAGGAGATAATCACAGTACAAACCCTAGTGAAACAAGAACAGCCCTTTGGGTTACACAACTGTGGCACCGCCCACATGAGCAGAGCTGAGGGAGGGGGATGTTCCCTAAAGTTCTGCTCATCATCTGCAAATCATGGCCCTGGGCCAGGCAGAAATCCCAGGCTGAGGCAGGAGGATCACTGTGAGTTTGAGGCCAGCCTGGGGCTACCTAGTGAGTGAGTTCAAGACCAGCCTGGACCACATATGAGACCCTGTCACAAAGAAAGAAGAAGAAAAAGAAATAGCAGCCCTGAATAATATGTTGAATATGCAGAGGAAACTAAAGAGACCTCCCTGAATGGTTGAAGCCATTGGTTTCATCTGGTCAATTTTTCAAATTTCTTTTGGTTTTTAAATCAAAAGATTTGCTTAGGTTTTAAGCAGGCACTTTTCCCTAGAATTAGCATATGAAAACATTCACATTTCATCCTGTCTGAATCCTTTGTCTTCTTCTGAGACCTGAATATTTTAGGCAAAGCATCTCTCCCCAAGTTTTCCTGCCTCACCAATTCAATTACAAAGACAGACAGGGCACAAGGATGGGTGCAAAGGGGCAAGTGGGTGGCGCAGCCCTGCTGGGAGGATGGCTCCAGGTACTGGCGGGCACTGGCTGGATGGAGCCTGAGCCTCTGGTCCAGCATGGAGGAGTGGAAGGAAGGAGCCGGTCCTCAGAGCGGGAACTTGTTTCCCTCCCAGGCTGTGGACATGAGGCGCAGGGTTAGTTTCCTTGCTCCCTGGATTCTCAGCTTCCTCCCCAGAACGAGTGCCACCTCCTCTGAAGCCAGCAGGTGAATGAGGGGAGGCGAACTCCTCCTTCCTGCAGTGTCCCCACTTTGTCTCCCTGAACAACTCCAAAGTGCTTCTGTCCCCTGAAGCAAACTTGACGCTCTCCCTGACCAGCCTCCCCCCCCCCCCCCCCACCGCAGGCCATGCAGGACGCGCTGGCCCAGCTTCCCGAGTGGTACGGCATCAAGGCCATGCAGGCACACTGGATCGGGGACTGTGTGGGCTGCCACCTGGACTTCGAGCTGAAGGTGAGCAAAGGTGGCCTAGCCCAGAACCCCAAAGTGTCCACATTTCCTACAGTTCCAGTAAAGACCACCAGGCATGGTGATCCTGTAATCTCAACACTTGGGAGGCTGAGGCAGGAGGATAGTTGCAAATTCGAGGCCAGCCTGAGCTACAAAGTGAGCTCAAGGCCAGCCTGAACTGCGTGGCGAGACCTTATCTCAAAAAGACAAAAAAGAAAAAAGACAGAAGCAAGACAACACTGTGGTTATTTGATTTGTAACCAGGAAGGTGTCTGTCTGAGCGAGAGCTCACCTCTTCACACCCTCCTCTGCGCCATCAGGCCCCTCCTCTGTCCTTTGAAATGAGAGGGAAGGGGAGCAGGGTCCTGAGAAAGGGAATGAGTGACCCTTGTGTCCTCCTGCCAGGTAGACGGGCACGACGCTGGAGAAAAGCTGGCTGCCTACACGGCCACCCCTGAGGCTATCTATGGCGCATCCCATGTGGCCATCACCTCATGCCACAGCCTCCTGCAGGGGCACAGCCCCCTTCGAGAAACCTTGCGAGGGGCACAGGTGCCCGGCAAAGGTGAGTTGGCTGCAGTGTGAAAGTAGACGGGGTCTGGCCTCACCTTCGGCCCCTCCCGGAGCTCGTGGTCCCCTCTCGTGGTCATTCTGTGCATTTGTTCACTTTTTACTTTTAAAGCAGGAGACTTGGGGGGTCAGAATTCTGAGGTTGCAGCCCACAGCACCCTCTCTGGCTGACCTATAGGGAAAGGGCTGCATTATTTAAATGCTGTGGGAAGCCACCAGCCAGGAAGCCGCCAAGGAACTAGTTGGGAAGAGGACTGGATCGGAGATAGAGGCAGGGCCAGGGCACCAGTGAGAGGCTGTCCCTGGGTGCCACTGTCACATCGAATCTCCAGCCCCATCACCAGTGCCTGGAGCACTTGATCAGGATGCCCAGTGCAAGGAATTGAGGGGCCACTGAGGCCCATGGGGAATGGGAGTTTCTGATTGGGGAAATGAAGAGAGAGCAGCTTCCTACACAAACTCCATGGCTTCTAGCTGAGGGGCAGGGAGTGGGGCAGGGAGGGGGTCTCGAGTCGATCAGGAAGAGGTTTCTGCAATGATTTAAGTGTTTCTACAGAAGTCTCACCCCTGCTCATTGGCCCAGACTACAAACTGCAACCCAGAGGACATCCACTGCATATTCACATCCACTGGGGTCCTGGGACCTGAGGTCCAAAGCAGGATCTGACTCAGCCACTGTGAACGGGCACAGTCTGCCGTCCCAGAGGAGCAGAATGGCCTGCGTCCTGGTGGCTGGCCAGGGAGCTGGTGTTGGTGCCGTGGAAACTTCACCTGCTTGGTTCTCACTGTTCCTGCATGGGTGCTGTCCTCACTGGCCTGATTTTCTCCTCCTACCCAAAAGAAAAACTGGGTTCCTTCAGCTATTTTCTTAAAGGGAAAAACACATCATTTTTACCCTCGTGAACATTTCGAGATTCCTTGCAGGTGAGTAATATCTAAAATTGAGAAAGTGAAACATATGATCAGCTAACCTTTCTGTTTTTCTTCTTGTGGTTCCATTGGGGACACAAATTAGAACCCCCAGGACTTCCAATATGGGGTTAACCTTTTTTCGTGTGTGTCAGGAATTGAACTCAGGATCTTGCGCTTGCCAGTCAGGTGCTTGTGCCACTGAGCTACTTCCCCAGCCCTAGGGACACAAATTAAAGTGGAGTAATTTTAACAGGAAACTAATGAACTGATAAATTATAACAGATAAAATTCTTGAGATGAAAGACACTCTGCATTGTTCATATGTGATAAATGAAGAAATTATTTTAGTTCATGCAAACAGCAGTGTTTCTGTCCCTGCTTGGGTGTTGGCACAGTGGCTGCCTGGTCATTCATTCTGGGAAATCTATTGTCAAATGTCACGTTCTATCTGGAGTAGCTGTGTTCTCCCCTTTCAGTTATCTGACATAATTCCACATGGAGTAGTATTCTGGGTCCTACCTTTTCCCAGGTCTAATTTCCAGAGTGGAAATATTGTTTAGGCAGATGGCAGCCTATTCGGTCTTCAGATTCAATTGCACATCAAGACTGGGGATTTTGTCATGTAACACTGTCATCACCTGAGGCCAGAGGGTACCTTGAATATAACACAACTTTTCTGGAAGGTAGATTGGAATGGCTCTAGAAATGTGAATAAAAAGTAAGTTGAGATGGCCCTGAGCACACGGATGTGCCTCCTTTGACCCTTTGGTGACAGTAACCCTGAGTGTTGTGTCACTGCTGAGCAACTACTGAGGGCCCCTGCAGCCTCCCATAGGGGTTTAAATCCTTGGCTGAGAGCTCCTGCTGTCACTAAGCTGGACTCTACACTTGGCTCTTGGTTCCAGCATCCTGCCCGCCGACCTCATTCTGAGAGCCAAGGGAGATTGCTTGGGGGTCTGGAAGACATCAAGGGTGGGGTCCTGGTCCAGCAGCTGGGTTGTGGTGCTGCCGACAGAGGGCGTCATGCTTTGCTTAGCAAACATGGCTCAGAGGCTTTAAGAGACAGTGAGGTGCCTCCCTGTCCCTGGATTTCCATTTATTCCTTGTTGGCTCCAGCTCTCTGGTGACAACCTCCTCTTACCTCTCACTCTGTCTGTGCTCAGCCTTGTTAGGAGCTGAAAGCCCTGTGAGGTGTCCACAGGAAGCCTCAGGAGAGCCCCGGAGGTTCATGCCGTTCTCTAGAGTCTTCTTTTGCGCCTAAGAGTGAAACATTCAAACCCTGGGGCTTTGGGGCCACAGCATCTTACACAGTGCTGCTTTGCCAGAAGGGACCCAAAGTCAGGAGAGAGGGACTTAGAACCCCGGTGTCACTGTCACCTCAGAGAGCGGCACCTCCCGGGGAGCCAGACTAACCCTTCAGTCACTATCCGCTGTCTCTTGTGGAGTGGGATGAGCAGTGAGGGACACATCTGTGATCCAGGATTTGTGTGGGTATTTTTGGTTGGTTGGTTGGTTTTTGTGGTGCTAGCAATCGAATCCAAGGCCTTTGCACTGAGCTACATCCCCAGTCCATTTTATCTTATTTTCGTTTTGAAACTGGGTCTCACTACGTTGCCCAAGCTGGTCACAAGCTCATGATCTTCTTGCCTCAGCCTCCAAGTGCTGGAATCACAGGTGCGCACCATCATGTCCAGCCATGGTGTGGTTTGTAACCAAGCTGTGGTACTTCAGCATGTATCGCAGATGAACCATTGTGAGGAAGGCTTCTCAGCTCCAGAAGCGTGGATCGGAAGCCAGCAGGGCCCTTGCTGTGGCCCTCAGGACCTCTGGCTGAGCAAGTGAGGTCGTCTGTAACACCTGCCACCCACATGTGACCATAGAGCCATTTGCAGAACACTCTGGGGTCCAGCTGCAGGGCGCACTGCTTTTCTGTGGTAGAGGAGGCCCACCTGCCAGGCAGGGAGCCCCTCACCGCAGTAGCTGGTCTGCGTCTGGACCCGAATGAGGTCAGCAACTCTGTGGCTTTGGATTTCAGCTCACATCCCCAGTACAGCCCTGGGAGGAGAAGTGGGGAGCCTGGGGCTGTAGTTTCATTCCAAGGAACACATTGTAACCACGCACAGCATGCAGGTTACTTCTGGACATCCACTGCATATTTGCCAATATTTAAGTTTAAAGATTAATTTTTTTCCTAAAGAAATAATAGAACTTTATGGGTTTTTGTTTTTGGTCTTTTTTTTTCTTTTCTTTTTTTTTTTTTTTTTTTTTTTTTTTGTCTTTTTCCTTTTTTATCGGTACTGGGGATCGAACTCACGACTGCCTGCTTTACAAGGCAGGCGCTTATGCCGCTGAGCTAAATCCCCAGCCCCTATTTTTGGTCTTTTTGAGACAGGGTCTCACGATGCAGTTCAGGGTGGCCTTGAACTCACTTTGTAGCCCAGGGTGGCCTTGAACTTGTAGGGGCCTTCTGCCTCAGCCTCCCTAATAATTACAGATATATGCCACCACACCTGGCTTCCTATGACAGTTCTACTGAAATAAAATTCACATACCCATAGGTTCACCCTCCTAAACTGTAATTGAGCTGTTTCATGGTCGTGGAGTATGCACAGACCAGTGTGAGCATCTTCAAAGAGAAAGCTCAGGCCCTCAAGTGGTTGCACACCCCTCTCTATTCCAGCCCCAGCCCTAGCCAGCCTGCACCTACCTCCTCACCCATGGATTCGCCCGGCTGAAGCATCCGGGTCAGCAGAGCTGTGTGGTACCTGTCCTTTGCGTCTGGCTTCTTTTCATTTAGCGTAACATTTTCAGGGCTCTTGCATGGCATAGCAGACACCAGTACTTCCTTCGGATTTACAAATAGTACTCTGTTGTGTTTAATTTATCCACTTGTTAGTGGATGGTCATCTGGATTATTTCTCCCATTTTTGCTGTGGTAACTAATACTGCTGTTACATCCACGCAGATCTTCGTGTGGGGGCACAGACGTCTGTTCGGCCTGAATCTCCCATGGGCCTGCAGGTGCGGTAGTGACCGTGTAGGGCTGGGTGGTGACTACCTGGGGACTCGCAGAATGTCTCCTGAAGCTCCACCATGCGCCTTCCCTGCCGGCAGTGGGTGAGAGGCCCTGCTCCCGGCGTCCCTGTCAGTACGCGTCATGTCTGTCATTTCATTACCTGGCTGCCATGCACCTTAATATCCACATTGCCCACTTGTGTGTCTTCTTTGTTCAGATCTTTGCCCGCTTTAATTTTTATATATTCTGGATATTCTTGCTTGTCAGGTACATGCTTCCAAGGAGTTGTCTTTGCATTTTCTTTAGGACATAGAAGATTTTTTTTTTCTTTTCTTTCTTTCTTTCTTTCTTTTTTTAAACTGTACTGGGAACAGAATCCAGAGCCCCAGGGGTGGTAGATGAGTTTTGCCACTGACCTACGTACCCAGCATAAAATCCAATTTCTCTCTTTGGTCTTGCATTCGTTTGTTGATTTTGCTTTGGTGTTAACCCTAAAGAAACCCTGCTGCCCAGTGGAAGGTCATGAAGATCTAGGTGTGTGTTTCCTTCCACAGATTCTGTAGCTCTAGACCTTTCGTTAGAGGTTTAATCCATTTTGAGTTAATTTTTATATGTGACATGAAAGAGAGAGCCTCACCTTTACCCTCCTGCATGCAGGCACCTCGTGTCCCATCCATGTCCTGGAAATCAAGCTGCTTCTGCTTCCTCATTTTGTGCCTTCGTTTACTCTCCTATCATAAAGTGTTTCTTTATTCTGTATGCAGGATTTACCTTTTTAAAACTTCATACGTACTATTCTGTCAACTCTGTGTACCATGGTGCCTTAAGTCTTCTCTATTAGATTGAACATTTGACTTCCTGAATGTCTGGGCCTACACTAGAGATTACTGTGGACATTTTTGGCCACATAACTCTTTGCTTTTATAGAATTTTCCTTAGGATGTATTCCTAAGAGTGAGGTTTCTGGTCAGGTGAAAGGCCTGGACATTTTTCTAGTTCTTGTTATACGTTGCTTTTATTGGTTTCCGAAGGGGTTTTATCAGCTTACAGTACCATATCCAGTGATAAATAACTCTCCCTGCAGCTTCACAAACACGTTAGCTTTTGAAGTTTTTCCAAGCTTACCAGATATAAAATGACACTTCAAGATTATTTTAATTTTCATCTCTTTCTAAAAATTACTTTTAAAAAGAATCCAAATGATATACGTATACTATGTGAAAAGTCAGAGAATATGAAACAACAACCACAAAAAGAACCAGTGAGGTGGAACATTCCTGTAATCCCAGCACTCTGGAAGCTGAGGCAGGAGGATCGTCATGAATGCAAGGCCAGCCTGGGCTACATAGTGAATTCAAGTCTAGCCTGAACTACATGACCAGACCCTGTCTCAAACAAACCAGCAAATGGAATACTAACAATACAGCTACAGCAGTGCCCCCTTGCACAGCTGTGTCTGATTATTTTGGGTCAGTGGTGCTTGTATGTGGTTTGGTGGCTAGGACAGGTTCTGGGTGAGCAGGAATGTTTTCCCTGCACTCAGGCAGTGGGGTGAGGAGCCTCTCTGTGCCTCTGCCCTCTGGGGTTTCCAGGGTGAACTGCATTTCATCTTGTTCCATTGCCGGAGCAGGACAGGGAAGTTGAGCCTTTTTGTTGGTGGCTGGACCTAGAAGTTGCTCCCAGACACCGCCAAGCCACACTTGCTGCACAGTCCCTGAAACTTGCACGCTGATGGCAGTGCAGCGTGGTGTCCAGCCAGCCCACCGAGGACTGGAAGGGTGGCGGGTGGTTTTTCCTGCTTAGACTTGATGTCAGTACAAGCTGCCAGCCCTGCCATCAGGTCCTCCAGGCACAAGTCCTAGACATGGTCTAGTGACTGTCATTCCTGCCCCAACCCCGGCCACCCGGCCTCCTCAGATGGGATGCTGCAGACTTGGCAAGGGTGTCAGAAGCACAAACCAGAATCAAACATGAGTCTCATGCAGGGGCCCAGCACTGGGGCCCTCCCAGTGGGCTGAGCTGCTGCCTAGCTCCCCAGCCTCACCCTGCGTCCCGCCCCCTTGATGAAGGAGGATCCCACACTATTTTGATGCCTCCAGGGCTACTTAACTCTTTGAAATATAAATCCTAACTCCTGGGTTTACTTTAATTTGAGAGTTTAGATATGCTTTGGGTAATTGCATGAAGTCTTAAATGTGGCAAGCGCAGCAGAGTATGAGAGTGAATGTGCTGTAACTGTTGTTAATGGTTATCGTCTGCTTACCGCCTCTCCGCCTTCTTCTGGGGACTTTGTTCAGGTCTTTCTGCTCCCCACCCTCCTGGCATTTTAGTGAAGATAGATCACGGTGGCTGTTGGCCTGGGGCGATGGTTATCACCAGCTTCATGTAAGATGGTACAGCGTTTGGATAAATTTAACTGTTTTATCATAACCAAATACACATCCACAACTAAGCATGCACACTGTGGTTACAGTTTCTTTGTCCTATAGCTTTTATTTTTCCTGAAATTCTCAGTGTCCCTTTTTTATCTTGAACATTTGTCCAAGTCTTCCCACGTGTTCTCCCCAGCTCTTTGAAACTCCTCTCTGCTCCGTTTTCCACCTATTCAGCCTGCCAGTGAATCTGTCAGACCCTTTTTCCTGGAGGTGCTTCCTGGGGACTGTGTGCTGCTGGGACCTGACCTGTGCGCTCCCCAGTTTTCTCTGCACATCCACCTCCCAGCTCTTTGCCTTATCGGTCCATGGATGCCCTTCCTGTCTTGTTTTCCCTTGTTGCATCCCCTGGTTCTGGATACTATGTCTGATCTTTTTCTTCATTTACCCCCTTGTTTTGCAGGAGTACATCCTGAAGTAGTTCCTAAGAATAGAGCACCTGGAAGGAAGGAACCATTTGGGGCTGGAATGTCTATAAATCTCTTTCTCCCATACTTCCCAGTCATTTTCTATCCCCTGACCACTTCATCTTCAGGTGTTGTGATGTGAAATTTCACCTTTCCTACCCTCCCTGGAGATAGATGTGTGTTGCTCTCCTGTATATTAGAGATGTTTTTCGAAGGGAAAAGACAGTGATGAGAATGTCTTTTCTTCCTCCACACCTGGAAAGTAACCTGCTGTTCTCACTGCTTTGCTAATGACCATGAGGGACATGTTCTTCTCTGCTTATGTAGCTCTTCTGGTCTTTGACTCGAAGTGACCCTCCTGCCTCAGCCTCCCTAGTGCTGGGATTACAGGTGTGCACCACCACTCTCAAAATGAACTTCCTGTTAATACCTTTCAAAGGACACACTCTTTAACAGCACAAAACTCAGAAGATCTAATGCCTGTTTTTCCCAGCTATCTCCTGAGATTCAGAGGGGACCCATGTCCCTGGTGACAGATGTACACCATGGGTTTGCTGTCCTTTTCAGATTGCCTCACTCCTGTGGTGGCTGTGAACTTACTGACCCGACAGGAGGTCCCCATTGTTATCCTGGCCGAAACTGACCTGGGAGGCTCTCTGGATTCCAAAATAGGTAAGCAACTATACAAGTCCTCACGGTAATGTAACACGCAGGTTTAAGACCAAAGTCCATGCTGTTCTGCCCCTCGGAAGAGCCTGCTATTGATTCTGTGGTGTTTTGCTCCTGAGTGTGGCACTGGGGACTGAACTCGGGCCTCACACGTGCTAGGCTGGTGTTGCACAGAGCTCCAGCCCCTCTCCTTTTTGTGTCATCCTTTATTGAAGAACAACATTTGAACGCATATTCATTGGATAGCACCTGGCTGGTTACCAGGGAAAATAACAAACAGTGGGCCATGGACAGAGTTAGTAGGTGAGACTCAGACACACACTGTGTACAGCCCAGATGAAAATCCAGTCTCAAAACTCACCCAGAGCCATTGGCGGGCGCTGAGAGGGGCTCTGAGCTACGGAACCAACCTGGGATTGGGCCAAGCCTCTGTAGGAAGTGAACCTGAGCTCGTAAGAGCAGTGAAGCCGAGGCTTGATCAGAAGCAGGCACTGGGTGTCTGCAAAAACTGTCACCATGCGCCAGGAAGTCTGGGGCGAAGGCTGCCGCCTAAAGCCACCTCTGTCCAATCTCCCAATTGTGGGCCCAACCACCCGTCTCCCTAGAGTACATTCTAAGCTGTAGAATCACATCTGTTTCCTTATAATGCTTTTGGTTTTGTTTGGGCAGTGAGGGGGATCGGAGTAAGTCCTTACACCTGCTAGGCAAGCATCCTATGGCTGAGCCCCTCCCCAGCCTGGCTGAGGTCGGGTGTTGCTGAAGGGACTGGCAGAGACCTCAGAGCAGAAAATTAATACTAAGCCGTTCAGAACTCCACTTCTGAATACTTAAGCTAGAGTAATTCCTTCTGCTACCCACATGTAATTTTAATCAGGAAAATTTGTTAAAATAAGCAGCCGGGATGAGCCGTGATGAAATCTCTTGCTGATATGGCCACTCGGGTTTCTGTTCTTCTTTGATATGCTGAGTGAAATCACTGACACAAGATTGAGAGTTCAGAAGGGCAAAAAAGCAGATTTCTCAGGTACGCCTGGGAAATTGTTTGTCCTGTGATCAGGATTCCACTTAACTGCATTGTCAGCATTTTATAAACCATCACTTGTTGCCCTCCAGGAAAGACAGAAGCAGAAAGAAACACAAAAACAAGAGATTAAAAAAAATTCAAGCATGGTGGCTCATGCCTGTAATCCCAGCACTTGGAGGAGGATTATTGTGAGTTTGAGACCAACCTGGGCTACAAAGTGAGCTCAAGTCTAGCCTGAACTGCATGGGGAGACCCTGACTCAAAATAAACAAACAGGAGATGAAGCCGTCTTTCTGCCATCCTGCTTGTGCTGTAGCAGAGTTTACCTCCCACGGAGCTTCACAACACACCCCACAGCTGAGAACACTGTACACAGCCACATCCATTTTGTAGTCACAGCGCCTGCTTCCAAGCGTTCCTGCTCATTACTCCAGTCCATGGGCTTGGTGTGGATAAGTGACTTTTCCTACTCCCCAACAGTGAACCTTTCTACAATGTTTATCGCCTGCCGTCTGCCCACTGCCTTCCAGTCCTCCCAGCATTCCTCACCTCAGCCAGTGCCTTTTTGCCTTAATCTTAGCTGGAGCCCCCACAGAATTCTGTACCCTGTCACAGCTTCGCACGTTGCAAAGGAAAGAACTCTCTAGTCCATCTTCCAAACATTAAGCCATGCCAGTGGCAAGGAGTCTCTTGGGGGTTTGGGATATGTATGTGTCCCACCCAGGGAGCACTGTGATAGGGATCAGGAACCCTGCTCATCCCCCGCCTCAGGGGGCCTGGGGCTCCCCGAAACAGAGCCCCCACCATCTGCAACATCTAACTTGAAAAATGGGACCAGGAATATAGCTCTGTGGCATAAGCACCTGCCTGGCAAGTGCAAGTTCAATTCGCCAGCACCAAAAAGAAAAAGAAAACCAACACCCTCCAAATGAGCATGGAAATGGTCAGATCAGAGCTACACATCAGGCCAGGGATTTAGCTCAATGGTGTAAAACACCTGCTTGGCAGGTGTGAGGTCATGAGTTTGATCCCTGGTACCACTAAAAAAACCAAACTACACCACAGGCAGCAGGGCCTTGGCCCAGGGAGGGGCCTTGCTCCCTTGAGGATATGCAAGGCTGAAGGGTCAGAATAATCACCAGTTCTCAATGCCCAGGCCCAGTGACATTGTCTGGGGTCTGAGAGATGCTGGGGGCAACATCCCTGCTCCCCAAAAGAGAGCCACTGTCCTTGTCACTGCAGGACTGAAAGGGGGCATCTCAGGAGCTTGCAACCTGCTGTTTCAGGGACCTGAAGTTATATTTTAGCATTTACGGCTATTGAAAGAGACCAAGCGAAGGAAGCAGTGTATCTGGCTCCAGGGGGCCAGGGGTGCTGGGGTCTCCCCGGTGAATGGATGTGGTTTCCAGCCTGTAAACTGGTGAAGTCCTCTGGGGAAGAGGCCCAGCACCAGTGGGGTCACGGTGACACGGGCACGTGCAGAGGTGTTCTGTGCTTCCTCCTGACCAGGAATTCCCAGCACCAGCCCGGAGGATGCCCGGTTGGCCCACGCCCTGGGCCTGTCCTACTCCCACGTCATTGAAACCCTGCCCGACGGCACAGAGAGGCTGAGCGGCTCTGCTGAGGTGGGTGCCCTGGTCTGGGTCCCACACTTCTCCCGGAACCCTGGCCTTTTCCTGCAGAGGCAGCAACATCTCAGCAGGGCACAGGGCACTGACAGGGGGCGTGAAGCAGGACAGGAGCCCAGCATCTTGTCTTGACAGAGCACATGCTCAATGGAAACACTGCACTGCCGTCCCGGGGCTGGGCAGGCTCTGAGAGGGAATCGCCAGTAGCCCTGTCAGTGTCCGAGGTGCTGCCTGTAAGATAGGAACATTTCAGTATGGAGAGAGCGGCCTGCCTCTCCCAGCCTTGGCCCCAGCTGGTCCCCATTGCCTTCAGGATAATAATTCCCACTCAGGGAACTTTGCTTCGTCAGGGAGGAGTTACTTACAATGCACACCGGGCGCTGACTGGCTGGTGTCTGAGTGCTTGTACCTCATCATCTCTGCAAGGACCTCCGAGCTGGGGCTTAAGGCAGCTGCAGTGACACGGGGCCTCCCCTGAGAGGTTTTAATTCCTTCTAAAATCTGAAGAACTTTGGGATCAAAAATTATATTCATTATTTGTTTCCGTGCCGCTGGAAAATGCAGCTTTGGGTTGCATTTTGCAGGAGGGAGGGCTGACAGTGGCAGAGGTGCCCAGAGCACAGAAAGTGGCAGTGTGCCCCTGGGGGACCCCTGGCTGGGAGAGCTGTGCATGCAGACGGCAGCTCGGCTGAGTGGCTATCATGTTCCCCCATCAGTTCACAGGTCTGACCCGGCGGGAGGCCTTCCTGGCCCTCACGCAGAAAGCGCGGCAGCTGCGCGTGGGCGGCCACGTGACCAGCGACAAGCTGAAGGACTGGCTGATCTCGAGGCAGCGGTACTGGGGCACGCCCATCCCCATCGTCCACTGCCCAGCCTGCGGCCCGGTGCCAGTGCCCCTGGAGGACCTGCCCGTCACCCTGCCCAGCCTCACGTCCTTCACAGGCAAGGGCGGCTCCCCGCTGGCCACGGCTTCCGAGTGGGTGAACTGCACCTGCCCGAGGTAAGGCACTGCAACCACGCAGGGCAGGGACAGTGCTGTACCCCGCGGACTCCCCTGGAGGCTTTGAAACTTAGATGGGCTGGGAAGCCCTGGATATCTGTAAGCGGGAAATGTGGGCTCCAGCTCCAGGGAGAGGCTGGCTCCCCCTCTTCACTGATGCCGGCAACACAGGGTGTCCCTGCTGGTATAGCAGCCCACAGGCAGCCAGGGGAGGAGGCATCAAGGCTCGCAGGCTCCTGAAGGCCAGAGGCAGGGCTGACAGCCACTGGGCAGTGCCAGCAGGAGGGAGGGCCCAGAGTGTGGACTGCAGCCAGGCATTTTGCTCTGCTGTGTCCTCAGTGTATAACCTCGCACACCTGTGAGGACCTGGTGGGGTCACCTGACGCTACTCTTTCTGTGTCTCCTTCCTTCCCTTCTGCTGCCATCTCTCGGTCCCCTTCCCCTTTGCAGAAGCACTAGCTCCCTGTCTCCCACTGTCTATCTTTATTGTGCTCTGTGTTTATACTTTGGGTTTCTAGTAGAAGAGAAGCCACATGATCCTTAGGTGTGGGTGTCTGGTTTATTGCACTTAACATTATGGTCTCCAGATGTATCCATTTTCTTACAAATTGACTTAAATTGATCCTTCTTTATGGCAAAGTAGTACTCCATCATATAGAAATACCGCATTTTCTTTATCCATTCATCTGCTGATGGACATGTGGGGCTTTCCCAAGACTTAGCTGTTATGAACCGTGCTGCTTTGACCATGGCTGTGCATGGAAAGCTGTAATATGAAGCCTTGAACTCTTTCAGGAAGATGCCTGGCAGAGGAACACCTGGGTGGGATGGAACCTCTGGTTTTAGTTTTCTGAGGAGCTCCATATTGATTTCCACTGTAGTTGTAGCAGTGGATTCTTGACTCTTGAGCCCAAGGCCTTGGGTGGGTCTCTTTTCCTCTCTGAAATACAGAACAAGAGCCTGAGTGGTTTCCAGCTCCTGATCTGCTGCCTTTGAAGCAAATGCTGCCCCTGCCATCCATGGCTGCTGCCTGCCGGGGCCTCATTTTTGTCCCCCACCCCCGTCTTTGGTGTCCGCACCGGGACTCCATTGTTTTCAAGCTCAGCAAACCCTCGGAGAGGAGCTGACAGGAAAATCTGCCTGAAGCCAGCGGCTTCTCTATAAAATCCAGCCCAGTGCTTTCTCCTTTGCTGATACCTGGGCACAGATTAGGTGAGGAAGAAGAGGTGCCTTTATCTTCTAATTATTTCTCAAAATAGTGTCTGCTTTCTGCTGGATCCCACTCCAAATCAGAATCAAATCAGATCAACTGCTCTCGGTGGCAGGGACCAGGGTCCCAGGGCTTTGCTGACAAGCTCGCACCTAGCAGGAGATCCTGGACCCTTGGCTCTGAGCTCTCTGTTCGACCCCTTTGATTTAATCAGCAGGCATGTGTGCCAGGGACAAGGGGTGACTTTCCTTCTGCACTATTTGTAAGGCTGATACAAACTGTTTCACAAATGCAAGCTAGAAAACACAGCCTTATTTTGGTTTTTTTTTGTTTTAAAATTCAAAGCAGATCCAAACCTCGCATGTTTAGTTAGCAGAAGATCCATCATTCCCTCCTCCCCGTCCTGCTTGCGAGATCCTGAGGATGCCCACTGCGGCCCTAAGGAAAAGGTTCATTTTCTTTTCCCTCTTCACACACAGAGGGGCTGGAGTGCTGGGCTCTGCACCCTCCGGGAAGAGTCCACCCTCTGGCAGTGGCAGCGCTGTGCTCTGGAATTTGGGACAACCAGCTCCCTGTAGGACCTCTGATGTGCAATGTTTGCCAATTTCTGTGGTGATCACACCCCTACCAGAATTCATTTCGAGCCATAAACTTGATGCCACTTGCCACAGAGCTGAGATGGAGATGCTAACAGTGGTCCAGGATATCCCCACCTGGGGGCCTCCAGCATCATTTGCTTCCCGGGCTGCCCAGGGGGATTTCTGTGTCCCCTTGTCTTAGAGCAGAAGTAGAAAGGGAAACCAAGTTCCTTTCTCAGCACCTCTCACCGCAGGGTCTTTGGTTTTTCTTCATGCGTCGATTGGCTTAAAAGTGCCCTGATGTTGGCAGTGGTTGGGAGCTCCCTGGTTGTGCCTACCATAGACAGCGACATACAAGACATGGCCCTGTCTCACCCTTTCCGGGGCTCCGATTTTCTACCAAGTTAACCTGAGAGAAGGAGAGAGTGAGCTGTCAAATATGGAAGACCAAAATGTTTGTGTTGCAGATTTCCTGAAAACTTGCTCCAAATTACCTTCCCGGAACACAGCACTGTTCTCACGGCATTTAAAATTCCTCCTCGGCACGGCTCTCTCAGAAGCCAGTGTGAAACTTCTTTAACACTGACGGAGAATCCGTTGATGAACCTGGTTTACTTCCTAGGTGCCAGGGAGCTGCCAAGAGAGAGACGGACACGATGGACACTTTCGTTGATTCCTCGTGGTACTACCTCCGGTACACTGACCCCCGGAACCCTCACAGGTGACAGCCCGACCCTACGGCCCCCAGGGAGCAAGCCCTAAGATAGAATTAGAAATGTCACAGAGAGGACCCCACAGACCAGAATACAGAGCTGACAGGAGGAAGGGAGACCTGGGGGGCTCCAGCCAGGCCCAAGGGGCGCTCACTCGGTCCGAGCCCCATGGTCCCAAGGTCCCCAAGTCCTGGGTGCGGCCAGGCAGCACAGGCTGGCAAGAACCCTGCCCAGATCCTGATTCAGCAGAGGCCTGGGTTTGAGCTGCAGGCCTGCAGGCCTATGAAAACAAAAAAAGGGAAAGCGGCTCTCGAAATGGGGACGTGATAAATTCACAGCCAAGTAAGTCTGTGCATAGGACAGATACATAGGAAGAGAGAGGAAATGCCATCCTCACTGTGCCCTGGCTGTGTGAGGCAGTAGCACAAATGTTACTTAGTTACCTAGAGACAGCCAGGTGACTGCAGGAGGGCAGGGGAGGGATAGGAGGGCTAAGAGGCGCTGCCTCCTGTGTGTACAGCCAGGGGAGAGCTCTCAAACTGGAGCCCGCGGTGTAGCTCAGCAGCATGGCACCTCCTGCCAAGCGCAAGGCCCTCCATTAGATTCCTGGTGCCAAAAAAAGAAGATGAACATAGCTTTGAAATATAATTACCTGCAGAAAGAGCTGCAGAGTCGAAAATGGGTGAGGGGCAGCTCTGGTAGGAAGAGAATCTTAGGGCTGAAACCCTGTGTTTGTGATACATCCTTCAAGAACTTTTGAGGTTTTTTTGGATAGGTGTGCATGTGTGTGTGCATGCATATGCATGTGTGAGTACATACCTGTGTATTTTCTTTTCTTCTTTTTTTTAATCTTTTTGAGACAGGATCTTGCTATGTAGTTCAGGCTGGCCTTAAACTCACTTTGTAACCCAGGCTGGTCTCAAACTGGCACCAATCCTCCTGCCTCAGCCTCCTGAGTGCTGGGACTATAGGCATGCACCACCATACCCCACTGCATGTGTGTTTCTTTGACCAAAAAAAAACCATTAATGGAAAGAGCGCTTATATGAACCTTGCTAGGCAGCTGTCATCTATGGTAGAAGTTTTCTGGAGCCCTGTGGTGTGAGTAAGAAACGTCCCGACTCTTTGCTGGCTGTAGCCCAATGCTTTTCCGGTGGAAGGGGCTCCTACCCACCCTTCCAGAACCCTAGCCTGCAGTACTATGATCGCAGTGTGAGTCATTTTGAGCATGAGTGGGATGCAGTGTGAGTGGGTACACAGCTCGAGGATGCCGAGTCCCCTTCCCGGGGGCCTTGGCTGTGGGGCCAGCCGGAGAGCAGACTTGCCAGTCTCAGCTCCTCGGCCTTTATTCAGAGGTACAGCGCTGTGCAGGCCTGGGGCTGTTTCCAGGGATGTCCGAGGACTCCGTGGCCACCCACTTGTGACCAGCCCAGAACCTTCGTTACTGGCTAAGCCTGTGTCTGGCCCAAGCTCCCACCAGCGTGGGTTCTGGGCGGACCAGCTACTCTCGGCATCCTGCTCCTTAATTTATCCCTAGCTTGTCCCCAGGCAGACAACATCCTTCACTTCCTTACCGTTGCCTGGATCTGCAGTTGCATTTCTTTAGGGAACCATTTTTTCACAGAGAGAAAAAAAATGCTTTTTACCTTAGCAGAGTGTTGGCGTAGTAACTGGAGGAGAGAGACCCAGCTATCGACAGACATGCGGTGGTGGCCAGGCTTCCCCACCTACAGAGGGCCAGCTTGGCCAGGTTCTGGGGCTGGGGCTGGGGCAGGGAAAGTCACCAGATCCAAAGCCTCTTAGGACAGACCTCCAAGAGTACAGGGCTGTTCGACCCTTAACCTTACAGGAGGACGCGGCTTTGAGAACGGAGGGTCCATCCCGCCGGATGCAGCCCTCCCTCCAAGGTTCGAGCCAGAAAATGGAGAAATGGAGTTTCCTCTCCATCTCCTTCCTTGCCTGTTAGGCCCAGGACCTCCAGGAAGCCGCCTTGTAGCATCTGGTATCCAGCAGGGGACAGCTGCGGGGCTCACTTGCTTACGGCAGTTACACCCTGAGCCTGAGTCCTTGCATTCAGGACCATTCACAGGTTCTTGCTGGCCATCTGAAAGCTACTTGGAAACAGAAGGGTACTTGGTTCTAAAATGAATTTAGCATCTGCACATTAGTCTGTTCTGAACGCCTCCTGCTCTCTTTGGGTGAGAGCTCAGCTGTCAACCCTCTGCCCCTAAGGAAAGTGGAAATACTCTCCGTGTTCAGCACACTTCCTGCCCAGATGCCTTTGTGCTGGGACGTTTGGCTCTTTTCTCATTTGCTATGGATATTTCACTTAGTAAAATATGTCAGCCCCATCTTCCGTCGCCATGCTATTCTCATAAGTGAATACCGGCTGGCTTCTTTTCCTTTATTACACAGCTTTTCTTTTAATGTACTCTTGAATGGGAATCGTTCATTCCAGGGCCCAGGCAAGTGGCAGCAGGCCGCCTGGCACCCAGCTCTGGCAGCTCAGCCTTAAACGCCTGCTCTCTCTGCAGCCCTTTTGCCCGCGCACTGGCTGACTTCTGGATGCCCGTGGACCTGTATGTCGGAGGGAAGGAACACGCCGTCATGCACCTATTCTATGCACGATTCTTTAGCCACTTTTGCCATGACCAGAAGATGGTCAAACACAGGTGAGCATCTGTAGTGCTTGCAGAAGAGCTAAGTTCATCAGTGGTCAGGTCTTCTGACTCGGGGTAAGGCTGCGCAGCAGAGGACTTCTGTCCTCCAAGTGTGCCTCAGAGGTCACCGTCAGTCTTAGCAGCGTGAGCTGTGTGTACCCACAGTGCACACCACACAGAAGGCACACCAGCCTTTTCTGTGGGGCGGGGATCAGGAGGGAGCCTCAGAGTTTCACTTTGAGGCAGACGAGAGGCCTGTGGTGAGAACTATGGTAAATATTTAAACACTTTAGCCAGACGTGGTGGTGCAGTCCTGTAATCCCAGCACTTGGGAGGCTGAGGCAGGAGGATCACTATGAGTTTGAGGCCAGCCTGGGCTACATAGTGAGTTCAAGGCCAGCCTGAACTGCATAGTGAGACCTTATCTCAAAAAGACAATAAAATAAAATAAAAACTTACTGTAGTAAAGGCACGTGGCCATCCATCAGCCCTCAAAATCCACCCCCACTTTGTTCACTCTCCTCCCATCCTCCCCACCACTTTCTCAAGCAGCTCTGGAGTCCTGTGCCCTGAGCATCTGTACAAGGTGTAATCAAAAATGCAGTGAAAGGCATCCAACAGAAGGCAGCTTGTAAAACCACAACGCTGGGTCCTCGTGCACCTCATTCACTGGACTGGCACCCTTCTCTCCCTAGGGAGCCTTTTCACAAGCTGCTGGCCCAGGGCCTCATCAAGGGACAGACCTTCCGCCTGCCCTCCGGACAGTACCTGCCACGGGAGCAAGTGGACCTCACAGGTGAGATTCCCTGCCCAGGCTTTGCTAGGCCTGGCCGGTCCTTGGGGAGGAAGGACGCCAGAGAAGCAGAGAATACCTCTGGCAGTAACCAACAAGGAAAGGAGCCAATCTAGGGCTGTAGCCACCTCAGCTCCGAAGGATGTGTTCTCTGTGTCACAGGCGTGGTCGCCCATGGATGGTTGTTAGGTTTGTGCACTGCACAAAGGCACCTGGCTAAGGGACATTCAGACACTTGACCAACTGCCCATTTCTGGGCCACCGCTGCCAGCAGAGAGCATCTCGCTCCTTCTCAGCTCTCTGTGTAGAGACACTTTTCCCAGTGTGCACAAGAGTGCTTATCTAAAGCCAGACCCTTCCCAGGCTGGGCCCCAGGAGGTGTCCCTCAGCCCTGCAGTCCTGGATAAGCTCTTCAGGGATGTCCACATCCTGCGTCCCATGTCCTGGGCCAGGTGGGGTGGTGATGTCTCTCCCGGGGGCTCTGCTAGTGGGGAGGTCACTGAGACAGGAAGCCCTGTTCTGGTTTCTCCGTTCCAGTTCTGACTGCTGAAATGCGGGCTGCCACTGGTGGGGGGTGGTCAGGGACGGGAGTGGCTAGCAGGGGGCGGCGACTCTGTCTTGGCTGTCCTCCTGCCTCCTGAGCCCATGGGGACCTGGGTCCACCCTGCCCATTTTCCTTCTTAAAGTGACTTTGGGGACACCGTGGCCAGAGAGCTTGCAGTGCAGTGCCCAGGGACCTCAGTTGCCAAGCAGAGGCTCCGCCAGTGCTGACCTCTGCGCCCCCCCCACTGGGTGTGGCATGAGGTCCCCTGGTCCAGCTGGGCCCCTGAGCCTCTGCCACCAGCACCAGCCGGCCAGCGTGTGCCAGGGAGGGCACAACCCAGAGGCCAGTGCCAGCCCACGCACCCTCATGGTCAGGCCATGGTGACTCGCGGTGGCCTCCTGGCTGCCTCCTGCGAGACCCAGGCCACAGCAGGGGCCACGCACATTGTCCTACTCATTCCTGCTTCGCTTCTCATTCTAAGTGATCCGCTTGTGAAGGGGCCTTTGTTTTCTTAGAAAAAGGTGGCACGGTCTTTAGTGATTGTGCTGTTTACTGGGAAAGGCTCTGGGAGGGCGGTGGGCTCTTCTGTTTCAGAATAAAATCATCTCCATCCCACAGTGGACAAAAGAGAGAGGTGTGCGCGGAGTGTCTGTGAGATTCTTCCAAGCTCACTTGTCCCGCTTGCCCAGATTCATTCATCTTTCCTTTCTTCCCCTTTCTTTTTTTCTTAATTTATTTCTTCCTTAGCTTTTCGGTTTTGGTTTTTTGAGACAGGTCTTACTGCATAGCCCAGGCTGGCCTTAAGCTTTCGGTGACCCTCCTGCCTCAGCCTCCTAAGCACTGGGATCACAGCACACACCAGCACACCCAGCTCACCCCAGATTTTCTGATCTGCTCTCCCAGGGCCCCTCACGGTCCCAACACTTCCTGCACCTTCTCGGTCCCTAGGTGGCGTCCCTGTTCACTCGGACACGCGGGAGCCGCTGGTGGTGTCCTGGGAGAAAATGAGCAAGTCCAAGCACAACGGCATGGACCCTGAGGAGGTGGTGGCGCAGTACGGGGTGGACACCACACGGCTCTACCTGCTCTACGCTGCCCCGCCTGAGAAGGACATCCTGTGGGATGTGAAGAGTAGGTGTCCTGTCCCTGCCTCCCTCCAGTCCCCCCGACTCCCAGCTCAGCCCCCTGGGCTCCAGGAGCTGGGGTGGGGGAGCAGGAATGACGCCACCCTCGCCACCATGGGCTGGGTCCCCAGTAGCCATCAGTGCAGGCTCACGGACTCACACTAGGTGATGGCAGACTCTGGCAATGTGACGCCTGTCCCTGCAGGCGCCATAGTGACGCCTGGCTCTGCGCTACTCCTTGGTGGCCTGGTCCTCTCTGGACCAGAACTGAAAGGTTCTTCTAGCTTCCAGAGCAGCGTCCCCTCCTCCCTGGGCAGAGCACCCCAGGCCTCCTGAGCCTCTCTGGCCTCTGCCTCCACTATCCTGTGGCTCTCAAGGGACAGGTGGTGGCATCGTCCTGGGCATCGGACCATGCCAGGTACATGGTCCAGCGTACATGTGGGTGAGGCCGGCCAGGGTCTTGGGCTTGAGAAACAGGCACAGGGTCCATGTGCAGGGTCCCTGACCTGGGCCACATACCATGGTGTGCTGGGTGTGTGGACACAGACACCTCACTCTGCTGCCGCCCTGCCAGCGCGCAGTCTGTGCCATGGCAATGCTCCCCTAGGTCCCAGCACTCTGGGAGGCTGAGGCAGGAGAATTCCAAGGCTGAGCCCAGCCTGGGCCACTTGGTGGCTTAGTGAGGCCCTGGGTCTAAACATAAAACTAAGAAGGGCCAGAGACACAGCTCAGCATGATGGCCCTGGCTTCAGTGTCCAGCAGCACAGGCTCACATGCACATGCACACACCCCGGCTAGGATGGAGTGTGTGAGCAAGGTCGCTCTGCCCTGCGGTGCTGCAGTGCTGTGGCCCAGAGCAGGCTGCTGTCACTGTCGCAGCCCCATGTCCCTAAGCCCAGCAATGCGCTCCGTAGCCCAGCTGTGTCCCCACTGCCCTTCCAAGGGGATTGGACCTCTCCCCTCATGGTGACGGTAGATCGGGGCACGGCCCTGCCGGGCCCCCACCTCCACCAGCCTCACCGTGGCCTCCTCTCTCCCCCCACAACCCAGCCGACGCCCTCCCAGGGGTGCTGAGGTGGCAGCAGCGCCTGTGGGCCCTGGTCACGCGGTTCATTGAGGCCAGGACTTCCAGGGGGGACCCGCAGCCCACACCACTGAGCAGCGCAGAGGAGGCCGAGGCCAGGAAACTCTGGGAGTACAGGAACGCCGTCATCGCTCAGGTCAGCGCAGTGGTCAGCTTGGCCAACCTCAGAACTCTGGCTCGGGGCAGGCGATCCTCTCCAAGGCGACCAGGGTCCAGTGTGGCCTCACAGCTGCCATGTGTCGCCACCACAGCGGAGTCGGGGGTCCCAGTGACACCACAGCCTTTATTTCAGCACCCTGTGAACCCCTGAGGTCTCAGATGTGTCCACTTCTGTGCTCTGGCCTGGTCAGAGCTGAGACGCACACATGCACACGTGCACATGTAGGCTCTGAGTCACACGAAGTGTCCCGAGTTGGCCTACATTTCAGATTGGGGGGCTGACGCTCCCCAGCTCTCACCTAGACCCCGTCACTGGAGTGAGGAGGTGTGAAGGTCCCTCGGCCCAGGTCTCCTGCCCCTTAATGTTTGCTCATGGCGGGTCCCGCCTGAAGCAGCCAGCACCAGCCTTGCTTGCTGACACCTGCATGGAGACAGAGCTGTCACAGATGCAGCAGAGGAGGCATAACTCCCACCAGGACACAGCATTGACTGGGAACTTCAGAGTCTGTGCTGGTGACATAGGGTTATCGGAGATAGTAGAGCTTAGTTGATAAATATCTCTGCACGCAGCTTTTTTTTTTTTTTTTTTTTTTTTTTTTTTTTTTTTTTTTTTGAGGCAGCTTCTCACTGTGTAGTCTAGGCTGGCCTTGAACTCACTATGTCATAGCTCAGACTAGCCTCAAACATGAAAGGATCTTCTGCTTCAGCCTCCTGAGTACAAAAGTTGCCCAAACGTACCACCCCACTTGCCTAATTTCCCCTTTTTCGAGAATTCTTCTGGGGATCTTAAAGGAATTTTGTAAAATGGGTAATTCCTCTTCTGCTGGCAGGTGACCGCCCACTTCACGGAGGACTTGTCCCTGAACTCCGCCATCTCGCAGCTCATAGGACTCAGCAATGCCCTCTCGGTGAGCGAACTGGCATCTTTGCAGCTGGGGGCGGGGGTGGGGGTTGAGGTGTGACACAGCAGCCCACAGGGTCCCACTCTGTCACCTTCTTGGCACATTTCTGTCATCCTCAAAAAGATTTTCACTGCGGCACAACCTGTCCGTGGCCGGAAGCCGTTCCAGGGCCCCGGATCCACAGCCTGTGCTGCCCGGGGGCCATGAGCCCAGGTCGGTCAGGGCAAACCCAGGGCCAGCGCTGGCCTGGTATGGGCTCTGCACTCCTGCGTGCCTAGTGTTGTCCGATCCTGGAATCCGGAAGGATCCGCATGACCCTCACTGGAAAGGGAGACCTGCCCTTCCCCTGCCACTGTTCCCTGTGACACATGACTCCCGCTTTGCTGATCGAGGGAAGAATTTTCCAACAAGCAGCAGCAACTGTGGGGAACACACATCACAGTGATGAACAAGGGCTTTTGAGCGTGAAGGCCTCTCCAGGTTGCAGGAAAGGGGACCTGGCCGTCCAGCTCCATGGTAGGATCCACTTCCCAGCGCTAATAGGCAAAGAAGAAAAATTCTGCAGATTTGACTCCAGAAAAGTGGATGTTTATAGAATATTAGAATGACCTTAGAGCTGGGCATGGTGGAGCACACCTGTGATCCCAGCATTTTGGAGGCTGAGGCAGGAGGATCACTGTTGAATTCCAGGCCAGCCCGGGCTCCATAAGTGAGTTCAAGGCCAGCCTGAACTGCATGGTGAAACCCTGTCTCAAAAAGAAAAAGACCATATTTATATGAAAACCACTAACTCAGTGAGGCCAGCGGAGCTGAAGCCTCAGCAACCCAGGCCTTCGGCTGCTTGTGACCTGAGGCAGCCCCTGAAGGTGATTCAGTGGCAGAGGCCTGGACCCCACACATACACCCTTGGAGCAGGTCAGCGTGACCGTGGCCCCTGGAGGCCAGGCTGAGAGCCCAGGGTGACCTGTCTGCTCAGCGGGGTGGCCTCCTGGCCTTGGGGACTTGCGGGGCAGCAGGAGCTGCTGGGAGGTGGGTGCTGTGTGGAACCCTAGGGTTAGTGATGTGCATACTGCTGCCCGCCTGGGGGTGTAGCTGCGTTGCCCTGGGCATTCCCTGTGTTCCTGTCCTCTCACGAATACTCTTGTGTCCCCAGCAAACCTCTGCCCCAGTCCTCCACAGCGCCGAGTTCGAGGATGCTCTCTGCGCCCTGCTCGTGATGACCGCCCCACTGGCCCCGCACCTGGCCTCGGAGCTCTGGGCAGGTATGTGGGCACGACTGGGGCTCTGTCCACGGTTACCCTGCCACCAAGAAGGACATACCCCACCATGCAGAGTGGACTTGACTCAGGGAACATTGGGGCCACCGTAGAGCGTCCTTCCCCATGTCATGGTCCCCAGGGCCATAGCTCTCGAGAAGGCAGCATGGAGGAGGCATCTTTGCTGGTTTGCACTTTGTCCTTCCCCAAATGGTCATCCTAGCCGACCTGGTGACCGGCTGGTCCTGAGCCAGTGCTGAAATGGCCAGAAGCTCGGCTCCTAGAACTCTCTCCCCACCAGAGAACTGCAGGCCCAGAGAGGATCAGGGCTCCCCATAAACCCTCAAGGTGGGATTGGCCAGGCAGATGGGGACAGGCAGGGGCAGATGTGTCACTGAGCTAGGCAAGGTCACACTGAGAGCATGGGGTTTGTAGAACTAGCATGTGTGACCTGCATTTGATCAGGTGTTCCGTTTGCCCAGGCCTCTCCTAGTCCAGTTCACTATTGTGGCCCAGCGTGTGTGAGGCCCTGGGGTCAGTCCCAGCCCTGCAAACAAAGTGAATACAACTGAATGAGAGGATGGAGGGGTGGGTGAACAAGTGGACTCCTGCTGCTGGCCCAGGAGGAGAGCAAGAACCCGGCTAAGGCCAAACCCTGAGAGCCTCAGGTGGGCCTGAGACTCCCACAGCCTGGCGGTGGGACTCTGTGGGCAGCAGCCGTGGTGTCTGTCACTTCTTCGTGAGAAACTAGAACCCCTGCTGAGCTCAGACGCCCCTGGGAACCTGAGCACCATTCTGCACTGCAGAGGCGCAGACAGTGCAGAGGCCACACACACCCTGGGGCCTGCGGTAGGGGGCTGGGGACCCCCAGTAGAGGATGGGTGATCCCCTGACTGTCTTTGATGGGACTTGAGTTGGTTTCCTAGGGTGAGCAAAGATTTACCTCCGAGCATTTCCAGTGAAAAATGGGTCTTTGGTGGTGTTCTTTTTTGATGGTGGTTTTTTATGTTTGTTGTTGTGTATCAAGAATCGAACTGAGGACCGGGCAGGCACTTGTGCCCCTGAACTACATCTTCAACCTGAAGGTGCAAATGTTTCTGAGTTTGGTTTCACTTTTGACTTGTAGATGTCTTTAACAAGGCACCCACTCTGCATGATGACTATGACCAGAGTAGCCGTCCCGCCCCACCAGCTCACCCGCTGCACCCGCAGGGTGTCTCTTCCAAGTGAAAAAGCAGGCACCTGTCACCTGTCCGGCACTCCTGATTCCTGGGGTTCCTGGAATGGTACCTCAGCCTCCAGCCCAGGCTCTGTTTTTGGGGTGTTTGTTTGTTTTGTGTTTTTGGTGCTGGAGATGGAACACATGACTTTGCACTTGCAGGGCAGGTGCTGTGCTGCTGAGCTGTATCCTTAGGCCTGAAGTCGGTTTTGGAGCTGTGCGTTCCCTTTGGCTGATTTAGTTACTGGGTTTCTGTAAATTTTAACATCTGGTGGACTGTTCTTCCTGTATTTCTTTTCAGCTAGTTATTTTAGCTCTTCTTGATTTTTTGGTCTTCTCAGTGGAACTGATACAATTTTTACATTCCCACAAACTGTATATAAATTAGTAAGATTAGGAAAAATACATGAAGATTAATGCTATTGTAAACACGAATCTGCCAGTCCAATAGATCAATCCAAGTGATTTGAATCTCTTAACAGACTGAGAAAGGAATTGCTTGTGATTTTATTAAAACTATTAAAGTTTTAAATATCTTTTTAAAGGTGTAATTGGCAAAATTGTACACATTTACAACGTACAATTGTGATTTTTTGATTTTATGTATGAGTGTATATATAAATATATATATATATATATATATTTTTTTTTTTTTTTGAGATAGAGTCTCACTTTACAGTTCAAGCTAGCCTTGAACTCAGTATGTAGCCCAGGCTGGCCTCAAACTCAGAGTGACCCTCCTGCCTCAGCCTCCCAGGTGCTGGATTACAGGTGTGCGCCACTGCACCCCACTATATATACAGGTTTTTTAAAAATTGAGCTGGTTACTGTATCTATCACCTTACCATATTCATCATTGTTCATGGTGTTTAAAATGTTTAAAATCTAGCCATTTTTGAGCACACGATCATTAAGGAAAATCACCACAGATCTCCAGAACTTACCTCAAGGCTATACAATGTTTTTAAAATGATCTGTGCACCGTCCGCGGCCCGACTCCCCCACAGCCTCCCCTTGTTGACAGGTAAAGTCCCCACGTTCTCTAGGGTTCTGTAATCCGGAATGGCTCTCTCTGGCTTCCCACCAGCCTGATGCCTCCACGCCATCTGGGCTGTGGCTTTGAGGTTCCCTGCCCTTTCCTCGGTGACCTCAGTGTAGGGGGCTGCCTGCCCGGCAGGGAAACCCCGGGATGAATCTGGACCTCGACTTTGCACAGTCTTGCTACATGAGATTCGGGGAAGCACCTGCCTACGGTGTGAAGTTTACAATTTACAAATTACTTTTTTAAAACCAGTTTTTTCTTACGAGGCTCAGGCCAGTTGGAGAGCCTGGCGTGGGATGACTTTCTCTGCACCCCTCCCTCCACGTGCACGTGCGTCCCCTGCTGTCCGCACGGGCTCCGGGCTGCCCCCCCCCTCCACCAAACCCTGTCCCCAACGCGGTTGTCTGGTTCCGCCCGGTGCACTCTGCGGGAACAAGCCTGGTGGAGACCCCGCGCCTTGGCTTCTGACCCGGGACTTCCAGGCAGCTCCCGAGCTTTCCCGGCCAGGGAGGCAGCATCAGCCATCAGCCTTACCCTTTCTGCGGTGGCCCCTGTGGATGTATACAAGCCGAGCCGGCGCAGAACCCTCCCCCTTCCTGCCAGTATTGCGTGGGGCCGATCTCCACCCCCCCCCCAGGCTTTTCAGAGCCACAGTGACCAGCTTGTTTCTTTTCTTTTCTTTCTTAACTTTTTTTTTTTTTTTTTTTTTCTGTTTTCTGCGATCAGGCTGGCCTTGAACTTACTGTGGAGCCCAGGCTGGCCTCAAACTCCAGGCAATTCCACTGCCTCGGCCTCCCAGATGCTGGGATCTCAGTGTGCTGCTCCACTCCCAGCCCAGTTGTTTGTTTAATTCAGCGAATCCAGGACTGGCCACTGCTCCCTCCGGTCCCATGTGTATGTGCCCATCCTTTTCCAGTGAGCGGCCGTAGGCACTGCATGGTCGGGGAGGAGTCCCCGCCCCTGGCCGTTATTCTCAGGTCAGGTGCTGATCTGAGTCCCAGGAGTCCCCTGGTATCCTCAAGAGAAAGCAGGACACTGCCCCTCCTGCCCTTCTCAGCTGGTGGTCAGGCCAATGCAATAAGGCTCACGCCTGTCACCCCAGCACCCTGGGAGGCTGAGGCAGGAGGACTATAGGTTCCCGCCCAGCGTGGGCAATTTAGCAGCTCTATCTGAATATAAAAAAGGGCTGCCAGGTGTAGCTCAGTGCGGAGGCCCCAGCTTCAGTCCCCAGTATCAAGAAAGGAAAAAGGCAAGTCCCGTGCAGGCAGAAGTGAGGGTGTAAAGCGCTGCCTGTGACTGACACAGGCAAGGATGTTGACAGGGCAGCCAGGCTGGCGGCCTAGCGGGTGGGTGGCAGGGACAGTGAGGGCTCGGACCAGTGCCCCCAGCCCAGGGCACATGCGCAGACCATGTGTGGTTTGGGTTCCAGGGGCCACAAGCTGTGCATGGACGCTTCCTCCAGGGAAGGCTTCGGCGTGGAGGGGAGCCCTCTCCACTCGGGCTGTGACTAACCCAGAACAAGCCCAGAGCGCCCAGGAAAAGCCACCAGACATGCGGAGGGAAGATTTATGTCATAATTAGCTCTGGAAAGTTGAGCGTGTTTTGGGGACTTTTGTTCTTTGATGTTTGTTTTGTGGTACTGGGGACTGAACCCAGGAACACTCTGCCACTGAGCCACATCCCCAGAGCCTTGTTTTATTTATTTTGAGACAAGGCCTTGCTGCACTGCCTGGGTTGGCCTCAGACTTGCACGCCTCCTGCCTCAGCCCAGGGTGCAAGGATTACGCCGGGCACCATCGTGCCAGCCTCTTTTGCTACTATAGTCCAGGCTGGCCTTAAACTCCCCATGTAAACCAGACTGGCCTTGAAGTTGGCCCGCTCCACAGTGCTGGGCTCAGCCTTTTTAAATGTTTTTTTTACAATGTAAATAATATAAATTAGTAAAAGTTCTAAATGGAGAAGAAAATGAAATCCTTTTTTCAAAAACCAGAAGCAAATCCCAGAACTGATGTCACAGCATGGAAAAAAGAATATTTCTGAATGTTTTCAAATTCCAAAAGGACTGGGGGTGTAGCTCAGGGTAGAGCGCTTGCCTAGCGTGTGTGAGGCCGAGCCTCCGTCCCCAGTGCTGGAAAAAAGTTGAAAAGTGATCAAGGTTTCCCATAGAAAAACCTACAGAACAGGTTTTATAAAAGGAAAAGGGGATGAGATACGATCAGCATGCCTGAGGTCTGGCTCCAGCATCTCGGTGAGGGGAAGGGGAGGACCTTTCTGTGTTGGTGTCCTGGCCTACATGGGTGCAGCTTGCCGCCAGGACCTGAGCCATCCTGTCCACTGTGCACACTCTGCCTGTGGGTGTGGGGCCACCGGGGCCGCAGCTGTTGGAGTTGGGAAGGGACTAGAGGGTCTGAGTGCTTGCAGAGGCTGCTTTGCCAGTGGTATGTGGAGATGTGTGGTGATGACTGGCTCCATTGCAGCTATGGGCACCATTAGGCTCTGTGCCAGGCCACAATAAGAGTAAGCCTGGTGGGGCTGTGGAGCCCCAGGGTGACTTCCAGGGGCCACATGGTGTAATGGGGCCTCCGTGCATGCTTGGAGACTGACCCTGAGTCTTGGCATTGCAGGCCTGGCACTGTTGCCCCACAAACACTGTGCCCACTATGCCTGGGACACTGATTTGCTGCTGCAGGCCTGGCCTACGGTGGACCCAAAGTTCCTCCAGCAGCCGGACGTGGTGGAGATGGCCGTGCTGGTAAGTGTGACCTGGTCCCCAGGCCTTCGAGGTGGCAGCTGCGTGTCCCCAGCACAGATATCGAGAAGATCACACACCCATGCTGGGCGGGGAGAGAAAGCCCCCTGGGCCCCTCTGCAGGCCTCCCTCCCCTCTGTGGGAGGATAGCGCTGCATTCAGCTGCCCTGGGTGGGGCATTTTGGGGGCAGTGCATGCAGAGAGGGTGTCAGTGAGGCGTAAGCATCATACAGACCTCCAACACTGGAAAATACACTCAGAAAAGCCAGCTGTAGTATTTTTTTCCATGCACAGTGGTACATGTTTACAATCTTAGCACTTAAGGAAGTTGAGATAAGAAGATCACACATTCAAAACCTATTTAAAAGCCAGGTGTGATGGTGCACTCCTGTAATTCCAGCACTTGGGAGGCAGAGGTAGGAGGATCCTAGGGAGTTCAAAGCCAGCCTGGGCTGCGTAGTGAGTTCAAGACCAGCCTGTACTACATAGAAAGACCCTGACTTCAAAATAAAGACCCACTTAAAGCAATGTAGGAAGACCTAATCTCAAAAAAAACTGTATGTGGTAATGCACATCTGAATCCCAGCACTTGGGAGCCAGGCTGGAGGAGCACTTTGAGCCTACATATTGAGACCTTTTCAAAAAATAAGAAAGTAATTAAAAGGGCCATGGTTGTAGCTCAGTGGCAGAGCACCCTAGGTTTGATCCTTTAATACCCCCCAAAAAATAGTTCATTTTTTTTCTTTCTTTTCTGGTGGTAAATTGAGATTGAAATAATAAGTGTAGTTTACTATTTAAATCTTTTATGCAGGAAAGAACTCTCTTATGGTTTATCCTCTGTAATTTTATTTATTTATTTACTTATTCATTTGGAGTTTGTTTGGCTTTTTAAAATTGTTTTTGAGACAGTTTTACTATGTAGTTCAGGCTGGCCTTGAACTCATTATGGAGCCTGTGCTGGCCTCTAACCTGTAGCAATCCTCCTGCCTCAGCCTCCTGAGTGCTGGGATTACAGCCTCGGGCCCCAAACAACTAGCTTGGGTTTTTTAGTTTCTTTATACTGATGGACCGCTTTTTGGCTAGAAGAATTGTTAAGGAGATGCGTGTGGGTCTAATGGCTGAGGCTGCTGAGTGCCCCTTGTGAAACCAGGCACCAGGAAGAGTGGCTGACTTGGTCTCTGGGAACTGGCCACCTGCGACCTCTGTGCAAACCAAGGGTGTAGCTCACTCTGGCCCACATGGACAGAGCGTTGGCTCCAGTGGTTCCATCCTCCTCCTGCCCCGGGACAGCCGGGCACCACAGCCTGCTGTTGCTCCCGCAGCAGCTGTGCCAGGCTGGGAACCCACGGGTGATGCCTGTCTGTCTGTCTGCCCTTCTGTGTCTCCCTGTGCACAGTGCCCCTCCCTGCAGCTGACCCCTTCCCTGCACTATCCTCATCTTCACCTCTCTCTTCCCCTCTGCAGATCAACAACAAAGCCTGCGGCAAGGTCCCTGTACCGCAGCAGGTGGCCGGAGACCACGACCGGGTCCGGGAGCTGGTGTTGCAGAGCGAGCTGGGCGCCCGGCTGCTGCAAGGCCGGAGCATCCAGAAGACCTTCCTGTCCCCGAGGACGGCGCTCATTAACTTCCTGGTCCAGGAGTGAAAGTTCTGTGCATCTCAGGGCTCAGCGAACCCGGGGTCAGGACGCTCACTGTCATGCTGGGGTGACTGGAGCCACCACCGCAGGGGAGATGGGGACAGGAGCTGCCCTGTCCCTGACCCCCAGACTGTGCCACAGTGCCGCAGCCGCCTGAGCCCAGGCAAAGCCACAGGGAGGCCCTAGGGTAAAGCAATCCCGGAACCAAGGCAGCCTGGGCACCCTTGCAAGCTCTGGTGTGGTGTGTGCGTGGCTATGACCCCCGCAGAACCTCTGGGGTGACCCACAGTCTCCCAGGCTGCCGGAAACAGCCATGGGGCCACATGCCGCTTGCGGGGCGCCCCCCCCCCCCATGCTGGCAGGACACACAGACGCACGTGCACTGGGCAGAGCATGCTCCTCCTGGGGCGTGAGAGCTGCTGTCCCAGCCCCAACTGGAGGAGCCACCACCGCCAGTGCAGCCCTAGAGTGGGTCATTCTGGGGCTCACGCACCTCTTCCGGGTGTCCCCGTCCTGTGCCAGCTGCTGCGGACTGATGCTGGGGACAGCCAGCAACAGGAACGGCCCGGTGCACACTGAGGCCAGTTCTGAGTTTATGTGTGGTGGGCTGTGCTCCCCGGAACTGACCTAAGCCCCTGACCCATCTGTAACGGGCAGCGGCGGAAGCTGGCCTTCGTGTGATGCCATCTGTTCTAACTCTGGGCCCGTTGGGAAGCAGCTCAGACGCGGTGCTCCAGCCGACCTTCTCCATCTAATAAAATGTCCACCGCGCATGAGCAGCCATGGCCTCGCCAGCACCACTTGCTCTCTGTTCTGGGACCCGATCTGGCACGCGCCACCGTCGAACAGCAGCGACACTCAGGGAGTTTCACGTGGGCACGGGCGCGGTGCTGGACCTGTCCCGGAGCCCTGTGATCGCAGTTTAACTGACTGGGATGCAGCTTGTGGACCAGGGACCCTGAAACTGCTCAGGTGTGGCTAGGGGTTGAGTGCTGCCTTGGGTCACGTGCTGCGCTTGCTCGAGGCCCAGGGTCACACATGCATCTCCACACAGTTCTGGCAGCTGTGAAGCTTGAGAAGTGGATCGATCCGCCAGCGCTTTCGTCCCAATCCAGGACCATGGCATGATGAAGCAGCACTGGGAAGGAGGGGACCTGAAGGAAAGCGGGCCGGGACCCCGGGGAGCGTCTGCACCACAGACACAGCGCTTGCATGCAGGAGCAGATGGGAGTAAACAGGAACCGAGGCGGGTGTGGGCCCAAGAGGGGTTCTGTTCGATTCTCTTTTATGCAATGATTTAGGTGCATCTAGCCCCCGCTGCCCCAGGGCCTGTGTGGCCGATGCGTCACAGGCAGGTGAGACGCCCACCGTGCCCATTGCCAGGGTGAGGGGAGCCCCAGGCAGGTCCAGTGAAGGAAGCAGGGTGCGACGGCAGAGCCTGGGGCTGGAGCCCAGCCCTGGAAGCCCCGGCTCGCGGGATGCAGGTCATTTCCGGTTGGGGATATGAGTTGCCCAGGACGGGTGCCCAAGGTCACGACCGCCTCGTTAGGAGTCCGCCAAACAAAACGGAACCAAGTGCAGAGCAGAGAGCACTCTAGTTCGGGTTTTTTTGTGGTACTGGAGACTGAAGCCTGGGGGCGGACTCCACCCTCCCCTGGGCCCCCAGCCGCCATCCTCATGTTATAAATTTTAGGCAGGACTTGGACTTTGGGTCCAGCAGCCTCAGCCACCCAAAGTGCTCCACTGGCCAGCCAAAAAATGGGTTTTCAAAAGCGTATGATGGAAAAAAACTTAGGAAAATTTTCTCATGAATAAAATGACACAGGCCATGGATACCAACCATAATTTAAAAAAAAAAAATCCAACACTATACAAAGAAAAACGAGAAGAGATTTGCCTGTAGGTCACTGGGTGAGTAGGTGTCCCCCACGCCACACCCTCCAGTCCAGCTGGGGACACAGGAAATGACACCTCCAACGCCAGAAGCCCAGTGTGCCGATTTGTGTTCCCCTGAATCGGAGAATTAATTCCAAGGACCAGGAGGTGGGGAGCAGGAAATTGTTTTGAGGGAGGGACAGGTGGGCCTGAGTGGCCTCCCAGCGAGCCCAATCTCAGCAGAGGTTTCCAGAACAAAATCGCAAGTGAGGACAATGTGAGACAGAACTGTAATCAGCCAGTGAGGTCCCAAGCGTGGCCTCGTAGGTGACACTGATCCAGGGGAAGCGGGTTATGGAGCCAGCATGTGGGAAAGGAACAGGAGGGTTTGCAGGTGCTGGTCACCCACCTGAGTGACTGATGTCCATCTAGACTTTACTGGACCGGGTGACACAGACTGTAGTCTATTGCTCATTACCCCTGGAGGCTTGCGGGCTTATGCATCTCGTGTCTGTCTTGAGGCCTGCCCTTTGCTGGATGCCCTTCTGGTCATGGTCCTCAGGCATTCCTGTCCTCTGTGCTGAGTCCCTGTCCGGCTGCCTGGCCTCCTTCTGCCTAACTTCTCAGTGTGCACGGATTTGCACTCCCCGAGCCTCCTCAGGAACAGAGCAGGTAGGAAGCAGCTGTGCTTCAGCCCAGGGTGGGCGGCCACCACCTCGTCCATGCTGATGCATGGGGAGGGTGGGAGCTGGGGAGACCACCTATGGGATGTAGGACACCCCCCGGAAAGGCAGTCTGGGGGTAGGGGCTGGGAGAGTCCTGGTGCTCCTGGGGGCACTGCTTCCCTGTGACGGTGGCTCACACCTGTGTGTCAGCCAGTACCCTGGCTGTCCAAGGACCAAGCCCTGAGTATCATTGTTGTCATCACCTGACCAAGGATGAGTGTGTGGCCAGTGCTCGGAGGCCACACTCCTGCACCCTCGAGTTCAGTCCGCACCAGGGCAAGTCCTCCCACGGTCCCTGGAACTGGATCAGAGGAACTGGGATGCGGGTGCCTAGTCAAAGCCCTGGACTCAGGATGACTCCGCCCTGTCTTAGTCACCCCATCCTTACCCAGAGACCCAGACAGGCACCGGGCTGGGACACACCTCCCTGAGGTTTGCTGTGTCGTTTTTCTGTTCCTGCCATGTTCCGGCTCAGACCTGCCCCTGGCTTTTCTTCCTGTGATCCGTAAATCTTGCTGCTTTTCATGCACCCCTGAATGTATGCTTGCAGTTCTTCACTCACCATGCACCAGACCCTGCAGCCCGTCTGTCAGGTGTACCCCACAGGATCACTGGCAGGGTAAGAACAGCCGGCATAAATCAGCAGCCACCACTCAGCCAGAAAGGGAAGCCATGGCCCTGTCTGGGGTGACCCTGTCTCCTCACATGGTTCCACAACCAACCAAGAGCGCATGCGAGATGCATGGGACAAGTTCCCTGGGGAGGAGGTGACCAGACAGGGGTCATCTTTTGTCCTAGCAGCCAGGGGCTTTCCCCTCAAGTAACCATGGTTTCCCATGCCTGGGGTGGGGAGAGGGGTGGGTTTGGTACAGGCCCAAACCCAGAGCAACCCACTCGGGACCCCTTCTGTCTCTGCCTCAGACAGAAGTTTTCTTTCACTCAAATGTTTCTGTTCTTTAAAAACAATTCAAATTTAAAGCTCATTTGCTTATTCCCTGTCATTAGACTGCCACCTACTGGCATGTAGTGGGATATCCTCTGCTAAATGCCCATTTGTCAACCAAGGGTTCTGAGAAAGCTGTCAGAGTTTAGGGGTTCTGGCATGTAGAGTTACTATGACTGGTATGCACAGCCTGTCTGATATCCCTACCTGCCTCTGCGGGAAGTGTGAAGATCTTATCCGCTCCTCATAGGAGCTCTGCATCCCCAGCCTAACAGTGAATTTACTCTGCTGCCATTCATCAGGCTGCTCTGCAGCTCCCGCGTCTGGCTGTCCTCTGATAGGTTCCCTCAGCCCCACCAATGGGCACAGCTTCCTCAGGTGCTCAGAGCCCACATCTCCGAGGGTGGAGCCTGCAGCCCCCGCAGCAGGAAGTAGCCACTTGCAGACTTAGATGGCAGCCACAAATGACTGGGGGGATTTGTGTCTGGGTGAGAGCAGGTGGTTCGGGCACGGCAAGCTGGCTGGACATCTGGGCAGGTCCTGCTGATCCTGAGACCTGTTCTCCATGGCCGCAGTGCCCTGCAGTGCCCAACATGAGGCAGCCTGAAGCTGACATTGAGAGGAGGGCAGTGGCCACCAACCACAAGGCCACTGTTCCTCGCCCTTGCAGTTCCTACCCTGATGCAGGCCATGCTTCCTGTTTTCTTCAGAACATTTCTTTTTCATGTTTTTATTCCTCTTTAGCCTTTAATAAACAGTGAGGTTGATGGGCCCCGTTTGTCCTGTGAGACTCTGAGTGGGACAGTAAGAGCCTGGAAGGAGCCCCAGCATCCCACATCTGTCAGCTGTGCAGCAGCAGTACATTGGGACAGCAGAGATGAGGTGAGCGCTGTGGGAATCAGGGTGACAGTGACAGCCTGGGCCTGGTTTTCATCCTCAGAGTGCTCCACAGGGCCACCTGGGGGGGGGGGTCGGGGACATGGTGGTGCTGGAGACCTGACACAGTCTCTGTCCAGGCCCTGATTCCAGAGGCGGATACTTACGACTTTTGCTGGGCTGTCTGGCCACAAGCAGTGGCGGGCACCAAGCCGGGCTTCCCAGACTCTTTCCAGATGCCCCACTGCTGGCCATGGAGCTGGACTCTCTCCTTACCCAACTGTGCCATGCAGGCAGGGCTGGCAGTGGGAGTGGGCACTGGCTGTGGACGTGCGCATCAGCTGGAGCAGTCACTGCGGCTCATCCCAGCTGTGCTTCAACCAGGGCCACCAGGCAGCCCTCCAAAGTGGTCACTGCTGCACAGTGTGAGGGTTTCTGGAGAAAGTGAGGGTCTGTGCCTCAGTTCACCATGGGGTCACAGCCCAGAGAATCTATTGCAAATCCAAAACCTCATGAGGTTAAAGATGCACCCCTCTGAGTCCAGCACTATGGAAGCTGAAGCAGGAGGATGGCGGAATTCAAGGTCCACTTCAGACTACACAGTGAGACCCTGTGTCTGATAAACCAAAAAAAAAAAAAAAAACACATTTCATACCCCCAAAGAATACACACTGTGACCTCCAGAGCCCTAAGTAAAGCCATACTGAGCAGGGGCCACCTGCACACCTGCCTGGGGTGGGGGAGGCTGTCCTGCAGCTGTGCTGACGCAGGTGACGTGGTTATGAGTCACCATGGAAGGAACCAGATGCCGGGAGCTGTCATGTCCCTGATCCACCTGCTGGGACCAGGAGGGAGGAAGCCAAGGGCAGCGCCCTTTCATACTCGGCGCTATATGATAAAACCCAAAGAAGCCTGGTGCTTGCCGGGCACTCTGTGGGTGGCACTGGGCTGGGGGTTCTGGCTGCAGGGTTTGGGGTGGAGGGGACACTGTGTGCCCTTTCCTTCCTTTTGAATTTGCATCTACGTGTGGTTCAAACAAGACCCAAGACCGAGGAGCAAGCCAGAGACAGGCTGGGGTGAATCCTGGCATCTGATTCATGAGCGGGGTTCGGCACCTCTCACTGCTTTCTGAGCAGACGGCTGGGTAGAGGGTATCCCTGCCAGGATGGGGTGTCACAGGGATAGGGTCTTAGTTACTTCCTTCTCTTTGCCGGGGCAAAATACATGACACCCAAAGTAAAAGGAGTAAGGTTCATTTGGCTCCCAATGTGTGGGATCAGCTGGCTCCAAGGCAGTGTGGTTGGGAGAGGGGAAATAGTCAGGGAAGGCAAGCGAGAAAGGGAGAAGGGGCCTCCTCCTGTCCCTGATGTCCGGGCCACTGGGATTAGGGTGGTGCCGAACCAGTCAGTGCTCTGATTTCATAATCACCCACCCTGATCCCAGTACCCTTAGCCGTGGCCTTGCACCCCGAGTCCTGGCATTGCACCATTGCGCTCCAGACTCAGTGCCTCTGAAAATCCCCACCTGTGACTGCATGAGGCTTTGGGGGAAACCTAGATACAGCCATAACAGGTGAGGAGGACAGAAAGGGTCCTGGTAGCCTGATGGGGCATGGGGTGTGCTGGCAGGCCTGCTGCCTGGGTCTGACCCAGGCCATACTCAGGGCACAAAATCCTGGGACAGAGTTCCTCCAGGGCCGCAGGAGGCTCGGGTCCCAGCGGCTCCTGTTCAGTCACGTGGCAGTGGCTCAGGAAGGAAGGAGTCAGCAGGATGGAAGGGACGGGACCTTGGTGTTGAAGCTGCCCCTATCCCCTCTTGAAATCTGGCCTTTTCAGAGCAATCCCGGAAGTGGCCCTCTGGGTTGGGACACATGCAGCATTGTGCTCAGGGACATTTCCTGCAGCCAGCAAAGTGACAGAAAGGCCTGTTCAGTCGGCTGCAGAATAAGCAGGGCTCTGTCCCTGGCCGTGGGTCTGGGCCACATGAGCCTGGTAGCTTGCAGGCTGCCCAAACAGGGTTTTTCCAGCACCCTTTACTCCACAATCCTTCACACACGCTTGTGTAGCAATGCACAGGTGTGTCCCCGCAGCCAGGTTCTCTTTTCACAGTTAACACGAGGCCTCACACGTGCCAGATGAATGTTCTTCTGTGCAGCTACACATTTTATTTTGCTGTGGGGGTCTCATGAAGTTGTCAGGCTGGCCTCAAAGTTACCATCCTCCTGCCTCAATTAGCTGGGCGTGCAGGGGTGAGGCACTGCACCCGACTCACCTATTCCTGAGTGAGGATGTTTTCCCTCAGCGCAGTCACACTGTTTATAAATAAAACGAGGGCAAGGGAGGCTTTGCAGACAGGAGAGAGACGCAGAGGGTATAGCAGTTGCTTGTGTTTATGACGGAGCCTTGGTGAAGCCCAGCGGAGTTTTTCTACCTCTGGATGACAAAGCCACGACTGTTCTCCCCTTTCTTTATTTTCTTTCTTCCATTTTTTTTTTTCTTTTCTTTTTTCGGACTAGGGATTGGAACTGAGGCCCATTTTAAATTTTATTTTTATTTCAAGACAAGTAGGTTTTGTTTGTTTGTTTGTTTGTTTGTTTGATTTTTTGCTAGCGTCATTGGATACCTGGGACTGTGTTCCACTGGTGACAAAGAATAAAAGCAGGGGCAGAGGAGGTAGAGGGTAAACAAAGGTATTTAGAAGACAGAAGTAAGGAAGTAAAAGATCCAAAGCCCAGGAAGGAAAGCTGCCTCAGGGAGGGCTCCAAGCAGGACTTCCACCACGGTGCCTTATGTCTGGGCACCGAGGGCCTCAGGAAGGGGGCTCTGGCTGTCGGCCAAGTGGTGTCATCTGGGGGAGACTTCGTATTTCTCAGTCTGAAGGATGCAGTGCCCTGGAGCCAGTGTCTACTTAGGGAGCTCCCAGATGACCAGGCGACAGTGCAGATGTTTGCGTGAGGTCCAGGGACCTCTCAATGGGCTCCGTCTTGGCCCAACACCCCACAACCATCATATTGGCCCTCTGAAGAGGGGACTCTAACTGCTCTGGCTGCTTTGAGCTGTACAGTAGCATGGCGAGTCCACCATCAGCAGGACAACGCAGACCCTGGCCAGCAGCCATGAGAGGGGTCCACAGGGGCCTCTGTGACATCTGCAGTGTCATGGACTTGGCTGGAGGGACCATGAGAATCAAGAGGCGGGGAAAGAGGGCGGAGCCACATGGAACAGGAGTGAGCGTCCTCTTCAGGGACATGGAGGTCCACAGGGATTTAGGAGGAGACTCCATCGGCACCCTCGGGGGCTCCTGAGCCTGACCTGGTTCGAGTGCACTCCAGGAAGCAGCTGATGAGAGAGAATCTTGGGTTCCAGTGTCCGTGGCCAGGGCGGCACTGGCACTGTCAGGCATCACAGAGGCTAATGCACTTGGGATGCCCAGAACTCTGTCCCTTTCCAGTCCCCAGTGAGGTTTCCCATCTTCTTAAAAAATAACCCCAATGGCTGGGGATTTAGCTTAGTAGTATAAGTGTTTAGTGACTTAGTAGTATAAGTCGTGCCTGGAAAGCACGAGGTAATGAGATTCCTGGTACAAACAATAAAATATAATCCCAAATTGCCTGGTATGGTGACACATGTTGTAATTTCAGCACTTGTGAGGCTGAGGCAGGAGGATCGTTGCAAGTTGGAAAACATCCTGGGGTACAAAGTAAGCTCAAGGTCAGCCAGAGCTGCATAGGAAAACTCTGTCTCAAAAGACAAAAAGAAAAAAAAATATCCCCACCTGTACTGGGAGGGGACATCACAGAGGGAGCCTCGAAGGAGGCCAGCTCTGGTCTTGCGCCCTTACCACTAGAGAAGCTATGAGAAAGCTCTCAAGGCAGAGAAGGCTGCCCTTGGCTGAGCGATCTGCCCTTGGGCTGGGGAACTGTGGCCTGGCCTCCTCCATGTCCATCCTCCCAGGGGATGGAATGGAGCTGCCCAGAGGTTAAAGCCACAACGCCCAGCACCTCTTCAGCGCAACTGTCTTTTGAGGAGTCAAGTGATTCTGTCTTGAAGAGGACTTTGGAGTCCTCAAGGGTCCACATGTGACTGGCAGGCTCTCCCTCTGTGGGAGCAGAGGGGATGCCAGCTAGCACGTGAGTCAACCGTGATGTATCCAGGTCCAGACTCCTGTTGGGGTGACAGGTGTGGGTCCTCCAGGGTTGGTTCTAGAGAAGGGCAGGAAAGAGGCAAGATTACACCAGGGCCCAGTTTCCGAGCTGTGGTGGAGGGAACCATATTTCCTGGGGACAGGCCGCAGGCAGTGGCCAGAGCCCATTGTAAAACAGCCAGGGCCGTTGTGGCTGTGCTCTGACCTCAGTTTCTTGTCTACTGAAAAGCAGCTGGAGAGAAGAGTGCGTGTGCATTTTGAGAGCCGAGTCCCAGAGTCTAGGGAGTGTTTCTGGTGTGTATCGGGGCTCCCTCTCCAGTCCACTGCCTCTCCTGGGCCGGGGACTGTAGGTGGCCTCGGGCACAGTGGAGATGGTATGGCATCCCCAGGGCATGGGCTACTCCCTGAGGGGCTGCAGCCTTGAAGGAAGGCTTTGGGGGAGCCCAAGCCTGGGAATTATTTACCATGTAAATTTTTCTCACCTGTGAAGCCTTCTGTCTCCGTGGGGAGGCCCTGCACACATGAAAGTGTCTCCCCGTACTAAGAGGGCTTGGGCGCTCCTGCCGTTGAGTGCATGGGTACCATCTGACTGTCAGTCCCTGCCGGGGCACCCCTCCCGTACCCCATCTTGTTGGTTGCCAGCAGGTGAAATCCCTTTGGAGAGTTACTCTGTTGGCAAACCCGGCGTGGCCTTACAATATTGTTGGATGAAGCCACTTTAACCGTTAGTTGCCTAGTACTCCCAGGTGGAGCTAGCGGTTTAGGGGGTTGGACAGGAGGGGACACTTGGTCTATAGGGATATCTGGACCTATGTCCAGATATTGCCATAGGGGCTTGGGTGACTTCTGTCATTCTGGGGATGATGATCTCTTCAGGGACGGTAATTCCCTATGAAAATGTCCCAACTGTCCAGCTGTGACAAGTCCCCTGAGCACATTGGAGGACCATGAGCCAATCAGAAACCCAACAACACCCTAAAAATAACCAGATGTCATGAAAGCTGTACCCGACAGCTGCTAGATAGCTCAAAAAAAAAAAAAAAAAAAAAAACCCTCAGAAATATAGGAATAGGGGCTGGGGATTTAGCTCAGCGGCATAAGCGCCTGCCTTGCAAGCAGGTAGTCATGAGTTCGATCCCTGGTACCAATAAAAAGGAAAAAAGACCAAAAAAAAAAAAAAAAAAAAAAAAAGAAAGAAATATAGGAATAAGGAGAAACTAGAAGTTAACTCAAAAGGTGTAAAAAAAAAATCATAGGCACTGAAATCATAGCAGAAAAAAATTTTAAATCTAGTGAAAGAACTCAATGTTCAAGTGTGAGAGGCATACAGAGACCCAGATAGCCATGGCCAGGAAGAACCTTTCAGCAGCACATCACCATCAAAATTCTAGAAACTCAGCAAAAAGAATACTAACAGCTGTCAGAGAAAAACAGCAAGGAACCCACAATCAGAGCAAACTGCAGCTGCCTCGGCACAAACCCCAAAGACCAGGAGGCCTGGAGCAGAGGGTTGCAAGCTCTGGAAGGAAACAACTGTCAAAAAGAAAAGAGAAAACCACTGTCAAAGCACATTTCTGTATCATGCAAAAATTAGCCTTCAAAACACTTAGCAGGATCCAGGACAGAGACAAGGAAGCTGCCAGTGCCAAAGAGCCCTGAGGACAGCACACAGCTAACTGGAAGGGCAGGTGAGTGAAAGGGGGAAATCAAAACATCGTTAAAACCATGCAATGGCAGGATTTGGTAAACTCCTTACCATGGTAACACTAATGTGGGCTCAGCTCCCCAGTCTAGACCCAGACCAGCAGATTTATTTATTGGTTTTGTTTGTTTGCTTGTTTGGTTTTTTTGAGACAGGGTCTCACTAAGGAGCCCAGGCTGGCCTCGAATTCCATGGCCATCCTCCTGCCTCAGCCTCCCCAAGTCCTAGGATTATGGATGTGCACCACCATGCCCGGCTCTGAACACATCTTTTGAGGTATGCATCAACAAGGGTTTCCAAGCACACAAAATGCACAAAGCTGGCCTGTATTAAATGCTCATGCCCATGACAGATGTTGCCTGCACAGAATTTGAATGCTTCTGTTTTTGGTGCCATGACAGGGCACTTGCCTACTCTGCATGGAGTCTGTGGGTTCCATCCTCAGCACCCACAGAATGGAGAAAAAGAAAAGCAAGACTTTGAGGACTCACTGGCTCTTAAGTATTAACAGCAGCTGCAAGACATCGGAGGGCCACACTGTCACTAGCATTGTGCTGGGCCCTCGCCATGGGTTTTGCTTGGCCCAAGGCCCTGAGGACCCAGCCTTGCAGCCTTTTTTGTTTATTTTTTAAATTGGGTGCTGGAGAGAGAACCCAGGGCCTCACCCCACTAGGTGGGGGCTCTGCCACTCCCAGCCCTCTTCCAAGATGCTTCTCCTTCTTCTCCTTCCTCTTCCTCTTCTGCTCGTTGTTTTGGACAGATGATCCCTGCGTAGTCCAGGCTGACCTGAAACTCACCATGTAGCCAGGCTGGCCCCGAATTCACCGTGATCTTCCTGTCTCAGCCTCCCCAAAGCTGGGATTACAGGTGGGCAGGATGGTTTACAGTGTAGGGGAGGGTGTGCCCGGTTTCCATGCAAATACTGTGGCACACAGTGGGGAGGTGGAGCCAATCCCCACCCTCACCCCATGCCTAGCAGGGCCCAGCTCTGTAAACAGCACTCTGACCATCCCCCAGGTGACCCCAGCAGGGTGGGAAGGGGCTTTCCAGGAAGCTCAGGAGGAAGCTCAAGCGGAGACTGGACTCAGGTGGGGAGAGAGGCCCGCTCATCAGGTGGCACCTTGTGTCCACGCTGGGACAGGGGTGTCATGAGGTCCCCTGGAGGCGCGGGGGGTGAGCCCTGCTGGATACCCGGGGTCAAGTGGCCCCCCTGGAGGACGAGTGTCCCCAAGTTTGAGTTCTGCGAGCTCCTCCTCTTAGCGAGCCCTCGTGCTGAAACTTAAAGTAAATAAGCAGTGGAGACGCGGCTAATGGCTAAGGTCAAGTCCCCCACCTTTGTTGGGGGGGTCACATCTGGACTTTGTGCTTTCCCGCCCTCTGGCCCCTCTGTGCCCAATGTCTTCTCAGGAGTCTCCCTACTTGTCCCGAAGCCGCCCCTAACTTCCCGCCGCAGGTCTCGGGCCGGCCCGGGGGTGGCAATGGCGCCTGGACTCGGCGGGACACCCCGCGGCAGGGCCGGGGCCATGAGGCGCGCGGGCTCCCGGGACAAGCAGGTCTCCGCCCCCCCGGCTCCCCGCCCAGTCTTTCGGGGCGGGGCCAGCACGGGGGACAGGAAGGGACGCGGGACTTGATCCGGGGAGCTCCGGACGCTGCCGGACGACGCCGGACGACGGCGGACGCGCGCGCTTCGGTCCCCCCCCCCCCCCGCCGCGCTCCCTCCCGCCCCGCTCCCGCGCTCAACTCGTCGGACCCCGCGCCCTTCCGCGTCCCCCGGCGCCGGCGCCGACAGCGGACAATGGCTCGTGCGCCCTGGGGCCCGCGCGCGGAAGCCTGAGAGCCCTGCGACCTCGTCTGACCGGGGCGGCTGGAGCCCCGGCAGCCCGGGTCCCCGGCCCTCCGCGCCCCACGTGGACGCCGGGGGAGCGCCTGGGTCCCCACCGAGGTTCCGGGCCATGAGCTCAGCGTTGGGCAGGGCGAGGTCGCGTGGGTCCCCTTCCCGGCCGGACTTGATCGCTGCCCTCTGGCTTCCTCCCTCCTCCTCCTCCTCCTGCTCCTGCCTCCGCTCCTCTCGCAGCGCCAGCCGCCCTGCGCAGGCCCGGACACCTGCAGCCAGACATCATGGACAAGTACGACGACCTGGGCCTGGAGGCCAGCAAGTTCATCGAGGACCTGAACATGTACGAGGCCTCCAAGGATGGCCTCTTCCGCGTGGACAGGGGCGCTGGCAACAACCCTGAGTTCGAGGAGACGCGCAGGGTGTTCGCCACCAAAATGGCCAAGATCCACCTCCAGCAACAGCAGCAGCTGTTGCAGGAAGAGCCTTTACCCAGGGGAGCCCGGGGTCTGGTCCATGGCGGGGGCCGCCTGGGTCTCAAGCTGGCTGCAGACGGAGCTGCTAAGCCCCCTCTCGCAGCCTCTGCAGTGGCACCTGGGGTGGCCACCACTGTGGCTCCTGGCCAGCCAGTACACCCAGCCTCAGAGCAGAGGGCTGGGCCTTGTGTCCCGGGCCCTAGGCCCAACAACCAGGAGCGCACCTCCAGGGAGGGTCTGGGGAGCTTGGAGAGGTCTGCTGTCCACCAGCCGGGCCCCTGCGAGGACCCGTCCTGCCTCACTCACGGAGACTACTACGACAACCTGTCTCCGGCAAGCCCCACGTGGGGTGACAAGACAGGGGCATCCCCGAGCGTCAGCCTGGGTGCAGCGAGCAGGTGGCCTGGTCCCCTAGGGAGCGATCTCTCATTGCCCAGGCCCAGTGGGGACCGTCCTCTATACCAGCCACAGCTGTCCTTTGACAGTGGTCTCCGTGGCCAGGATGCTAATGTTGGTGGCCCCAACATCGAGAAACGGGCAGGCCTCTGGTCCACCGCGGCGTCCCATCGGGTGAGCCCGCTCCTGTCCCCGGGCCTGGAGAATGGGGCCCCAGCACAGCCCAGGAGTCCTCTGGTGTCTGCAGCCCCGGATGCTGGCCAAGGAGTCCTTCTGAAAACAAACTTAGTGCCAGAATGTGAGGCCTTGGGTGTGCTGGCCAAATCTACTGTGGATGCCCAGCCGTGGTTCCGGGACGGGCCCAAGTCGTACCTCTCCAGCTCTGCCCTGTTACCCTCGCCGGCCAGCACAGACGTCCCTGGGCCTGAGCCTAAGCATGGCTCTGCAGACCCTGACTCTGGTTCCAAGCTCAGCACCACTGGCCCTCGACACCCAGGGGTGCCCTCCCTGCCGGAGCTGTCATGCAGGGAGGGTCCTGCTGGCTGGTCCTCTGATAGCAGCCTGGGCCCAGGGCTCCCAGAGCCCCCCAACTCCCCCAGGGTGAGGCTGCCCTGCCAGACGCTGCTCCCAGGCCCTGAGCTTGGGCCCTCCACTGCAGAGCTGAAGCTGGAAGCCCTCACACAGCGCCTGGAGCGGGAGATGGATGCCCACCCCAAGGCTGACTACTTTGGTGAGTCCTAGGCCAGGTCTGGGTCTTAGCTGGGCAGCTGGACCGTCATTGCCGATGGGTGGCCTGGGCTTGGCCTGCTGGCCTCCCTGCCTCCCTTTCTTCCTCTTTCAACTGCTTCTGATTCAAAAACTTGAAAGCATCCTTGGTCAGAGGCAGCCCTTGCAGCTGGGAGCCACCCGCCTGCTGAGGGTGGCAGGGTGGGACAGCTCTGCCTGCAGGCTTCAAGGGTGTTGCTGCCACTTTTGAGCCTCCTGAGTGCTTGCTTAAGGCCACCTGCCCCTGGGGGATCAGCACGTGGCTTTCACCTAGCTAGTGCAGGAGTTCATGTGGGTGTGGCCCTGAGACTTCCCTACTGATCCCATGGACTGGTCTCACAAAGCTGGCTGCTGTGGACTAGACACAGGTTCTCCAAGGGTGGCCCCTTACCCAGGAACTGCTTAGAAATGGGAATTCTCAGTTGGATACCAAGCACATGCCTATAATCCCAGCACTCAGGAGGCTGAGGCAGGAGGATTGCTATGAGTTTGGGCCCAGTTCAGGCTACGTAGCTTAAGGCCAGCTTGGACTGCATAGAGGGACTCTGTCTCCAAAAAAGGCAAACCTGAGTTGGAGCCAGGTGCCAAAACATCCAAAAAAAAAAAAAAGGAAAACAAACAAAAAAAGTCTTTCTCTAGCTCCTACAACTCTGGGGTGGGGCCCAGCTTGGGGGTGTGTGGGGGTGTTCTGTGTTCAATGATGGCCAGTGCTCCCCAGGGGCAGGGAACCCTGGCAGCCCATGCTCACCAGAGTGGGTGTTCACCCAGCACCCAGCCACCTGCCGGGGGCACCCACATAGGGGCTGAGATGGATAGAAGTGTGGACTGGTTTTGCTCAAACTCACAGGTTTTGTTTTAGTTTTTTTCTCTGCATGGTGCGGTACAGGAGGCGGCTGTGGCTCCCTTTGGGAAGCTGGGGCTGCCCGGAAAGGAACTCTGTTATTAGGAGTGCGAGGCTTTTTCTAACCCCTGGGTGACGGGGCTCACAGCTCCCCCCTCATTGGCTTGGGTCCTGGTGGGGTGGCAGTGTCACCACGTGAAGGCGCATGGGGCACAGAAGGCCCTGTGCCCCGGTCCTCTAGGGCCAGCGCACTTGGGTGTACCCCACTGTGTCCCACTCCTGCAAGTGCGGGGTGCAGAAGTCAGGGCTGCTGTTCCCAGGCTAGCTCTTAAGAGTTCGGGGTGCTGGTCACTGCCTGAGCCCTCTCTTTTGCGGGCCTCCCCCTCGTGGCACGGTCTGTGGCTCTTCCCACTGGTCGTGTAATTTTTGGGTTCAGTGCAGTGAGCAGCAGCGCAGCGCTTCCATGCTCCGGGGTGCAGGTCTGCGTGCAAACCCAAGTGGGGACATTGCAAGCAAGTCTTGGTCCCTCATCTGGCGCCTTGTCCCTGCGCGAGGTCCTGGGCCGTGTGAGGACTTGAGGGTCCACGGGAAGAGACACAGGCCTCGGCCTCGCCCAGAAGACAACGAGAGGAGGGGGAGTGGCGAGAGGAGTGGGAGTGGCAATGCTTGCGAGCACGTGCTGGGGCGATGTTGGGGCACACAGGGGGCCTGGGCTGGCAGGCCGGGGGAGGCGCAGCGTGGAGTCACGTGATCGAAGGTGACCGAAACAGCTGCATAGACATGCATGTGGGTAGAGCCTGGAAGAGGGCGGTGTGGCTCTCTGGGAAGAGGATGTTAATGCGGGAGGACAGGAGGGCGGCATACCGGGAGCAGCTGCCTTTGAACAGATAGCGCTGGCAAGCTATTGTGTTCGTTCATTCACTCATTCCTTTTTGCAGCACTGGGGGTGGAACCCAGGGCTGTGCCTTGCCCGGCAAGTGTGCTGCCTCTGCGCTCAGCTCCAGCCCTTGGCATTTATCTATGAAGCAAGCCGGGCGTGGGGCATGTGCCTGTCACTCCCAGCACCCTGGAGGCTGAGGCAGGAGGGGTGCCTCAAGTTCCAGACCACCCTGGGCTACAAAGCAACTGTCTCCTTGCCAAAGAAAGAACAAAATGGAAGTAAAAATTATGCAACAAAATTACCCGCTTCAAGCGAGCTGTTTGTGTTATTTAAAACACACAGCGCTGCCCACCGCCATCCAGTTCCAAAAGGCGATCCTCGAGCCCTGCCCCGATGATTGGCGTTTTGCCCCTGTGGATTCCCACTCTGGGTCTTTCCGTGGTGCCATCTCGTATTCGTTTTTTTTTTTTCACGAAACACATAGAAAACTCAAACGCTTCAGGGGCGCACAGCAAGCCGCTCTCAGCCTCCTCCGCACCCGGTCCTCAGCTGGGGCCCAGGATGGATGTGTGCGTGCCTGTGGCTGCGCTGCCATCCTCCCCACTGCACAGCTCTCCCTGTCACGTGAGCGGCACTCGCCCACCGGCATCTGGACAGTGCCTGTGCTGGGGTGCAGACTGCCCCGCCTGCCCGGGCAGCCCTGTCCCTCTGTCTGCCCATCCATCCGTCCTCACACCGCCCACGCTTCCTGGTCGGCCGTGTGGCAGGGTGGCCCTGTGCTCGGGCCTCCTGCAGCCCTTGGAACTGTGAGGGCTTCCGGGCTACCTTCCTCTCCTCCCTGGCAGGGCCAGGCTGCATGGCCCAGGGTTCCCCTGCCTACCCCAGTGCTGGGTCTTGGGTGCCTCGGAGACCCTGTCTGTGCAGTGCGCTGCTGGGTTTGCTCAGCCGCGCTTGAAGGCAGCTTTGCAAACTGAGCTGTTTTCATGTGGGGCAAGTCTTGTAGGAGCACTGAGGACAGCTTTGCGCTGGTGGCCTCAGTCTCTTGCTGGGTCAAAGCACTGCTATCCTGTGGGTGCCTGACTTTGGGGAACAGTGTGGCCATGTTGGCTTACTAGAGCCCCCAGGGTCAGAGGGAGCCAGGTTTCTCTGTACTGACTGAGCTGCTACGTACTCTGGGATTTCCTTGGCCATGTCAGGGTTTCCTAATATGGACTCTTAGCCGGACATAGCTGTCCCTCTGGCTGTGCCCTCACTTCCTCTAGGATGCCTCTGTAGCTGCCTGAGTCTGTCTGTCCATGGGGAAGGAGCTAAAGACAGGTTCTTTAAAAGAATAAATTGCTTTTTAACTGGCACAGTACTAATTGTATATTTATAGTACAGGATACTGTGTGGTGTTTCAGAACAGATATACAGGGGTGATTGGAAAATACAGATTTAAAAAATTATTACAGGAAAGACACATTGCAGGCTGGGCGTGGTGACGCACACCTGCAATCCCAGCACTCCGGAGGCTGAGGCACGAGGATTGTCGTGAGTGAGACAGAGTGGGACTGCCCCTGCGGGATGGCCACAGTGCTGATGTCCTGAGTGTGTGATCCAAACCCACGCTGTAGTGTGGCGAAACTTAAAACAGTGAAAGCACCTCACGGTGTGTTGGGGTTGGATGGACAGTGCGGCCGTGATCCCAGGGGAGCGGGGACGGGGACGCCCAGGAGTTAGTGACGTTAACGGTGCATCACGAGGAGGTGACAGGTATCTGCTGGCCTCCCCATACCCTCTCTCTGGATCATCAGGCGAATGTGGGGTCCTCACTGGCCCTGCGTGCTGGGCTGGAAGTGTGGGGGGCAGATGTGGGCTCGGGTGTCCCCAGGCTGCCTCGGTGAGCAGGAGGAGTGTCTTTCTGTCTCCCTGCATTTTCCATAAGTAATCCGGAGCATGCAACAGGTCGTCAGCCATGGCCATTGTTGACAGAGCTTTTAAAAATGTCCTTTCCTCTTTTTTTGCAGTTTTTGAGCTAGGTCATTGCTATGCTGTGCAGCCTGGCCTTGAACTCGCTGTGTGGCCCAGGCTGGCTTGAAATTTATGGCAATCCTCCTGCCTCAGCGTCCCCAGGGCTGAGGTTATAGGTGTGCGCCCCCATGTCCAATGTGAAAGGAGTTTCCCTACATACGTTGATTTAAAGCTTTCATGTGGAAGGCAGATCTTCTGAGAGAGGATGCATCCGAGGGTGTGCAGCTCAGGGATAGAGGGTAGGAGCCCTGGTTCTGCCCCACGCCATTTAAAAACAAATTACCAGAAAGAGATAAATAAGATTCAACTACAGGAGTGAGTACAGCGCATATTACTTCAAATGAACATAAAATAAAGAGAAATAATAGTGGATGCACTTGAGAGCAGGAGAGTGATGTTGGGGGACCCCGCCCTGCCCAGAGTCCTGGGGTGGAGCAATGGCTGTTTTTAGATGCCTGGCCTGGCCTGGGCATGACCACATACCAAGAGACTGGGCAGCCTGGCCACTGGCCATGGCAGAGACCCTAGAGGAGCTGTGCCCAAGGCTGCCCAGCCCAGCCCTGAGGGACCTCGAGGGGACTGGATGTCCAGCTCTGGCCTGTGTTTAGGTCACATGGTGGGTGGAGTATAACAGCCGTTTTCAGGGTGGCTGTTCTGGAAAGTGAGCATCAAACAGAGAATCTGCACCCCTTTCCCCCTTGTGTGTCCCCGCATGGAGGATGTGGCCTGCTGCTCCCTGGCACCAGGGGCAGTGGGTCAAGTCCTGAGCCAAGCTGACTCACTGGCAGCAGAAATGTGACCAGAACCCAGGGCCACCCCTGGGTGCTGTAGGACTGACCACCAGGCCCTGGGGCCACCAAGGCAAGTACTACCAGTGACCCTGGGTCCTCATCTTGTTTTCCACTGTCACCAGGACACCAGTTGGACCCAGGGGTCAGGTGACCCGGAAGGACTTGGCAGCTCTGCAGAGCCCGGATGGCAGCCGGGTTATTTTTAAGTTCTGGAAGCCTCGGGGCAAGGCTCGGCCGGCTCCTTGCTTGTCTTTTGTGGTCTGAGATTATTACTGTGACTCCCAGGAGGGGTGAGAGGCCTGGTCCCTGGACGACAGCTGGGAACGCAGGGCAGCCTGCCCCCGCCCGCCCCCCCCCCCCCCCGGCCTGCTCCCGGGCCTACTCTGTGGCACACAGGTTCTGGAAGCTGTCACTGAGCATGGCCAGTTTGAGTTTCTGTTCCGCAGAATGGGCAAGGTCAGGAGGAGCCAGATTTCGGGGTGACCAGCCAGAGACCGAGTTCCCTCCAACTCCTGCCTGTTCCCGAGGTGCTGCTCAGGGCTGTGAGAGCTGGGGTGCCAGGCTCCCCTGCCTCGATGCCCGGGCCAGGGTCCTGGGCTGGCTGAGCTTCGGCTTCTGCTCAGAGCTAGGGCTGTGGGCTGGTACGGCCGCCCCAAGGAAAAGAAGGGCGGTGCACCCCAGCTGGGGTGCTCAGGGCAGGGTGTTGCTGGGGAGCACAGGTGCCCATCCGTGTGTGCGTGTGCAAGCTGCAGAGGGCAGGCGTGACCTGCACCTCCCAACACACTGCAGGGAGCCAGCCGGCTCTATTTGTTTTGGCTGCGTGGCCCAGTTGCTGGGCGCTGGTGGGTGTGGGGCCTGGGCTTCTTCCCTGCTGCTCCAGTGTCCTCAGCGGCCACTGCCACAAAGGGGCACAGAGAACAGCCACTGAGGGCCCACTGGGGAGGGGACATGGGCCAGGCCAGGAGGTTGCTGGGGGCGGCCAGGCAGGGCAGGAAGGCTGGGCGGAGGGGCCGGAAGTCTACAGCACTGCAACTGCTGCTGTCCCATCAGCCCTGTCCTGTGGGGAGCCCCGAGGAGCCCCCACAGGTCCTCGGCATGGTGGATGCACAAGAGACACCAAGTCAGGTGTGGGGGAGCTGCGTGTGTGCATTGCATCTGCCTGCCCCATCAGGCCCTCCTGTGGGGCCCTGGGCAGGTTATTCAGCCTTCCTGTGCCTCAGTTTCCTTCACTCCAGGGAAAGACCAGATGGGCCCGTAGCTGATTTTGAAGTCTTCTTAGTATTGGGAAGAAAGCAACTTGTCAGCATTTTCATATTGAAGCAGGTGTGGTGATGTACGCCTGACCCCAGCACTTGGGAGGCTAAGGCAGGATTGCAAGTTTGTCCCTGACAATTCATCAACACCTCATTTCAAAAATAAAAACCTGGGGATGGAGCTTGGTGGGTTCAATCCCCAGCCCCATAGGAAAAAAAAAAAAAAAACATACCAGAAAAGCACTTGGAATTGTTGGTACCAGATGGGGCCCAGAGACCTCCTGCCCCCCGCCCCCCCATTAGACCGGCCTGGAGGGTGGTGGTTCCTGTCTGGGAGGCCTTAGAAGTGGTCTTGAACTCTGCACACTTGGAGCTGCAGGTGCTGAGCCAGGTATGGCCCCCATGCTGACCTCTTAACTCCAAGAGGTCCTCCTGCTTCAGCCTCCTGAATGCCTTTAGCTACCACACCCAGCTAAATGAAGCATTTTAAGCCCCACCACCAGTTCCTAGATTCTTCTGCCACTGACCACTGGGAGCAACACACATGGAAGAGACAGGAAAAACAAAGAAGGAAGGCATCAGGCCACTTCTGAGCATTTGTGCAGAGCCTCAAGGGGCCATCATAGCCTTAGCTTGCTCTGCCCTGGGCTGGCCCTTGGGCGGGGCAGCCTCTCCCTACGCCCTGGCTGGAGAAGCCTGGAGGTGGAATGGCCAGGTCAGCGGCCAGCTGCGGCCTCTTCCCAGCAGACAGAAGCCCTCAGTGGACATGGACGCCGTCCCCGCAGGGCCTTGCTGCCCGGCCGCCCAGTGCCATGCGGTTTCGCAGAGCACAGCGTGGCTAGCTGCACAGTGCTGCCTGTGTGTCCTCTGCCTTCGCAGGGTCCATGTGTCCTTGGCCACAGACGGTGCTCTCCTGTGGATATGTGGCACCAATGCCTGTTCCTCCTTCTTCCAGTTATGGAACTTTTTCTTTTTTGAGACAGGGTCTCACCATGTAGCCCAGGCTGGCCTCAAACTCAAGTGATCCTCCTGCCTCAGCCTGCTACCTGCTGGGATGACAGGTGTGAACCACATGCCCAGCTCCGTGGAGGAACTTTCATTCCTGTTAGTGTCGGGCCCGTTGTAGGTGACTCTGCTCTGTCTGTGCTCTGTGTTACTCTGGGCTTCATGATCCCAACGTTCTCAGCAGTTGCCAAACATTTTTCCGCAGTGACTATGCTGTGTAACGTGGCCGACAGCGGAGTGGGAGTCCCTCCGTGGATTCCAGCTGCCTTGTGCAATGTCCCGGGGGCCCAGTTTCTCAGCCACCTGCTTCCGAGCAGCCCACGCTGCGTCCTGGGTCTCAGTGTTGTCCTCATGTCACCCCCCTCATGGCTCCTGATCTCTGAAGAGCAGTGATTTCTCCAGCTTTTCTCTGTCACAGAAGTTGGCTATGCAGTTTTGGCTTGTTTGGGTTTTTTTTTTTTTTTGTTTATTTTAAGTATTTTAAAGTTTTATTGGAGAGGAGGGTGGGGTTGGGCTTAGCAGTACAGCGCCTGCCTGGCAAGCACCAGGTCCTGAGTTTGATTCCCAGTACCGATAGAAAAAAAAATCTATTTTAAGAATTTTGGGTTTTAAAAAAAATTTTATACTGACAAAAAAAGCAGGAAGCCGTTCCCCTGGCCCTGGGGACACTAGCTATGCAGCCAGGCCGGCTGGTGTTATGCAGGGGTACTAGTCTGTGTGCTTACTGTTTATTTTATTTTGGGCATGCTGAAGACTGGACTGGCGTCTCACAGATGTTGCACTGGACTCTCCCTGTGAGCCGTGTCCAGCCTCTGGGCATTTACCTGCCAAAGTCGGAGCGGTTAGAGATTCACCCGGCTGGAGGATTGCTGAGTGCTGAGGTCATGGTGGGGTCCCAGGGAGTCGAAGCTTCCTCTCTGTCCTGTTCGGGAGCAGATGGAAGGTGCACTCAGGGGAGCCCACACCTGTCGTGAACGTGTCGGGTGACCTCAGCCCTCCCGTGGGAAATCAAAACCCAACAAGGGGAAAACATACCCACTTCTCTGTCGGGTGGAAGATAATTAAATGATGCCAAGAGTTAATTAAACTCACGATTAAATTATGGAGGAAGACAGTAATTATTTAGCACTATCTGTTCATGCCGAATTCCCTCAGCAGTTTCTCCTCTGCAACACAGCTTCTCTTCTGGTATCTGGAGGGCATCTTTCACACGGAGTGCACGATTGTGCGTGCTATGTGCATGTGTGTTTCTTGGTGGTTGGGTGGAACCCAGGCCTTCATGCGTGCAGGCATGTTTGTTTAACCAATTAGAGTTTCCCTCCATGGGACATTTATCTCTTGATGAAAGGAAGATTTTCAACTGTGTGGTGGTGCAGGCCTGAAATCCCAGCACTCGGGAGGCCGAGGCAGGAGGATTGCGGTGAGCTCAAGGCCAGCCTGAACCACAGAGAAGACCCTGTCTCAAAAACAAACCCAAAGCAAAAATAAATATAAGGGAAGATTTGAATCCCTGTCTCTTTTTTTGAGACAGACTCTCACTGGATAGTTCAGGCTGGCCTGAAACTCAACAGCAATCCTCCTGCTCCGGCCTCCCGAGTGCTGGGGTCATAGGTGTGCACCCCACGCCTGGTGGTGTATGTTCCACTTTGCGTGCAGGCCCTGCTGGGAGCGCTTTGGTCAGCACAGCTAACGCGCACTGTGATTGGGAAATTGCACCAGCAGCTTTCTTTCCCCCTGCAATCAAGTGAGGCCACAGTGGGTTTGAGGGCTTGCGTGTTGCGATGTGAGCTGGAGAGGAGTCTGGGGCAATGCCCGCGGCCTAGAGTGGCCTTAAAACACTTCCTTTGTGGTTTGGTGCTGCTCACGCCCCTGCCACTGACTTGCAGAGAGTGTGGGAAACAGTCGGGGAAATGGGGTGCCCGCCAGTGTTGCCTGTCTGCCTCTCTGAGTTCTCGGCTGGGAGCTCCAGCCGCGCACGCAGCAGGGACCCTCCCAGGGGGACCGTTGGCACCTGTGCCTCCACTCCACAGGACTGGGATTGAGAAGCAGGTGTCTGCTTAGGAGGTAGTGGGCGCCTGGCTCCGCCACCCCTGAAGCTTTGTGAGTTTCAGGGTGCCAGGGGAGGACGGCAGCAGGGCTCTCTGCCGGCCCCAACGCTGCCTGGCCGGGCCTCTCCTAGAGCCCTCTGGGTCTCTTCATGAGCCTGTTGCTGCTCATAGCCTCACAGCCCCGCCTGTTCCTGGGGCTGCAATTTCCCCCAAGGGAGCCCTGTGCTCTGCCCGGAGCTCTGTGAACAAGCGGCAAGCAAAACTGTGATAAAAAAATACAGGGGATGCTGCTGCTGCCGCCGCCCAGTGCCATCCCACCAAAAGGCAGCGCGGGAGAACACGATGCTGGGTCCTCGTCCTCCTCATTCACCGAGGCCAGCACTGTGTGACTTCGGCTGTTCCCAGAGTCAGAATGAAAGGGAAACTGCTTTTCTCTTTTCTTTCTTTTCTTTTTTCTCTTCTCTCCTCCCCTCCCCTCCCCCCCCTCCCCTCCCCTCCCCTCTCCTCTCCTCTCCTCTCCTCTTCTCTTTTCTTTTCTTTTCTGTATGGGGATGGAACTCATGACCTAGCACTGACCAGGCAAGCACTTGAGCCGCTGAGCTAAATCCCCAAAGGAGAGCATTTTAAATTGATGCAGGGCATGGAGGCAGCCTGGGGAGCGCAACTTAAAGACCCTCAGAAAAGAGGACTCCAGAGCTGCTGCAGAAAGTGGCCCAGACTGTGGGAGGAGAGTGCGTGAAGGAAGCAGGGGAGGTTTTGAGGGGGTTCATGGCCAGGAGTCTTTATTGTCATAGATGTGAAAAATTTCAGTTTGCTGTAGCTTTTGTCCTTTACCCATAAACCTTGCCTGGTGTACCTGCCCACCCAGCTCTCGGGTGGTACGGGACTGCCTAAGCCCATGTTGTCCAAGGCCAACCTCCCCTCCTGCCTCCCTGGACAGTCACCAAGGTGTACATGGTGCAGGCCACCCGCCCACCTGCTGGCACCTTTTGGGTTAAATCCTCTTTAGCAGAAGGGCAGACACTGGGCTGGCTTTTCCTGGCTGGGCTGGCCACAGCTCCAGCCTCTGCTGGCCTGGTAGGCAGTCCTGCTTTTGGGATTGGAGAGGGGGAGATGTGTGCTCCGGGCAGTCGGCAGATCATTTGATGCCAGTGTGGAAGGCAGGGCTGTGTCTGCATTTGTTTGTCATTGTTTTCGTTTGTTTGTTTTTAGACAGACTCTTGTACAATTCAGGCTGGCTTTGAACTCACAGTGATCCTCCTGCCTCAGCCTCCCCAGTGCTGGGATGACAGGTGTGCACCACCACGCCCAGCTCAGTATCTTGTATTTGATCTGTGACCCTGTTATTGCTTTTTAGTGACTTCCCGGACTGATGTGGGGGGCAGAGTGGGCTCCCTGCCACTCTAATCCGCCATCCTTTTCCTTTGTCCCCAAGACATTCTGAGAAAAGCCTCTGCCCGTGTCAGCAGTTAGAAAGCCCAGCTGCGCACAGGCAGGCCAGTCTGACATGCAGATCACAGTCATTCACATGGAACCGGAACAACGAACCTGGCAGTGGTGAAAGTGAAGCACCGCGGAGCTTCTGTGTTCGTGTGTGGCCAGTCCCCTGCCACCGGACATGGCATCCCAATGAAGCCAGCACTGGTGATCTGTCCTGGCTGCCTGATTTCCCCGCTGCAGCCCAGGCAGGCTGTCTCCAAATTCCATCAGCCCTGCCCCGTAGCCGTAGCCTCCAAAGTGAGACGGTCCCTGTCTTCCCGAAGGCCCTGCCTACGAAGGAGAGGCAGGGGCAGGCCTGGGACAGCCGCAGTTGTGTCTTTTATAAAAGGAAGCCACCCCTAATCTTCGCCCTGCTTCCTGTAGGAACAGTGTAATTTATCAACAAGTTCTGTGTCAGCATCTGGGTGACAGTTTGGCAGCTTCTTAGAAAACTAAGCATTTTTGTTAAAGCCATGTAATCAGCAGTGAAGTGCCTTAGCATTTAGTCAAATGAGCTAAATGAGTGTTTTTGCTGTTTTGCTCATAATGGCCCAGACCTGAAGCAAGTTACTCTTCGATGGCGAAAGAAATAAAGAAACTGTGGTACGGTAAAATATCATTCAGCCCTGAAAAGAAATGTGCTAAATTATACTACGTAAATGTACCAACTTCTCATGACAAATGTGACAGAGGAAAAAAGTTGGCAAGATGCATTTGCCTGTAATCCCAACAACGCTGGGAGGCCAAGGCCACGGAATCACAATTTCAAGACCAGCCTGGGCAACTTAAGAGACCTTGCCATAAAATTAAAAATAAAAAGAGCTGCGAACCTGGGTTCAATCCCCAGTACCCCCCCTCTAGTCCTCAAATCTAGCAAGCCATCAAAAGACCAGGAAACCCTGTGCGAAAGAAGCTGATCTGAAAAGGCTGCCTGCTCTGTGATCCCAATTTTACAATGTTCCAGAAAAGGCAAAACTGTGGCTGTCGGTTGCCAGGGTTACGGGGAATTGCGGGAAAGAAGGTGAGGGAGCCACAGAGGATGCTTGGGGAGGCTGCCTGTGTGACACTGTAACCCTGAGGAGCCCTGCATGTGCCTGCACGTTGCGTGTCAGTGACATAGGTGCAGGTCACAGGTCCTGGCAGGTGCCTGCGGAGCGAGGCTGACATTGGGGAGGCTGCACGGTCCAGGCCGGCAGCAGACAGGGCGTCTGAACTCTGCGGAGCTTTGCTGTGAATGGCTTCAAAAAATAACTTCCATCCACAAATGCCAGCAGCAAACAAACCCGAACATAATTACTGGATTTTAAAACTCCCACACCTGTCTGGTGTTTTGTCAGTGATCTTTCAAAAAGCCACCATTCCCAAGCTCAGTCACATGAAGCTGAGGCTGGGACCAATGAGTCCTTTCTCCTGGGGTCCCCATGCCCAGGACCCCAGAGACTGATTGATGCCTAAAGAGCATGGAGGCCCCAAGTTTGGGGTGAGCAGAACATCTGTGACCTTACTTCTCTATCTCCTTCAGCCCTTGAAGTGTGGGGGTAGCAGGGTGGGGTGGTGCATGCCTGGGATCCCAGCACTCAGGAGACTGAGGCAGAAGGCTCGCCCAAGAATTCAAGGCCAGCCTGGACTACAGTGAGACCCTGTCTCAGAAAACCAAAAAAAAAAAAAAAAAACAAAAAAACAAAAACAAAAACAACAAAAAACCAGTGCATGCATGCACAGGTGCCAAGTTAGCCTGACTTTGAGGTCTTCAGCTTCTTTGTCTGTAAAGCGATCTGTTTGTAGGATTACTATTAAATGAAGAAATGCAGCTGGGTGTGGTGGTGCTCATTTGTAATCCCAGCCTCAGGAGGCTGAGCAGGAGGATCAGTGTTTGAGCCCAGCCCTGCAACCTTGTCGAGGCCCCGCCATAAAATAAGATAAAACCCCACCACAATTAGTAAACCAAATAATTCTCATTTTATGCTCTACCTGTTTAACAACTATTCGGATTTATAACCAGCCATATATGACAGACACACAGTTTGCACATCTGGTGTACAGCATGTCAGTGTCTTTTTTTTGTACCATACTCCCGAGGGCTGCTGGGCCCCTCAGACACTAGGGGGTACCAGGAGTCCGGGAGGCGCTGGTCTCTACTGGGCCCTCCAGCTGGTTCACTGTTATTGGCCAGCAAGGGACGGGCAGTGCGTGGTTCGTGGGATGGCAGCTGTAGAAAGTGGGTGCCTGAGGATTAGATTACAGAGGAACCAGATTTTCTCTGAGCGCAGCCTGTATTTTGGTAACTGTCTGAGCAGGTGTTGTCTTGCCTCGGGAGTGCTGGGTTATTATCAGCATTCCATCCGTCTGTCTGTTCATCTGTCCATAGCCAGGGGCACATGCGGCCTCCTGTACACCTCCCTGCTCCTGAAGCAAGGTCAGTTACAGAGCCTGGTCCCCACCTTACACTCTGTGTCTACTGTACTTTTTAAAGTCTTTTTGAGACAAGTTCTCACTATGCAGTTCAGGCTGGCCTTGAGCTCACTTTGCAGCCCACGCTGATCTCAAATTTGCAGTGATCCCCCTGCCTCAGCCTCCTGAGTGCTGGGATTACAGGTGAGTACCACCATGCCCTGCTGTACTGATTTTTGCTGATTGCACTGTGTGTACAGGACATGGCTGTAGTTTTCTGTTCTGCTACCCATTACAGTCCTGCCTGTGAGCGTTATGCAAATACAAGCAAAGTCATCTGGTTGGATTGGGTTGGTGGCTCCCTGGACCATTTCTTTGTGTTGAATATTGTGCCATCCGTACCATACATGATTCCTCATTTAGCCACCAAGATGCAGGCTCAGGACTCTGGTTAGATGAGGGGCTCCTGGACCTTAGGAGAGGTGGGACTCATGTACCCAGCGGCAGCCGCTGGAGAACGCAGTGTCTGCCTGTGGAGGCCGGGAGCTGGATGGTGTGAGCCCTGACACCGTGAACTGTGGCAGGGGCAAGGCTGGAACAACTGCGGGGACAGTTTGACAGCTTCTCAGGAAGGTACCCAGGGCCAGCAGGAGACCCAGCCATGCCACGCAGCTCTAGGCCTTTATTGAGAGGAAGGGAAGGAACCCAGGTGCACACGTGTTGCTAGAAGCTTTATTTCTAACAGGCCCAGAGACATGGCCTGTGCCCAGCAGCGGGTCAGTGGGTACACAATGTGCCTGCCCCCACCGAGGAAAGTGACAGGGCAAGCCATCTGTGTGCACAGGAGTATGAGGGAGCTGCAGAATCATTATGCCCAGGGGAAGAAGTCAGATAGGCTCGAGCCCTAGAGGGCACCTTTATAAACTCTGCCTGTGTGGGGGTGCGCACCTGTGACTCCAACACCTAAGAGGCTGGGGCACGAGGGATCGCTGAAGGTTTGAGGTCAGCCCAAACTGTGCCAGCAGAAACAGATCAGGTGACTCTTTAGGGCACAGACGTTTACCACCTCAGTTGTGATTTCATGGTGAAGCGAATGTCCAAAGACACACGCTTCACCCTTCAAATGTGTGTGCTTCTGTGTGCCTCACACTTCATTAAAACTCTTTTTAAGAAAGAAAGAAAGAAAGAAAGAAAGAAAAAAACAGAGCCTGGCGTGGTGGTGCAGACACACACACACACACACACACACACACACACACACACGTCCCTCCCTCCCTGGACACACACACACACACACACACACACACACCCGCGTCCCTCCCTCCCTGGACACACACACACACACACACACACACACACCCGCGTCCCTCCCTCCCTGGACACACACACCCGCGTCCCTCCCTCCCTGCCAGAAGCCTTTTCTGCAGCGGCAGCCCGGTGGTTGCAGTGCTGGGCAGCGGTGTCTGCCGCTCTGTCCCTCCTTGTCGGCCCCCTGTCCTCCCTCTCCCTGTAGCTGCCCAGACTGGAAGGGAAGAGAAGGGCGGTGGCCGCAGTCCGGGACAGCAGGGCGCTGGGGGAGAAAGGACCCCCGAGGGCGCGGCTGGAAGAGCCAGGGGGTTAAGTACCTGGGGCTGTTTCCTCCCTGACTCCCAACTGGGCGGCCTTCCCGGAACTCCGGGTGCCAGGTGAGCCCCAGCCCAGGCAGCTGCGTTCTTTCCTAGACCGGGAAGCGGGCACTGCTCGCTCCGCCCCTCTCCTGTGCCCCAGGGCCCTTCCCATCCCCCCACGGCGGAGCGTTTTCCTGCTGACCTGCGCCACCACCGCAGGATCTGCCCGGCTCCATTGGGGCGCTGCCTTCCTTCCTCTTCTCACTTTGTGTCTGTGCTCAACAGCCCCAGGAGCCCGGAGCACAGCGCAGGCCTCGGTGACAGTGAGGAGGAACCAGGAGGGCGGAGTCGCAAACCTAGGAGGGGAGGAGGAGCAAGGCGGACCCCCACCGTAACCATTGATTAGGAGGCTGGGTCTCAGCAGGCGTTAGAAATATTGTTCTGAGTGTCCTTTTTTTTTTCCTGTGTAGTTTTTTGAGACACTGTCACTATGTATTTCGGGCTGGCCTTGAACTTGCTTATGTAGCCCAGGCTGGCCTCCAATTTATAGTAATCCTCCTGCCTCAGCCTCCCAGTGCTGGGATTGCAGGTGTGCACCACCACATCTGGCTGTATGTTTTAATTCTTTTACATCCGTTTTCCTTCCTCTTCCTCTGCCTCCTCCATTCTGTGTTCCTCCCCATTGACAAGAGCTGGACCTGCCCAGACTGAGCCATTGAAAACTGTGTTCAGGCTGGCCCTATACCTCGTCCCCTGCTAAAGTTCGGAAAATCCAACAAGGCCAACCCTCTCCACTGCCTAGAGTCCTCAGGAGATTCTGGGGTCTGACAGCGAGCACCATGATTATTACCTTCCAGGCAAGCAGACTGGGCATTTGCAATGAATCATATTCTTTGCTTCTCTGGACCCCACAGCAGGGCAGCACCCTCCTCCATCACCCCACACAGGCCCCGCTGGTTCGGAGCGCCCCCTTCTGCATGGACTCCCCTGGCCCCAGTCCACAAGATCTCCCCTCTACTTTCACCTCCCTCCAGCACCCTGCTCCGAAGGCACCGGATGGACCAGAAGCTGAACAAGCTTCATCGTCATCCGGTCATCCGTCATCCGGTTAACTGGCAGAGGCTCTCCCGAAGCAGCTCCGCCTCCAGAAAGGGAAGGCTAGGCTGAACTACAAAGCTAACCCTGTCTCAAGGGGAAAAAAAATGAGGCCGTGTGGCAGTCCCTCCTCTCCCCCCAGGCATGGGCAGAATCACTGCGCACTGCATGCACGGATTCACACAAAGAAGAAACACATCCGGGACAAAACAGCAGGACTGCTGCTCAGGAGGGCGGGGCAGGAGCGCAGCTGACTTTGAAGGAGCCTCCTGGAGATTTCATGATGGGCTGATCATGGGGAATGTGGCATCTCAACCTGTCCCTTGGCTTTGCTGTGACTCGGTTTACCCTTGGTGCTCCAGACTCACCATGTGTTCTTGCCTTGCAGGAGCCTGCGTGAAATGCAGCAAAGGTGTATTCGGGGCCGGCCAGGCCTGCCAGGCCATGGGCAACCTCTACCACGATGCCTGCTTCACCTGCGCGGCCTGCAGTAAGTGTGGGTCATTCTCGGGGAGTGAGGGAAGCAGGTGCAGGTGACTCGGCCCAAAGTGCCCAGGGTGGCTGTGGCTGGGGGGCTGGGCCGGGGAGAGGGGGAGGCTCCCTGACCGTGGCAGGTTGGAACTGCACTACAGAGGCCTCAGAGGATAGAGTGGGGCATCCAGGATTCCTCCACGTGGACAGCTGCCCCCCAGCTGCAGGGCCATTAGTCAGTCATAGAAATAGCGTGACTCAGACCCCAGGGGAGCTGCCTAACATGGATCTTGGATTCAGAGCTTCTGTGCTTTCAAGCATGAGGTGGGCTTGTGTGTGGGCACACACCAAGGCATCTTTGTGCACCAGGGCACATGTGGTGATAAGGTGGCCACTAGGACCCAGAGATGAGCCACTGTCACGCAGGACATTGGCCATGTCAGAGACCAAGTCATGAGCTGTGCTTGTTTTGTGGTAGCCCCCAGTGGGGTTCACCTAGACAAGGGCCTTGGAAGGTGATGCTCCCCGGGTTCTCCTGAGGCTGGCGGCTCTGGGGGTACAAAGCCTCAGAAGCCAAGGTGAAGGGCTCTTTCTGACCATCAGTCCAATGGCTCTGCATCCTGGCAGCTCCCTAGAATCACTGGGGAAACGAAAACCTAGCGAGGTTCTAAGGAGTAGAACCAGAAGCCCTGGGGTTTTTAGAGCACAGCTCCTCAAACACCCTGGAATGAGCGCCCTTAGTGCAGGACACCTCATTTGTATGGCAGAGAGGATGGGAGCCTGCCCATTGCTGGTGCAGCACAAGGAGCCGCCTCCTGGTGCCCAGGCAGTGCCAGCAGCACCATGTGTCTTCACACAGCCCAGAGGACGCACCCGGGAACCCATGGCTTGTGGCCCAAGCGGTGCTCAGCCACATCGGCAAATGCCAGGGAACATTCCAGGCTGAATCAGGTCCACAGCCTGTGCCCCGCAGAGACCCCAGGTTGCCCGGTTCCCGCTTCCCCAGCGCTGGCCTCTCCGTGTATTTGAGCTCTGCGTTACCATCGGTAGCTGAATGTCACCAGGACACACGGTGTCAGGTGATCCTTGCTGCCTTCTGACAGGTGACCAGAGGGTATGTGCTAAGGCAATTCACCCCACCTTCCTGAGGTTCCGCTCTCCCCACTCACCTGGTGGCCCCGTCACCCATCCCAGCAGCAGCGAGGTTATCTGCGTGGCGCTCGAATAGGATCATCCTTTAATGCTCATCTTTGACTTTTACAGCTCTTTCTGAGCATCTGCTCTACTTACACCAGGCAATAGAAAATAAATGCTAAGCAGAGGCTGGTTTTCACCTCTGCAGTAACCTTTTGCACTAGGGTGGGTGTTTGGGGGGAACAGCACACAGACTTCTGGTGACAGAGGGCCCTACATAGGGACTCTGTAAGCAACAGAATCTGCCACTTGCGCTTCGGGAAGCTGGAAGTCCAAGCTCCAGTCTTGGGTACTCAATTCTCTCTGGGAGGCCACTTCCTGGCTCCTCTGCAGTGCCCTCTCTGGGCCCTTACACAAGGGGTGCGGGAGATCCCCACACATCCACCAGGGCCAGACCCGTTACCCAGGCCCTGCTCTCTGCGCCATTTGATAGGAGTTGGAATTTGGGCATGGTGACTGAGGGGCGCCCAGGCGCAGCACAGGTGGCCAATGGGTTCCAAGTGTGTCATCAGAGTGTCCAGAGTTTGGCCCATGTCCGTCAGTGGCACTGACCCTGCAGGAGAGTGTGGCCAGGTTTTCCTGGGAGGTGCTCATGGCCTTTCCTGTCTGTGGTCTGGTCCATGCTGTCACTTCCTCCTTCCTCTGCAGTCTCAGGATTCCCCTCTCACTCCCACACCTAACCACAGTGTTCACTGGAGCCTTCGGTGTCACCGCAAGGCCCCACCTGCTCTGTCCCTGGGGTGGAGCCCATTGTGGCTCACTGCTGTCCTCCTGGGTTCTGATGCCACACCCGGACAGGAGTGGGAGTGTGGAAGTCCTGCGGGGGCCCCACTCTGCATATTTCCAGCTCAGGGACAGGAGTGGCAACGTTCAATTCACACTTAGCCATGAGAACTGCAAATTGGACCATTAGGACAGAGGACCTGGCCCGTTTGGGTCCTAGTGGGACTGCGGTTCCCTGGTCTTCCCAGGTTTGGTCTGGACTGGTTCAAGTTCTTTGGAGCTGTGATTATAAAGTGTAAAGGCTGCATGCATGTGTAGGTGTGACACTGTGTCACCACTCCTGAGGACTGCCCCGTCTCAGCTACCTGGTAACCAGCCAGGGTACCCCACAGCCACCCTTGTGACCTTGTCTGCTTCCAGATGTCTTTGGTGTCTCCTGGCTGCTCCTGCCCTGCATAGGCTTGAGCCGTGGTGGGTGTCTGCGTGTTTCCAGAAGTCTTTGTTGTTGCTGTTTGATGGCTGTGCAGATGTGTGCTGTGGGCCCCCACACCCCAATTCAGGCAGGGCTGGAGCCCCTGTCGCACCCTAGAGGGGGAAGAAGGTCAAGTGCATTTGAGGAGCAGCTGGTGCAGAGCCTGGTCATCGAGAAGAGAAATGCAGGGAAGAAACGTGCCCCGACTGGGCAGGGTCCCCAGGGTGCCCGGGTATCTTCAGAGCAGAGTGGCCGGGAGGAAGTAGACACTCCCAAGTCCTCACTCTAAAAGATTTGGAGCTGGGTATGATGGTGCACACCTGTGATCCTAGCACTTGAGAGGCTGAGGCAGGAAGATTACTTTCATCGTATAAAGTGAAGGAAAGTCCGGGAGTCAAGGTGAAACCTGTTGGCCACGTTAGTTAGCGTCTGCAATCTGTTTGTGATTTTCCCACTGTTGGAGTTGGAAAGTGTTCAGTTGGCTAAGACACTGTCCTCCTCCCCAGGGGCCAGGAACCCGAGAGCCCCCAGGTCTGGGGGCTGGGGATCCAGAGGTGGATGGGAGTCGAGTCCAGGACAGCCCAGCCTGAGGAGACCGCAGTGGAACTGCCGTTCCCTGCATTCGGGTCCGTGGGAGCCAGCGATGTGTCCACCTCCTGAACAGCCTCGGGTCCCCATTGAAACTAGACTCTGTACGCAGCTCTAGGCTTTCGTCTCCTCAGTGTTCTCTCCCCTGGTGTTGTCAGGAAAAGCCTCTCACGGTGGGAACAGAAAAACAGAAGAGAGTGGATTTGTAATGCTCACATGCCTAGTAGTATCCCAGCACTCGGGAGACTGAGGCAGGAGGATCTCCGTAAGTTGGAGGCTAGCAGTCTGGTCTATACAGTGAATTCAAGGTCAGCCTGGGCTACATAGCAAGACCCTGTCTCAAAAAAACTTTTTAAAAATGCCAAAAAACATCTAGAGTGGCAAGAAAGATATGCCTTGGAGCAGGACTGGCTGGCCTTGACCTCACTTTGTAGTCCCGGGCTGGTCTCAAGCTCAAAAGGATCCTCCTGCTTCAGCCTCCCAAATACTGGGATGACAGGCGTGAGCCACCACGCCTGACTGCAATTTGTGTTTCCTCTGAACCGAAACTGCTTGGATGGTTTCAGTTGCTTTTATTAGCAGTCGTCCCTCTCCCCCAGCCCTGGGACTGAGCCCCACTCACCTCATCCCCAGCCCCTTTTATCCTATTTTTTGAGACAGGGTCTTGCTAAGTCATTGAGTTGCCTGGCCTGGGCTCAGACTTGCAGTTCTCTTGCCTCGGCCTCCCAGAGTGCTGGGATTAGAGGTGTGGGCCCCACACGCCTCCAATCCCAGGAGTTAACCCACTCTGCAAGAGGCAGTGGGGGGTAGACCTGGCAGGATTTGGTGCACTGATGCCCTGGTCACAAGAGGCCTTCAAGTGCTTGCAGCAGATTTTACTTAAATCTCCATGTAGACAGCCACAGGGGGTGACCTGGTCCCCACGGGGACAGGACAGACCCCCAGTAGAGATGCTGTTGCCTTCTGCCTCTTGTTCCCAGCTCATCCTGTCGGTGAGGCACCTGGGAACTGAAATTCCTGGTCAAGTCTCTGGCTGAGGACCGGTTATTTTTTCAGAATAGGCGACGGCTCATTTCTGTTCCTAGAAGGGAAGGTGAGCGTGAGTGACCCTGACTGAGAGTTCAGTCTTGCTTCTCAGCTTTGCTCAGTGTGGCAGCCTCAGCTGCCCCAGCTTCTTCAGGGACATTTGGACTTTCTCAGCCAAAGATGACCTGAAAGCAGACAGGAAGTATCCATTCGCTGCATGTATGGGAAGTGTCTTTTTGGGTAGATTCCCTGTACAGTTGATTAGTTAATATTTTATAATATTGACCACACAGGGGTGGTGGCTCATTCTTACAAGCCCAGCTCTCGAGGCTGAGGCAGGAGAATCCCTGCAAGTTCAAGGCCAGCCTGGGCTTCATAGTGAATTCAAGGCCAGCCTGAACTACATGTTCTGTCTAAAAAAGACCAAAACCAAAACCATTCAGCCCCAGAAAGATGTGGGTTTGAACCCTCATTCTTCTTTTAGCTCCCCTGGTAACTCTGACCTCTTTCACTGTTGTTTCCTCACTTTCCGCCCCCACCCCAGTTGGGTAAGAAAGGGTTCCGATGCCTCAAAGATGGGGGGTCCCCTGGTTCAGGAGGGCTGTGCTCTGGCGCCACCCAGCGGCAGCCGGAGCTCTGCCCTAGACAGGGCTGGTGGCATAGTGGCCTGGCCAACTGTGTCCATTACCTTGGCCAGGCCCAGCGCCGTTCTGCCAGGAGAACACAGCGTCCCTGCGTCCCAGCTGCCCCTGCCCAACTCACCCCAGCCTAGGGGTCCCCTCTCCCCAAAGGTGAACACGTAGCCTCTTACGGGAAAGCTGGCGGCATAGGCAGCCAGTGACATTGGGCCCTGTCGCTAACAGTAGTTACAGATCCTTGCACCTGCATGTGATATGCAGCAGGGGCCACCGCATCACAGGCGCCTGGAGTAGTGAGATTTCCTGACCTTGTGGGTGGGAAGCGAGCCACTGGGTGCTCCACACTGGTGGCATTAGGTAATGCTGGTGGCCCGTGGCTTGTCCATTGACTCTGGAGTGGGGACACTGCCCTCTCAGGGAACTGTGATCTCCTTCCTTGTAGAAAGATCACGTTGGGAGCTGTATAAGGTGCAGGAGTCCATGGGGTCTATATCTGGCACCACTGCAAAATGTCCTGTTTCTATGAGGGGAAGGACAAAGCAGAGACTGCTCTCTGGGTGGGATTTCTAGCAAGTCTCAGGAATGTATGCATGTATTTGTGTGGTAAGGGAGCTGAATCCAGGGCCTTTATTCATTTGAGATAGGGCCGGCTAATCTGGTAAACTGTTCAGGCTGGCCTCAAATTTGAGGTGGTCCTCCTGCCTCAGCCTCCCAGAGAGCTGAGTTTATGGCATGTGCCACCATGCCCGGCTGAGTTTGAGTTCTCCAGTCCTGGCCTTGCACTGGGTACAAAGGAGTGTTATCTTCACCTCTGCCACACACTTGGGTGCACCCAGTCCCTGCCCTCCAACACCTGGCGGGCTGGCTGCAGAGGAGGAAGGGCCTGCAAGGACTTCCTGTGGGAGGCAGGTGGCAGCCCCGCCACAGACAGCTGGGGCCATGAGGCGTGACACAGCCAGGCTTGAAGTCGTTTTCAGAAATACTCGAAAGCCCCAGCTGGACCCTGGACGCAGAAGCCAACAGCAGGTGTCAGTCCCTTTCCGCCCCAGTCTGGCAAAACACAGCTTCTGAGTGAGTGGAAATTGCAGTTTAAGTCCTTGAGCCTGGACTCAGTTACACCCTCAGGGGGCTGCGGGTCTGCCAAGGTGAAGCGCTAAGTTGTGCATTACCCCCTAGGGTAGGGGAAGTCAGATGGAGCCACTGGGGCCCTCTTGGCCCTGGTGCTACCCAGCTTAGGGGCAGGAAGGTGTGAGGCAAGTTGGGCGAGTTCTAAAATGAAGCTCAAGCCAGGCGCATACCTGTGATCCCAGCACCCAGGAGGCTGAGGCAGGAGTATAACCGTTAAGTTCAAGACCAGCCTGGGCTTCAGGGAGAGACCCTGTCTCAAAAAGGAAAAAAAGAAACCCAATCAAAAACCATCAACGAAGTGAAGTTCAGAGCAGAGTTAGGGAAGGCACAAACCTCCTCCATCGGGTGCCAGGCCCCACGGCCTCACCTCGTGTTGGACTTCCTCTCCCTGGAAAAGAGATACACAATTTTTTTTTTTTTTTTTTGAGAAACACAATTCTCAAATCTTTTTATAGTTGAAGTTTTTAAAATTAATTAAACCACTGTTTTTTCATGTTACACATCATTCTAGAAAAACAATATAAAAACGAAATTATAAAAAAAAATCAATTTCAGCCATGCATGGTGGCATGGGCCTGTAATCCTAGCACGGCAGAAGGCAGTAACAGGAAGGTCACACGTTTGAGCTCTGTCTGGATAACTCTAGAAGACCCTGCCTCAAAATAAATCCGAAGGACGGAAGAGGTCAGGAAGATGGTCCTGCAGTCAGTCCGGTCCCACGCACGCGCATGAACGTGAGCCTCGCTTCTCTCAGGTGCCGCCTACCCGTGTACCTGACACCGGGTCAAAGTTTACGATTCGGAAGCGCGCAGAGTGGAACGGGAGCCGCCCCGCTGCGGTCCCGTCCCGTCCCTCGCCGCCAGCCACCCGCGCGCTCCTGACTTTGCGAAGCGGGGCGCCGATGGCCCGCAAGCCGGGGACACGCCTGTCGCCCACCTCCCGGGGAAGGCACTTGCCGCTTTGTGTTTGTTAAGCCCCCGGTCTGCCGCGATGCGCTTCCTTCCCGGGTTTGGGCAGAGGCAGCCAGAGCCCTCGCACAAAGAGCGCTGGACTGTATCGCGGGCTCGCTGCTTTGCAGAGCCTGGGGCCTGCGAGGCCCCGCCCCGGAAGTCCTGCTTCTTGGAGGCCGCCGGGTTCCCCCTAGTGGCCCTCCCCGGAACTGCAGCCAGCGCTTGCCGGAAAGGCCAAGCCCGCAGGCCTGCAGGGACTGGATGCATTTGTGATCACACAAAGAGAGGCGTTTTTTCCTTCCTGCCTGGGCGGCTCTTCTCTCTCTCTCTCTCTCTCTCTCTCTCTCTCTCTCTCTCTCTCTCTCTCTCTCTCTCTCTCTCTCTCTCTCTCTCTCTCTGTCTCTCTCTCTCTCTCTCCTCTCTATGTTTTTTTTTTGTCTTTTTGAGACAGGGTCTCTATGCAGTTCAGACTGGCCTTGACTTTGTAGCCGAGGCTGGTCTCAAACTTGCAACGATCCTCCTGCCTCAGCCTCCCGAGTGCTGGAATTACAGGTGTGAGCCACCACGCCCGGTTTGGGCGGCTCTTCTCAAGCAAGCTGACAGTGTCCCTGTCCTGTCTCCCCTGGGAGGCACTGAGAGCAGCAGAGCTTGACGGAGCAGGAGGTGGAAGAGCAGAGATCCTCTGGCTGGTGATGCTTTACTCAAACGCTCAGCCTGCTCAGGGCCTTTTAGAGAGCGGGAGGCTTACGGAAGTAAAGTAATTGAAACGGATCCCGGGGCTGTTAGCAGAGGCAGGAAATACCAGAGAGGCTTCGAGGATGGGAATGTTCTAGAAGTGAGAGTGACCTCACTGGCCTTGAGGGACAGGCAGGTGGGGAGCTTCAGGGAGCTACAGAGTTGTGCCCAGGGCCTTTCTGCGCTCTCCCACTCCATTATAAAACTGATGCAAAAAAATAAAAATAAAACTGAGGCATAGTCATTGCAGGAAAAGAACTAATTAAAAATCATCTGTTTTTTATGCACACATATAGCACTTGGAATACCCCTAAAATATTTCATGTGTTTTCTACGTCATTAAATCTTTTTTGGAAATGAGGCTCAAGCCAGGCACACACCTGTGATCCTAGAACCCTGGAGGCTGAGGAAGGAGGATAACCATAAGTTCAAGACCAGCCTGGGCTTCTTGATCTTTTATGGCTGTATAATATTCCAACAGGTATCCATGCCACCATTTATTTCATAAGAATTGGACATTCAGTTCTTGCTCATTTTTGGTAGGCCACTATTCATAATGCTGATATGGGGAGCTAGATGGTCTAATTTTGATGATTTATCTAGGGTAAATTACTGTACTTTTTGGTAAGAAAAAAATTCTGAATGTTGTTCTAGAATACCAAACTTCTGTCCTAAGAATTTGCTCTAGTGGGCTAGGGATTTAGCTCAGCGGCATAAGTGCCTGCCGTGCAAGCAGGCAGTTGTGAGTTTGATCCCCGGTACCGATTAAAAAAAAAAAAAAAGAATTTGCTCTAGTTGCTGCCATCCCCTATAGTGTGAGAGTCTGTTTGTGTCACTGCCAGCGCTGGGTGTCAGTCTTGTCAACCTTTGTGGTTTATTATTTTCTTTAGTGCTGTGGATGGAACCCAAGGTCCCGCGTGCTAGGCAAACACTCATGGAGCCACAACCCCAGTGCCCTATTATAATTTACAGTCTTTCAGATACAAGAAAACCTAGAGGTTTCCTCTTACAGTTAATGCTCATTCATACTTCTCTTGTGGTTTTTCCCATTACTTACTTACTTTTGCAGTACTGGGGATTGAACTGAAGGCCTTTGAACTGAACTATTGTACACTGCCAGCCTCTTTTTTTTTTATTTTTTTTAATATTTTTTGAGACAGGGACTAAGTTGCTAGAACTTTCTAGGCCAGCACTTGCAAGCCTCTGCCTCCTGCCTCCCAGACTGTGCCACTTTGGCTGGCTGCTTTTTCATATAGAACTATTATTATTTGCACATCGGGATTAATCTTTTTCCTGTCATGTAACATGTTCTCTCTAGTTTGGTATATAGTGTTTTTTCTAAAGACAGGGGTATGCGTTATGTGTCTATGTATGTCATGTGTACAAAATAAGACTTACTTCCCTACCACCTAGAAAGTATAGACATTTATGGTATTTTGGTTCTGTGTGTTTTTTAAAGGAATTGATAAATCACTTAGAAGCATCTTGGTTCTCCTTCTCATCTTTCCCTAGGGCAGCTGCTTGAACAGTGTGGCTCTGATCATCAGTATGTGTGTGGGTGCACACCTATAATCCCAGCACATAGGAGGCTGAGGCAGGAGGACTGGCATGAATTCGAGGCCATCCTTGGCTACATAGAGAGTTCTATTTCAATCTGAACTACGTATCAAGATCCTGTTTAAAAACAAAAAAATCAATAGAAGACAAAGTGTGCTGGCATTTACAGATGCACTGCCGCATCTTTGGAAACCTTGTCTTATTCGCACACTAGCGCACTGGGTTGGGTTAATAATGACATATATATATCATACTCTTTCCTGTTGACTGCTGCGTTGTACCTCATCCAGTGAATATAGTTCCAGTCTCTTTCTCCGTTTATCATCAAATCTTGTGTCCTGGAGAGCACTGAAGATGCTCCTGGTGTCTGTGTAAACAGCGCTGCCCTGACCTTCAGTATGTGGGCCCCGTATGCACCTTTGTGGATCTTCTCCAGGGCAACCCTGGCACCATGCTGGGCTTTATGTGCCTTTGCAGTTCTACTGGCTCCTGATGACGTGTTCCCGGCGGGTCTCCCAATGGACTCTCCCACCCAAAGTCACCAAATGTAGTGGTTTTTGCCAATCGAGGAAGCCAGGTAGAATCTCACAGTGGTTTTCACTTGAGTCACCCTGTTGCTGGTGGACTGGTGTTTTGTATTCAGTTACAGATACTAGGTTGCTATTGACAGCCCATTATTGCCAGGCTTTTTCTGTGTACTTCCCCTTCCTTTCCCTCATTGGGTGAGTGATCGCTCTCTTTCCGATTTGTTGGTGTTCTGCATGGGGCCATCTTCTCATCTGATCCTTGGCTGGATTTCCCAACGCAGCCTTGACTCGACTGCAGGCTTTAGCTCTCCCCCAGCCCTCCGATGTGAGCTGATTTGAGATGACAGTTATGTCCTCCGGATGCAGCATCTCTGGGGAAGATTAAGTTCCTGGGAACGGCAAGCAGCACTAGATCCGACAGGCACACATGCTGCAGCCCAGCAAGCCTGGTGCCCAAGCCTTTCCCACTTGTTTCATTGTGTGTTGATGTTTTCTATCTTTGTGCTCTCTCCTTAGGCCGGAGACTGAGAGGAAAAGCCTTTTATTTCGTCAACGGCAAAGTGTTCTGTGAGGAAGACTTCCTGGTGAGTGTCTGCGGGTCTGGGGTCTACAGGTCTAGGGCGGTGGGCAGCTCCCCAGGTCCAGACCCGCACAACTGGACCCAGCCTCAGTGCCTCTGGTCGCCCTGCTCCTGCGTCCTTCAGGCCCTCCTGTCTGGGGCTGGGCTGGGCCCCACAGCGTCCCTCTGCAGGTCTGAACCCTGCCGGCTGAGCCCCCTTTGGTGTTCTGGAAAGGGGTGGGGGGTGCATCATGATTAACAGGCTTCCAGCAGTGTTGGTAGGGTGTGCATGTGTCCCACCTACCTTTGTGACCAAAGATGGCTTCTTAACGCCCATTAGTCCTTTATGGGTCATGTGCTTGCCCAGGCCAAAGTCACTAGTGCTGGGGAAATACAGGGCTCTAATTGGCCTGAGCCTTAATTGGTGGGGCTGGATCTTAAGGGAATAGTTTTGAGTATGCGCAACTGACCCTCTGCTAGGTGGTTTAAGGCTGTGGAAAAGGTCCCCTTTTTTCCCTTTCCTGCCCTTCTAGTACCTCTCCCATTAAGCTGTGTTTCCAGTACCTGGGCTTTTACTATGTAGGTGTGGCCTGCCCTCTCTTCCTTCTCCTCCCTTTCCTCCTGCCCCTTTATCCTCTCCCTCATTTTCACAGCGAGGTTCAATCCAAGGTCTTCACACTGAACTGCACCCCCAGCTCCCCTTCGCTTTTTGAGAAGTCTCACTAGGGCTCACACTTGTGATCCTCCTGCCTCAGCCTCCCAGAGTGCTGGGATAACAGGTGTGTGCCATGATGCCGTTTCCAGTATGCTTTTAAGAAGGTTCCTGTTTTTTTCCTGAGACAGGATCTTACTATAATAGATGGTCCAGGCTGGCCTTGAACTCACAGCAGTCCTCCTGCCTCAGCCTTCTGGTGCTAGGATTACAGGCATACATCACCATGTCCACGGAGACTTCCTCATTTCTTTCAATATTTTAGGGCCCTGTGTGTGTGAGTCTCTGTGTGTGTGTGTGTGTGTGTGTGTGTGTGGTGTTTGATAAAGTAGACATTTATCACTTTTTGCAAAGCTAACTCTCAAAGATACTAGCTTTTTATTTTCTTCTACCACTGGGGATTGAACACATATTAAACACATGCTTTACCCCTGAGCAACACCCACAGTGTGCACAGTTTTTTAATCAGAAGCAGACTTGAATTTCACTTCCCTCCTTACCCTGAGCTGGTTATGTGACTGGAGTAATCTTCCGAGGTCATTTAACCTCTCCATGCTCCCCTTGCTTCTGCAGGAAAAATCTGGCTAACAGTGTGCGCCTCTTGGAGTTATTCTAAGGATCTCAGAGGTGGTGTCACATTTGAGAGTGTGTCAGCATCCCCGAAGGGCTGTGAAAATACAGATGCTTGAGCTCCCAGGCGACGCCAGGGAACCCCTCCTCGAGAGCCGCTGTGACTGTGACGAGGGCTAAGTGCACTTTCTTATGCAGCCTGGCACTCCGTGGCTGCCCAGGTCTGGCTGTCACTAGGGCGAATGGTGTTAGTGTGTGTAAGGCCTTTCCGAGCCAGAGGAGAGCCCATGACTTAGCAAGCAGTCATGTTGTCCCTGGGCACGTGACTGACTACTGCACGGGGACACATCTTTCTCCGTAGTTCCCTCTTATCCTCTCGGCCACTGGGGAAACAGCCGATTCATGCACGCTGTGCACGTTTAACCTTCCTTTCCTTCTTCTGCAGTACTCTGGCTTCCAGCAGTCTGCCGACAGGTGTTTTCTCTGTGGACATCTGATCATGGACATGGTGAGTAGTGTCAGCCAAACAAAATCTCAGCGTCTCGGGAGGAGGAGGGTGCATTTAGGGAAGAAAGAAATGAACAGCCCAACCCAGCGTCTCCTTCCCGGGGTGTAGCTGCAGCTAGTTTCAAGAGGAGGTCTTTGGGGCCGGGAGGACAGGGCACCATTCATTCCCAAGAGACAGATGCAGCTTGTTTACACTACTGGAATCAGCACAGAGTCAGACGTCTGTTCCTAAGGAGGACATCAGGCCTGTCCCTTAGTTCTCAGAGGGCACAAGGCCCAGACCCCATTCCGCCTCAACCACTGACTGGCTGGGGTTTGCCCCGGGCCGCAGTGCCTTTGTCTTTTCAGCAAGGGCAGAGTTTCCTTCCAGTTAGGCTGTCGGGGTGATGAATGGGGTTTCAGATTGCTACCCTGAGACCTGCCTGTGAGAATCTCTTTAACATACTGCAGGGAGGAAGTCATCATGTAACATGCATTTAGTTAGGAAGCAATAACCCCTCTCTTTTCTGACCCATTAATTCCTCTTGGAGAAGAGGATTGGTTGTCATTGCTTGCTTGTTTGTTTGTTTGGTATCGGGGATCAAACTTACAGCCTTGGGCTTGCCAGACAGATGCTTGTGCCGCTGAGCTAAATCCCCAGCCCTATTTTTTATTTTATTTACTTATTCTTTTTTTTTATACCTGCTTTTTTGTTTTAGTTTGGGTTGGGTTTGGGTTTGGTTTTGGTTCGTAAGATAGGGCCTCACTGTGTACTCCAGGCTAGCCTTGAACTCACTGAGTAGCCTAGACTAGCCTCAACTCACAGCAGTCCTCCTGCCTCAGCCTCCCAGGTGCTGGGATTATAGGTGTACACCATCAGGCTGGGCTATGGCATCTTTTTGGGGCAGAGCTCCTCCTCTGGGTTGGGATTTTGGAAAGGACCCCTCCTAGATCCCTCCCAGCTGAGCGTCCCCTCCACTTTGTGGCCCCTGCTCCTATGTGCTCCTCTCTCCTCACCATCCCACCCTTCCTCATACCCCCCCCCCCCCCAATTCTTAACCTCTCTTCCTTGACACCTCAGATCCTGCAGGCCCTGGGGAAGTCCTATCACCCTGGCTGTTTCCGCTGCGTCATCTGTAACGAGTGTCTGGACGGGGTCCCCTTCACTGTGGACTCGGAGAACAAGATCTACTGTGTCCGAGATTACCACAAGTGAGGCGAGGAGCCATGGGAATCCCACTGTGCACCCGCAATTGGCAGAGGCTCTGTGGCTTTCAGGGCTGCAGCGCAGATGTTGAGGGGCTTGCGGGTGCTGCTGTAGATAGGAACTGGTTAAAAAGTCACATTTAGTGAAAAAAACAGAAACAGAACTTGTCATGGAGTCCAACAAGCCCGGGGCCCCTGATCTCCCAGGTTTCACTGGGTTTGTCTGGCTGAGGCCCCAGAGGGTCGGTCTGGGACCCTCACGTGCAGCCAGAGACTGCAACATTGCCTGGCTGTGACTGGGAACCCCAGAGCTAGAAGCCCTGCAGCAGCTTCCAGGATGGGGTGGGGTGAGCACCAGGATCCGAGTTCACCTGCAGGCTGATGGGGGGCAGGGCAGCCACCTAAGCTCCACCTTCCGGGAAAACACAGCTTGGATCTGTCCCCTTCCTGTTCCTCTGCAGGGTGCTGGCCCCGAAGTGCGCAGCCTGCCGGCTCCCCATCCTCCCGCCTGAGGTGAGATGCTGTCACGCCTGCCCCTGGGTCCCCAACGCCTGCCTGGCTCCCAGGTCATTCCTTGAGCCTCCCTCCTGCCCTTGACTCTTCAGAACACCCTGCTCTGAGATCATGCTGTCACCCACTGGCTTCCCCTGCCCTGCCCTGCTCTTGTGTTTCCCTCTCAGCAGGTCAGACTCTCTTACAACTCTTAGATGAGAGAGGAATGGACTCTTTACTTATTTTTTGAGGCAGGATCTCACTGGAGTCCAGGGTGATCTTGAACACTGTGTACCCCAGGCTAGCCTCAAAACTCAGTGGGTGCCTCTTGCCTCAGCCTCCTGACTGTGGTGATGACAGCTGTGAGCCCCCACACCTGGCTCACCTTCATTGCTTAAGACTCGATGTCCCCTTTTGTTGGTCCCCTTTTGGTGTTCATGAGATGCCATTGCCCTACCCAAGGCCTCGCTCTCTGTCCTCTCTATTAAGTGTTAGTGTCTGTGACTGACAGCGTCCCCTCCAGAGTCCTGCCTGTCACCTCTCCCTTCTCTCCATGCCTGTGGCCGAGGATTGGCCCCTCCCTGGCCTCTTTAGCCCGCCTTGCGCCCCCTCCATTCCAGGGCTCCGACGAGACCATCCGAGTGGTGTCCATGGACCGAGACTACCATGTTGAGTGCTACCGCTGTGAGGTAGGCCCCTCCCCTGCCAGCCCCAGCCTTTCCTGGAAGTCCAGGGGAGTCAGGGATGCTCTGCCCTCCAGAGATGGTGTAGGGAAGGGTAGGTGATGAGGCGCCTGGGGCCTGACAGTCTTTCTCTGTACAACCCTAGCTGGGTGTGGCGGTGCACATCTGTGATCCCAACAATCTGGGAGGCTGAGGCAGGAGGATTGCAAGTTCAAGCCCAGTCTGGGCAATTTAGGGCCTTGGAAAAACCTTATCTCAAAATAAAAATAGAAGGGCTGGGGATGCAGCTTGGAGCAAAGGCCTTGGGTTCACTCCTAGACTGTAAAACCCAAAAGACGAGCAGAACTGGCAAGTCCTGAAACTGCCCTCCCGGAGCTGGAGGCCGAGGGGAGTGAGGATTCCGGCTGGTCTGGGCAGAGGCATGTCGGGAGGTGTTCCTTCCCTTCTTTCCTCCCTCTTCTTCCCTCCCTATCTCCCTCCCTTCCTCCCGGAGAAGGGTCCTCTTGGAAGCAGGCACACAGGAGTGGGGTCTCCATCTGCCCTTCTGTGGCTGTGCTGCACCCCAGGCCAAGGAGCCCCCGATGCCCTAGGTCAGACAAGCTGGTGGCTGCCCTGCCAGCTCCAGGAAGGACACCTGCAGGCTTCCGCCACCCTGGGCAGACTCAACTGGGGGAACAGATTAGATTCACTTTGTTGACGTAGAGCGGAGGATGGGGAGTGTGGGCCATGTGAAGTTGGGTTCCCCTGCCAGCGCTGAAGAAGTGCATGGCCCTCGTGGCCAGTGGGACCCAGGTGTGGTCCGAGGTTGGGTTCGTCTCGGCAATGGGTTCTGTTTCGTCCCTCCAGGACTGTGGCCTGGAGCTCAATGATGAGGATGGTCACCGCTGCTACCCTCTGGACGACCACCTCTTCTGCCACGCATGCCACGTGAAGAGGCTGGAGAAAGGGCCCTCATCCACCAGCCTCCACCAGCACCACTTCTAGCCCGTGTGGCTCCCAGCCTGGCAGGGATGAGGTGTCAGGCAGGGATGAGACGTCTGCCTGTGATGTTCACCCCGGCCTGGGACTGGGGTAGGCGTATGTCCCTGTGTGCCTGAGGGACACCTTCAGCTAGGGAGGTGCACGTCCGTTCCATGTGCCTTTGCCCTCTCTGCACTGAGGCTGGGTTACTCAAGGAGTTACAGCAGCATGTTTGTGTGTGTGTGTGTGTGTGTGTGTGTGTGTGTGTATCCACGTGCATGTGGCCTGGAGCTCAAGGTCGTATCTGTGCAGGGTTACAACCTCAGCTGCAGCATCCTGAAGGGCCAGCTCAGTGCCCAAACATTCAGCCCTCACCAAACCCAGGCACCGCTGCCTCTCCCCAGGGCCTAGGGTCTTCTGGGAATGCCCGAACACTTCCACTGCATGCTGATGGAGGGAGGGAGCTCTTTCGTAAGCTTTGTGTCAGGAAAATTGGCTGGGAAGCCAGAGCCGGGATCTGAGCTCTGCTAACTCCAGCTGTGCTGTGTGTCCCTGGCCCCCAGGGTGTCCTCTGGCACTGGGGCCCAGCAGAGGCTGGCCTGGCCCGGCCTGGCCTAGCCAGCTCCGGGAGAGAGACCTTGGTGCGGGCACCAGGACTCTCACCCATCTGTCGGTGCTGCTTTGATCGAGCTCTTGAGTCTGTGCCTCGGGAGTGGCTCCAAGAGTCTGGGGTTCCCAGTCGGGATGCCTCTGGTTGAGCTTATTTAAGGATGGACTTTCTAGAAGCCCTGCGCACATAGTGCTCGAACACGTGTGTGAGACTGATCACGAAGCCAGCCCTGAGGGAGGAGTGATGCTCGTTTCCAGGCTTCCCTCACCCTCATCCTGGTCCAGCCGTTGATGTTCCTAGGAACCCGTTCCAAGGTACCCAGCTTTCTGTCTTCCACACACACAATACCTCAGACAGAACTTCACCAAGTTGCCGTCGGAGGACGCAGTGACATCGCATGGGACTCAGGTACCCTCCCATTTGGCACTGGGAGCCGGCTGGCTGGCGCCATGTGACCAATGTTGAGGCCGAGCACCCTGACCTCTGTACTCCCCAGGCTGGCTCCCCAGGTGGCAGGGCCGAGGGGAGTGACAGGCCGGTAAGATGTCAGGGCTGGCAGCTCTGCACGGACCAGAACCTGCAATCCAAGCCACGCTCGTGAGCCAGAGGTCACACTTCTTGGCATTTCAAATGGGAGAAACTGCTGTAAAAGGAAAGAGAAGAGTGGGGAGCCTATGACTTGCTGGGCGTGGTGGCGGGTGGCGCACCCCTGCAAGCCTAGCACGTGGGAGGCTGTAGTAGGAGGATCAGGCCTGGTGACACTGTGTCTTCTCAAGTCCATCTGGAGCCAGGTTGGGCGCTGACCATGGAGCCCCAGGTGCACATGGACACAGCCTTGTCCCTTGGCCTGGCACCGCCTGTAGGCCACTTACATGAGGCCCATGCTGTTGGAGTCCTTCAGTCCGATGTTAATTCCCAGCTTCCTGCGCTTGGGCCAAGCCCCTTGCAAACCCGTGGTCACAGGGGCTTGAGGCTGCCCCCTGCCTCCATCAAGTCCTCCACCTGGGCAAGGCCAGCCTGCGTGTCCGACCGTGGAAAGGCGGCCTTGCTCATGAGCAGAGAAAGGAAAACTGTATGGGCCCCCAGTCCACCCCAGAAGCACCAGGGTGCTTTTGCTAACCGAGTAGTTTTAAAACTCAGTGATTAATTTTTGTAATGAAATTTTTAAAGTGGCCTTGACTGAGGTGATTCAGCCGTATTTGCAAATACGATATTTTATACTGCTGAAAAAGAGCAATAAAGGTTTTTCCAGCTGCCCTAGGAGTCCTAGCAGGGCGCTGTGCCCTGCTTGTCCACTTCCCTGCTGAGGGCACCTACGGGAGCTGAGTTCCTTACATTTCTCTCCTCTGTCTCAGGCCCTTGTACAAAAGTGGTGAAGAGACAGATATTCACCTATTTTAAATGTTCTATAAGTTATTAGCCAAATAGAGTTGTATTTATGGATATGTAGGAAGAAAACACAAGGTCCTGGTAGACCAGGATAAAGGTTTGTTTTGAAAATTAGAGCAGATGGCCTTACTTGCATTTCCTGGACAATTCCTGGACCTTAATCTTAATGAAACCAGGATGCAGGCTGGAGCCGGAGCCCAGCGCCAGCCGGCATCCTTGTGTCGCTCTGTTTTACCCTTTAGCGCACTTTGGAGCTCTCTCTCCTCCCCTTTTTTCTTTTGACTGCCTGACTTGGGACATTGATAAACTGCCTGGGTCATCTGGAAGCGGTGTCCGAGACGGGGGTTCTCGCTTCTTCGCTCAGCAACGTCAGACCCCGTCTGTGCTTGGCAAAAGGTGATGTGCTCAAGTCTCACTCCAGAGGCTTGTTTGGTCCTGTCCAGGTCGCTGCCTGCACGGGGCTGAGGGGCGAGACTTGGTCTCATCTCTGGTTACTGAGGATAATCGAGGAGTTCTGGTCTCCTTCCAGCACCATCGTCCCCCTGCTTTATGGGCTTGAGTCATAGTTAGGAAGCTAAAAGCACTATCCTTGGGACCAGAGCGGACATGGGGAGTTCACTACCCACTGCAGACCATGCATCCCTGAGGCCTGCGAAGGTGACAGCCACATGACCACGTGTACCCTCGCAGAGAAAGAAATGTGTCTACCCTGCGCTGTGCTTGCCTGACACATGTTTTCAAACTGCCAGGAGGGTCATGGATACAGCTCAGTGGCACAGTGCCTGCCTGGCAAGCACAAGGTTCTGAGTTCGATTCTTGGTACCAAAAAAAGTAAAAATGCCAGGAAATCCAGTTTTTTGTTTTTCCTTTGCCAACAGTCAGTCCCAATTTCCCACTTAGTATTTCAAACAACTTTAGCAGAAGGGGGGGAAAATGAGTGAAATATACTAGCTGACTTTTGTTCTGGGCCCAAACTGGACAGATGTGGAAAATATCCGAATAGGAATTAAAAGTTCACACAGTTTGCTGTATAATGAAATTATCATCTTCTGTGTCTCTTACCATAAAATTACTGAGTTACTATAAAATGATTCAAGGTATCACAGCAATAAAACTGCCCCAATCTAGGTATTAAAGTGCTTCCCATATACTGCTGTTTCCTGTGTCTTTTGTGTGTCTCCTGTGCCTGCCATTTTGTGTGTTCCTGGGGGTGGGGGGACCTTCGCTCAGTGATGAGTGAATTCACTGACTGACTGTTTCACAGCTGGTCGCAGTCAGGAGGGAGCCCAACTGGAAGTGGTCTGTGGGGTGTGGCCTAGGAAAGTGTATCCTTGTTCCCAGCCCGTGGATCGAGCAGTTTTGTGCTCCCCCATGCTTCCAGCAGGCTGCCTCTGCCTTGGAGCTGGCAGCCTCGCACTGAGGGTGTCATCAGTGGCACTAATCCAAGTGTCAAACCTGAGCAGAGGCCTGAGGTTTTACCTGGCCCACAAGGGAATAAACCAGGACGCCAAGGTTTCTTGGATCCTGGCAAGCATGATGGGACTTGTAGGTCAGGGAGAAAAGTGAGTTTACTACTACTAGCAGTGGCACCAGGCAGAGGGCAGCCTTCACCCTGGCTCCTGGGCCTCGACTCCTGCAAGGCCCCAGGAAGTGGGCAGTGGTGCCTGCAGGTACAGGGGGGTGCACTGCAAAGGGAGCGTCACCCGCAGGAAACCTTTGTCTCTTCTGTGTTTTGAAACCTGGTCTTGGGACTGGGGATATAGCTCAGTGGCACAGTGCTGCCCGGTAAATGCGAGGTCAGAAGTTTGACTCCTGGTACCAAAAAATAAAGACCTGCTTTGGCTGGAGATTTAGCTCAACGGCGTAAGTGACTGCCTGGCAAGGGTGAGGTTGTGAGTTCAATCCCTCGTACCAACAAAGAGAGAGACCTGCTCTCACTGAACAGCCCAGGTTGGCCTCAAAACTGTAGATCTTCCTGCCATAGCCTCTGGAGTGCTGGGATAACAGGCGTGTGCCCCTACAGGGCAAGAATTTGGGCCTGGTCTTTTACCGTGAGCACACCACCTGCCTGACCTTGGCTCCAGGAAGAGTCATCTTCTGTCACCCAAGACCATCCTTTACCCACACATTGAACAGATGTGTAAAACAGAGAGGCCTTGGAGAATCATCCCCAAGCCTGGGATCCCTTTCCCTGGCTCCTGCCCTGGGGTCATTTGCTTTTCCCTGCTGAGTCTGTGGTGCTGTTGGCTTTCTGAAGTTGTGACCTAGGGCCCCAGAGGTGAGGGACATCGGTCCGATACAGCCATCTCTAGCAGGACTTGCACAGGGACCGAGAGAGGCTGTGTGTCCTCAGTGAGGATATATGGCAGGACACCGCCCCTCCCTGCTCAGGCCCAGTGTTTGGCTCTAGTTCTCCTAACTGCTAGGTCTGGCCCACCAGGACACAGGACATTCGGAAGCTCCCTCCAGTGTTAGGATTGAACCTAAGGTCTTCACGCTGTACTACGCCTCCGGCCCTTTTGCTTTTTTTTTTTAATCAGTACCAGGGATCAAACTCACGACTGCACACTTGCGAGGCAGACGCTTATGCCACAGAAGTAAATCCCCCCTTCTGCTTTTTTGAGACAGGGTCTCAGGAAGTTTTCCAGGCTTGCCTTGCACTTGGGATCCTCCTCCCTTGGCTTCCTTGGGGGCTGGGATTATACCATACCTGGCTGATCTTCTTAAGCAATGAAAGCAGCTAATTGGTTTTTTCAAGGCTGGGTTCCTATTGCCCAATGGCCTTGATATGCTGCGTGATGATGAAACTGGGAAGGGGCTGTGGTGCATGGGTAAGCTTTCTGGAGAGCCCTGAGCGCCCCTCACACACACACTCAGAGGCATGCTGACTTCCGTAATAAAGTCTGGCTAGGGCTACCACAAGGCGGCGTCCTAGAGCATGGTGCTGGGAGGAGGGAGCCAGGGATGAGCAAATGCGAGCGACGTCAATCAAACATTTGGTTCATTTTGATCTGAACTGGTAGGAAATCAGGTCTGGTTCTACCATGCCCGGCGGCAGTAGCAGCTGGTACTAACTGTGTGCTCCCATGTAGCAGTGTGATCTTGAGGGCTTGTGGCCTCCAGCACCCCTCATTTTCTAGACATCACAGAATGGGTAAACTCTCCCAACGAACAGAGGTTCGGGAACAGCCAGACCAGGGACCCCCACCAAGCAGCTTTATCCAGAGGTGGGATCAGACTCACAGCGGAGGGAAAACAGCAGAGCAGGAGCTTGGCCGCCATCACCACGACCCCTTGAAGCACCTTGTTTCCGTGGCTGCTCTAGCAGGTTGCCACCAAGTTGCTTTGCAACTGCAAGCAGAAACACCAGAACTGTACCCAGAATTTGGAGGCAGATTTATTTAACGTTGATTGGCATGGATTGGGATCTCTCCGAGAATATCAGGCCCTGCTTTCTGGTGGTCTAGGGCTTATGTGTGCTAAGCAAGTAGGAAGTACAGAGGCAGCATGGGCTGTCAACTGCCTAGCAGACAGGTTCTGGAGCTGGGACAGACATGTTGCAGGGGCGGGATTATTCAACCCACTGTAGATGCCAACAACAAAAAAAATCTATGGGTGGAAACCAAAGAATCCTTGGAATATTAGGTAGCTTCTCTTCACAGATTGCTAACGGTGGGATCTGTATTTTCCTTGGATTGAAAACCAAAATGTGTGACACATAAAGATGGTTGGAATCGGGGTGCAGAAAAAAGAAGCTGGGTGCAGTGGTGCACGTGAGTAATCCCAGCTCCTTGGGAGGCTGAGGCATGAGAGTCACCAGTTTCAGCCCAGCTTGAACAATTTGGTGAGACCCTTTCTCAAAAAGGGTCCGGGCTTTGTTTCACTTAAGACCCTCCATATGCTCCAAAGGCCTCACGGATAGGTGGCCATGGACACACCAGGCCCACCATGGGGTGGAGAATGAGGGACCTGGGTCTGGGTAGTAAGGTGGACTCCAAGATGTGGACTGGAGGCTGGTGAGTGGGAGCTGGGTGGAAACCAGCTGTGGAGATCACCTGCCTGGTAAAAACCTGTTCTCTGCACTTGCTTGTCCTCACAGGAAGGCCCTGGCAGGTAGGTTGCATTTGCATATTAAACTATGAGTTCAATTTGTATCTCCTGTCCTTTCGGACTTCTTGCCCTGAGTACGCTTTCCTCAGAGTCTGATTGTGGTTTGGTCTTTGAATCTTCCTAAGGAATGTTCATTCCTCTCTGGGTTTCTTTCTCTTTTCCAGTCCCACTAAAGGTTCCCAAGGGTCTGGTGAGGTCAGGTCAGGCTCTGCATCTCTTGGTTTCTGTCCTGTCCTGCGTGACATGTTTAAGGAGCCGGGGCAGGAGCTGTCTGCAGGGCAGTTGCTGTTCAGCTGGGAGAGAGTTCCTTTCCCAAAGCCTAGAGAGGGCCTGCACCTGAAGCCCCATTGTATCAGAGGGGAGGAAGCCTCCAAGGTGAGCTTGGGAGCAGGAGCATCATCAGGACCACAGATGAGGGCTGCTGCCTGCTCCCTGGCAGGGCGGGGCAGCACGTGACCACTACCCATATAGCTGGAGCATTGGCCCTGAGCCCATTCACGAGGTGCCCTCGGGTACAGGAGCCCACAAAGGAAAGCTGAACTCACTTTATGCGTGTGGTAAAGGTTGAATTCTTCCCAGTAAATGTCCTGGAGTACATGGCATGAAGCAACTGTTAAATACTTAATCTTTACATCACAATGACCAACAAAATAAATCATAAATGGAAAACAAACACAAAACAATTTAAAAATGTAAGAGAAGAAAGTGTAAAATAAGTAAATTTGAGCCAGATGTGATGGTGCATGACTATAATCCCAGCACCTAAGAGGCTGAGGCAGGAGGATCACCTGTAATTTCAGACCAGCGAGAACCTGTCTCAAAAAAACTTCAAAAAAATCAAAGTCTTAATAAATTTTAACACATAAAAGCAAACATTCCTCTAGGTTGAAAATTTTAAAAAGGAAAATATAAATGACTTAACTAGCAAAAACAGTGTAATGTTTTATAGTCAGAGTCAATACATTAATATATTTAAAAAGTCAGGACAAGGATATAGCTCAGTGGTATGGTGCCTGTCTGGCAAGCACAAGGTTCTGAGTTCAATTCTGTGTGCACAGACAAAAAAAGATGGTGTTTTAAAAAATTTTTTGTATATATATATATATATATACACACACACACACACATACACACATAAAGTCCAATTTGCTGGACAAGGTGGTGCACACCTATAATCCCAGCATATAATCCCAGCACTCAGAAGGCTAAAGCACAAGGATTACCAGGAGTTTGAGGCCAGCCTGGACTGTGTGGTGAGACCTTGTCTCAAAAGACCCCTCCCCAAAATGAAATTTGCAAGAACAAATCTGAATATATTTTTAAAAACCCCACTATATCAAGAAATAAATATTTTCCAACAATGAAAATTATGAAGAAATTATAATTAAAAGTGTCCATGAAGTAGACCTTAAATATGTGCATCTGGCATATTTTTATATATTTCTACATGTAGAAATATATAAAACACTTAAAATATCACGTTCTTTGATGTTACATCTTCAAAGAATATTAATGGCTTTATACCTCAGATGAAAACCAAGAGATAAAATGACAGTGTAAACCTACTTGGAAAAATATATGTACAGATATGTTCATGTTAAAGGTTGGTGCAAGGGCTGGAGATTTAGCTCAGCGGCATAAACGCCTGCCTTGCAAGCAGGCAGTCGTGAGTTTGATCCCCGGTACCAATAAAAAGGAAAAAGACAAAAAAAAATAAAAAATAAAAAGGGTTGGTGCAGTGGGCTGGGCATATAGCTTAGTGGCACAGCACCTGCCTGGCAAGTGTAAAGTCCTGAGTTCAACGCCCAGTACCAAAAAACCAAAAAAGAAACTAAAGATTGGCTGCAGTAGTCCCCCAGCTACTCTCAAAGCTGAGGCAGGATGGTTCTAAAATAACTTTGAACCTGGCTTGAGCAACTTAGTGAGACAAAAATTTTTAAAAGTTGTAAATGCAGAATGCACTGGTGGTGCATGCTTGTAATCCCAGCACTTGGGAGACTGAGACAGGAGGAGCATTGCAAGTTTGAGACCAGCTTGGGCTACAAAGCGAGCTCAAGGCCAGTTTGAATTGCATAGTGAGACCCTATCACAAAAAGACAATAAGTAAATAAAAATAAATAAATAAAGTGTACAGCCTGGGATGTAGCTTAGCGGTCCCAAGATTCTGTCCCTAGAACTGCAAACAACAAATCCAGGAAAAACTATTAAGGGCTGGGATGAAACACAGTGATACAGGGTCTGGGTTCAAGACGTTAATTATAATGGTCTTGGGGTGGGAATACATTTTAGTTTTTGGTGCTGAGGATTGAATTCATGCATGCAAAGTCAGGTACTCTATATTGAGCTACACGGTGTGACCCAACAATATAGTGAATGCTTAACTAGTACTTTAAAAAAATGTATTACAGTAAAACACAACATTGCCCGGAGTCCCTCTTGCATCCTCTCCTTGCCTTTAAGAAAGCGCACATCTTGTACTTGCCAGTTTCTGCAGCAGCTCTGGAGTCCTCTTTCCCAAGTGTTTTTAGTTGCGCAATTCTGGTTGCCTCAATGTCCGCAATCAATTCAAACCGTTTCACGGTCACGTTGACTTTGGGAAGAGCCACAGGTCCCGCGGAGCCAGATCAGGTGAATATGGTTGGATGAGGACACAGTATCGTTTTTTATAAGCTCCGTTTCTGTTGGGTGGGGACTGGCTGGCAGCAGTCACTGTGTTTCTCAATCACACCTGAAAAAAAGATGTTCAGTCAAGAGGTCTCCGGAAACTGCTTCAGAAACTGGCCAGAGGTGCGCTCTGAGCTTAAGAGATTAATGGCAATATGTGTTTATTGTCCTCAGCTTTAAACATTCACCGCAGATTTTGATCACCCGTGAGTGGGTCTCTTTATTTTTATTCCCTATCATTTTCTGTAACAAATTTTCTGTAATTAGCCCTGAGGGGGTAAAAATAACCCATATACTGGAGAAATAGATTGATCCTCGTTGGCTACAATGACTCAGCAAGCCCCGGGATTCGAGTCTCCCTTCTGCTGAGGAGATCTGGGGCCACCTCGGGGGTGCAGCCAGGCACCTGCAAAAATGAGGGGCGACCCCCTCGGTTATTTGAGGTTATCCTCTGCCAGGGGAAGTCTTCCCCCACGGATCTGAGGTCAGGTTGGATTTTGGGCTGTGACTCCGGGGGCTTTGCGACCCCGGGCCACCCGAGCCAGGCAGACCGGCAACCCCTCATCGGTGGTAAACCGAGGCAGGGCCGCTTCTCACATTCGGAGGAGGAGAAAGCACTTTAATTGCGCTTCTGCGTCATCGGGTAGCTACCAGCCATTTACAGACCCGCCTTGCGCTTCACTCCGAACAGGGCCCTTTGCAATTTGCAAAACACACGAGCAGCTATACGTTCCAATATTTTGAGCAAAGCACCACCCAATTCAAGGTCCATTGTAGTCATAATGCTTTCAAAGGAACTCCTACAACATCAAGTGCCAATGCGATAAAAAGGCACACCACGAGCCAGCCAGGAGTCGAACCTAGAATCTTCTGATCCGTAGTCAGACGCGTTATCCATTGCGCCACTGGCCCTGTGCTAAGCAAACTTGCACCGCGAAGCTTGATGGCTTCTGACGCAGTTTCACCACACTTCCGGACGCCAGCATCCTGTTTCTTCTTCTCCCTAACGCCGCAGCGCATGTGCACTGCTCTCGGGGCTCCGCCGCTCCCATCCAAAGCGCTCCACCAATCCGCGGAGGCTACGTCACTACGCTCCACAACACTCTGTTACTCATCACGTCGGAAGACATCTCACGCATTTTCCCGTCTTACACTAGTTTGTCCCTCGCTGCCTCCGGTTCGCGCCTGTTCTTTCCCACGGGGCGGAGACGAGTGGGTAGAATTGAGAGCTGGGGCGGCCACCGAGCTTGGGTGACCCGTAGCACCTTGGCCGAAGTGGCGGCGCTAGGTGGGGCAGTCGGAACCGAGAGGAAGGAGGTGCTAGTGTGTGATGGCGGCGACGACCTACGAGCGGCTGAAGCTGTGAGTCCTGTGGGCCGGGGGCTTGGGGGCGACGGGTGGGAACCTTGGTCGTCGTCCGGCCCTGGGCGTCGCCCCGGCCTTGCGGCCCCGTACCCCCGCACCCCGCCACCTCGCCGCTTGCTGTGGAGAGGACGTGGCCACAGTGATCACAAGGAACGTCGGGAGGGGAAGGGAGAAGTTTTCTCGCAATGTATGGAGCCTCGGCCGCATCCTGGCGTCCGCACACCGTCCTTTCCCTGGGTTACCGCCTGTCCGAGCGCAGGAGCCTGCTTCTTCTGTCTTAGGTTGCAGAAAAACTTCACAGTCAATACTGCAAGTCCTGAAGGCATTTTACTACGGTTTAGATTTTATACAAGCAGGTTCTTTAGTCTGTGTTGACAGCCAGAGGCCCATGGAGTTTGGCGATGCAAATAGACTTCTTAGCAAAGCCCAAGAGAGATAAGCGCTGTTTGTTAGAGTTGTAAAATTGGTGTCTGTAAGGACTTTGACTCATCCCAGATAAACAACTACGTACATTTATTTCCCTCAGCGTTATCCTTAGCTTCTAGACACTTTGCTTATCTGTAGATAGTTTTGTTCTGCTCTCTTTAATGCTTTACCTTTAGGCCTTTTGACAGTCTGGTGGCCATTGAGTAGGAATGTCTTTGACAGCAGGGACAAATATAATTTTTGAGAAGCTTATCCTTCCCTGTGCTAGTTAAAATATCTTGGCACTAAGGCATAGGTATCCTATTGCTTTTGCAGGCAAATGAGGACATAAAATTTTGGTTTGGGCACTTCTTATGCTTCCCAGAATCCAAGGTTCACTAATGTCTTTCTCAAAGCTTCCATGTGAATTAGGGATGCAAACTCGGGGAGGATCTTCATGCGTTTCCTGTATTTTGTGGAGAAAATGATGGCTACTTTTTGATAGTTCGCCTTTTGTTCCTTCCCTTTATGACAGTTCTCCTTGGAAGCCCAGCTACACACTTCCACACCTTTGCTTCTCCATCTTTCCTTATTGTCTTCCATTGCCCTTTGCAAGGTGAGCAGTCACATCGTTGGTGAAAGAGTTGAAGGAAAGTGTCTTTGCCTAGGTTACTGGCTGGGCCAGTTTCACTAGTGCTTTGCTGGCAAATAGGTCATTGGCATTCATCTGATAGGCACGGAAGGCTTTAATATGATCCTGCAGCAGGTCTCAGATGTGTTTAGGCAATATTGAGCCCTGAGTTGGTGCTTGATACAACTCTTGTGTTAGGTTACAGGGTGCAGTTAAATTTTCCTGTGGCAAAGATTGACAAGATGGAGAACTTGAGAGTTGTGATGGTTTTTTAAATTACTATTTGTGTGTGTATGTGAGAGAGAGACAGAGCCAGGGTAGTTCAGGTCTGCATGAAAGGATCCACCTGCCTCAATCTTCCAAGTCTTGGGAATTACAGGTGTGTACCACCACACCTGGCAGGTTTTTGTTTTTGAACTTGCCAAAGAAGCTTGGTTCTTAAGTGGCAAGGGTGATGCTTTTGCATTGATTTTTGATTTTTGTGAGAAGTGGAAACTAAATTTGAATGAAAAGTAAATTTGGAATTACATGAATGTCATTTGCTAATCGTAACAGTCCTGCAGGACTTCAGTTTTGAGCCCTTCTTTAAATGTGAAGGTATAACTCCTTCACAGATTTGTTTTTCTTCTCCAAAAGGTTTGTGATATGGAATGTTTTTGATCTTTTGGCCTGGCTGTTCAAATTGTTTAAGGTGGCCTCTCACTAAGGAGCATTACTTTTTGGATGCATTTGGAGGTAGGATCTGTTGCTGACCTATAGAATTGTTGGGGCATAACCATTTTTAAACATTACTGAGGAGGTATTTTAAGGAAGACCTATACAAAGAGGGAGGTGGGTTATTTTATTACAGATGTATTGCTATTTGATGTATTTAAATGTTGAAGTGTTTGGGATGTTAAAATAATATCTATTCCACATTATGCAATTCTTTTTCTCCAGCACATCTTTTCCCTGCTAAGGTTCACATTCCCAGTATCCTGGTTTCATCCTCTGCCTCTCAGTTTGCAATTTCTGTTTCCATTTTATAGACCTATAGAGTCAAGCCCACATTTCTTTAGCCATGTATGTTCCAGTCTCTGCAAACTACTCCTTACCTTGTATTCCTATAAATGCCCAGCCCTTCCTCCCTCTACTAGACTCAGCTCCCCCTTCTTCTAACTTGAAGCTTATGTTTATCCTTTTACCCGTTCTGCCTTTTTCCTTGCTCCTGTCTTTATATGCTGCAGTCTTTGAGTCAAACTGAGAAATTACTGTCACAGGATTAGACACCAAATGTCTGTATTTTAAGATCTAGGCATTGTGAGTTTACTCTGTGAACATGAGGACCGGAAGCTAGAATGATCAGCGTGTAGTACCGAGTGAGAGTCACTTCTGCTGCTGCCCAAAAGTGATTTAATCATCGTGTGTACTCTACTTTGTATCTCCAGCCAGGTTGCAGAAATCTAGGGTGTTAGAAACTCCTTAAGGATTTCTTTTGAAATCCTTTTCAGCACTTAGTGTAAAGCTTTATGCAGAGCAGCTCCTCAGTGGATTCCCTGAGTAGACAAAGTCTGCTGGTTTTTTTATTTAATTTTTTTTTTTTTTGTATTTTTCTTTTTTATCGGTACCAGTGATTGAACTCACGACCGCCTGCTTGCACTCTTGTTGCTTGCAAGGCAGGTGCTTATGCTGCTGAGCTAAATCCCCAGCCCCCAAAGTCTGCTGTTTACCTGCACTTCGAAAGCAACAAGAGTCTGGAGTAATCTGGAGTATCTTCCTCTGAAGACCCAGAGGCTTACACCATCTGATTCTCTCTGAGGTCATGGGTTGGTGTATCTCCTCTGTCACTGTTGAAGACAAATAGTTGCCTTTGGTCACACAGTCAGTCAGGTAACACAGCCAAGCCGAAGCCAAGCTGACCTTGGAGCACAGCTGGTCTTTCCATTGCACTGCATTATGTCAAATAATCTTTTCCTCCTCCCGGATTGCCCTTGCTTTAGTCCTTGGACATGCCAGGTATAGAAATGAGTCACTTATAGTCGAAAATAGTTGATGTCTCCTTTTGGATTTTTATATGGAAAATAGAATATTGATTTGTTTGTATTTAAGATTCATATTTTCTAACCTTCCAGTATCCTATCGTAACACAATCAGAATAGAAATACATTACTTTAGACATTTAAAGTTTTTTGAAAGGCCAGCCGAAACTAGGTGGAAGGCAGGGAGGGAGAGAGAGGTGTTTAGGTACTGAGTCAGGTGACCGTTTGCCTCTGAAGAAATACTGTTTCCTCAAGAGATTGTGCTCAGTGGGGCGGAGGTGATGCAACCAGAGAACAGATGCGAACTAAGGCTACACATGAGGACGTGTGTCAGGGGGACAGTGCACACTCAGAGCAGTGCCATGGTTGTTTGTGAAGGGCAGGGAAAGGAGCAGGTGAGGCTGACCTTGGGAAACCGGGCATGTGTGGATACGCACTTGTTTCCAAGAAAGGCATCAGCTGGGTGGGAGTTCCGGCTAGACAACCTAGGTTGTCTAGTGCTAAGCTGTACCGGGAGTGCCTGTTTTAAATGCATATCCCATGGTTCTCCCTTTAAGCCCAGGGAATGCAAATTCCTGGGGATGGGCCTTTGAAGCTACAGCTTTAACCAGCTGTAGTTCTCACGTACTACAAAAGATATTTTCGGGTAACACTGGGTACCACTCCTGAGTAAGGAGCGAAATGCACTGGCATGAGAGCCTCTTGAAGCCCTGGACTCTGGAACATAGTGCAATGCATTCGAATCTCAGATTAGGAGTTTAGACTTGGTCATTAGAAGGAGTCTGATTATCAGAATGTGTTCAGTGTGCATAGGAAACGAGGAGTAGGTGGGACCTGGAAGTTTGGAGAGGATAAAATTAAAATGAGTTGGCTTCCTAGAGATAGCAACTGGTTTGGGGTTGTACAAGAGACCCCAAAAGTGGGGCTAGGTGAAGAGGTTGCTACCGACCCCAAAGGGAGGGTGAAAGGGGGTGGGGACATCTTACAGGTAGAGTGGGCTCAGGGACCCTTCTTTAGGTTTTAATTTTTGCTAGAAAAGTCTAGTAAAATGTTATGTCTGTCTTTTCAACTAGAGAGACAATTTTTTAAAAAAAACAAAGCTTTTTACAGTAAAAAACACAGTGCCAAGAGCAATGGGATAAGTATGTTGGAAATGAGGGAGTATTTTGAGAGAGAGATTGATGACAATGTGTCTTGTCTTGTTTAAGTACCAGTGTGCGAACTGAGCCACTGGAGCTCCAGTGTGTCTTTCATCGGAATACGTTTTATTGTTGTTGTTGTTATTATTTTAAAGGGAAAAAATCAAAAAAAGCAAAAAGACAACAAAAATACAGCAAGAGGATTTTAAACCAAGATGATAGAGATTTAACAATGGTGGTTATGTTGGAATACATTTTTAAATTTATTTATTCATTGTATTCTTTGATTTCCTGTCAATGTTATAAATGTTTATAGCGGGGGCTAGGGATTTAGCTCAGCTGCATAAGGGCCTGCTTTGCAAGCACATGGTCGTGAGTTTGATCCCTGGTACTCATAAAAAAATAAACATAAATAAATAAATGTTTATGGCAATTTGTATCAAAGAAAAACATAATATGTCCTCATCCCCACATTCACCGGCACTGTACTAGCTTTACCTCAGAGTCAGCATGGCCACTACAGATTAATGTTCAAATACCGTAGCTAAGGACATCGAGGCAGCCAGGACAGCATAACTAAAGACACTCCTGGAAAAGAGGACTCCAGAACTGCGGAAGGGCCATGAGATAAGTGTTTGAAGCAGAGAGGAGGATTTTGGTGGGAATTCACGGCAGTCTCTTTTACTATAATGAATTTAAAAACAACAAATCCTGGGGATTTAGCTCAGTGGCATAAGCACCTTGGCAAGTGTGAGGTTGTGAGTTCGATCACCGGCACACACACATACACATACACAACAACAA